TCCACCTTTGGTTATCTAGTTCAAATACAACACTCTTCTTGTTTGAAGCGTTCTGAGTATCTTCGTAACAGTTTTGTAGTTGAAGGCAATAAGGTAGACGATACGAAGCAAGATATCTTTGTGTGGGTAGAAACATCAATTTATTCTTGAGGATCTAACAAGAACCCGAAGTGTCTGGGTCTTTTATCTATCTAACGTAGTACACCAGTCAAGCGGGAACGATCCAGAACGGCCCGCCCGGATGTCCGGGGAGGCGAACCAAACACTAATACAGAAAAGGTTCACATGACATAAGTCATGACACGCTTGACAATGGGTGGAAAGCAATGACGGAGTACCGGAGACCTGTCAGGGTCTCCCGCATGCCCCAGCCAAGGCCAGTGGGCCTGGTGACAAAGAGTCAAAATACTCAAAGACAATTTCCCATCACAGAAGTACAACACAAATCACGACTGGAATAGAATCGAATCATTTCAACCCCTCAAACCACACGAACAACAAGGACAAAGACATCAAAGTCTCGGCGACAGATGTCCCTATCAGACTCCACCCGAGTTGTACCCTCAAGCAACGCTCACGATGGTTTGCAGAGCTTGACAGTGTTTCTCGCGGCCCCCTACAAATACTCTTCGGACGTCAATCGAATCATCACGGCATTTTGTTACGGGGTTCCCCTCTTGGGACCCTCACATCACTTAGCGCTCAGGCTTTGTATGATCGTCTGTCATGAATATTGTCCGGGTTCTGAGGTTCTTTCTCCTTGGACACCCCCTTCGGGTGTCATGAACCTTCATCAGGTTCATCCCTTGCCTCGCCTCCTTCGGTCTCATCCTTGCACCCTGCACCCACAGGTGAATCAGAGTGTTATGAGCCAAATCTTTGATGAAAAGAGTGCTGTGATTCAGAAAACTAAAGGTGAAGAGAGAAAGAGAAAGAAAGAAAGCAACTATCTGAGAGGAACCTTTATGCTCCTCAGGTACGTGCCTCAGGCACGAACAAACAATCACCTACTCTATCACATGACCCTTGTCCTTTGTCCTAGATCTCATAGCACATGACACAGAGTCCCCCTTGCTGTCCCCGGAGTTCCCCTGGCGGACACCCGCCGGAGTTACTAGTCTTGTCATTGTTAACTATTGTTTGTTTACGTGCATTGTCCAGTTGTCTCGGCGCGGGAATGGAAAGCTATATAGGCTGCATCCCCTGTGTACATAGTTTCCTCTTCACGCAACAATTCACCGTCGACCCTCCTGACTCCTTGGTTGGATGTTCAGTGAACATCCAGATTTATCTCTGTTGTCGTCCTTGTCTTAGTCCTGGTACCTTCCTCGGCACATCTTGTCCTTGCAAACGATCCGGCCGTAGTCCGATCTGTCCTAGTCCTCCTCGACTCCGGATCGTGACACAAACATCTTCACCGCCACCATTCCTTCCTCTGCCATAATCCTCGAGGTTATGAGCCCGGCAAAATTCCTGCTTCAGCAATAGACCCATATCATCCATATCGACTTGCTGAACTACGTCTTGGAATTTGTTTCACCAGACATACGCCATCATGACATCCCTCGAAAAGATCTCAGTCGCCAAGCTCAAAGGCTCCGAGAACTATACCATCTGGGCTATCCGCGTCAAGGCCATCTTGACAAGGAGGACCTCATCCCTGCCCTCACCACCTCAACCTCGCAAAACAAGAACGAGAAGGCGCTGTCTATCATACAGCTCCTGTGTGAGGATGGACCCCTTCTCTACATCAAAGATCGTTCCGATGCCAAAACAGCCTGGACAACCCTCGACTCGTGCTACCACCCAAAAAGGTTCACGACCGAGTACCTCATTTTCAAATAATTCTTTAACACGACCCTTGAGGACTTCGACACCATGGAGGAGTACCTCATCAAGGTCAAGACACTCAATGACGATCTCAAGGGCAAGAACATCCATTCTTCCCAAGCAACTGATAATTGCTTGGGTGCTGAATAGCCTGAGCGACTAATATGAGACATTGACCCAGCCCAGCTCCAACTACAACTCCAAGCAAAACATACAAGGTTGAAAAACCCCCAACAACAAAGAAGACTACCAAAGTCTCCCCAAACAAACAAAGTGCCATGATCACCCTCTTGAAAGAGGATGACATTGAAATTGATACAACACCAATGGATGAGGATACTATCATCACTGATGCAGCTGAGTTGTCTGATGACGACCTGCTGAAAGAGGTATGCCTTCCACTTTTCAATAAAAACAAAAACATTGATGAACATCATACTTACAAACATAAATCAGATTTGAATACGTCAGAGCGTTCAAGAAATTTGAATTGGTCAATGTGTTAGGCAGTGAGGACAGAGATGAGGTCCTCTTTCGTCAAGATGGCCTTGACGCGGATAGCCCAGATGGTATAGTTCTCGGAGCCTTTGAGCTTGGTGTTACGAACCTCAAAGAGGCGCGGGGGCCGCAGCTATTTGAGGGGCAACCGTGAACCAATCATTCTACGGACGCCAGGCACTAGCGTCATCACGTGCGTTTCGGTATACTTGGGCAAGCCCCGGAAGGCCCCAAGGAGGCTCTTCGACAAGAGAAGCCAGAAAAGGCCTGCGACTAACCGTCACAAACAATACCCGCTTACACGATGGGACGGTTGGCACAACGCAGGAAACAGCCACACCCGCACGTGACACCCGGGGTATACAGTTGGGTATACCACTCGGACTACGGGAATACCCTGTCCGGTATACCATCGATCATTCCCAACTGTAGACCACAACACGAAGGACTGGATATATAAGGACACTCATTTCAGCATCATGTATTTAGTTCTTCGCGATCAATTGCACATTGTTACTCGGTTACTACCTTTAGTACTTTGCACTTCACAGTTCACCTTCAAGACAACCCAACCTACAAGTAGGGGATTCACCTAGTGGTAACACTCAGTGATTGACTTACTTGGCGCGCACTTCTGGCACGTTCTGCAAGATACTCAACAGGACCCGAACCCGACGTAAGGCTTGGCATAGCAACGGTACGGTTGCGAGATACTCTTGGAATCCGCAGTTGGAACTAGGCAAGTATAACCCGTGGACATTCTAACTCACAGTGACCAGTCGGCTACGCGTAACACTTGGCGACTGAGATCTTTTCGAGGGATGTCATGATGGCGTATGTCTGGTGAAACAAATTCCAAGACGTAGTTCAGCAAGTCGATATGGATGATATGGGTCTATTGCTGAAGCAGGAATTTTGCCGGGCTCATAACCTCGAGGATTATGGCAGAGGAAGGAATGGTGGCGGTGAAGATGTTTGGGAGGAAAGGTTCTTAGGAAGAATGTGGAAGAAAGATGGTGGAGTCAAGTAAGTTTGATTGTGTTGCAAGAACTTGATGATAGTAGTGATGCTAAAACTAATTCCCCTGGGGGATTTGACTCCTATTTATCTTTGCACTTCATGTGCTGTGTTTGGTGAGATTCCGCAATCCTCAGTCCGTCCGCGTCAATCTATGAACGTTACGGTTCACTTGTCTTGTATCTTTATGTCACGTCAGTCCGCAGGCGTCTGTCCGTTAACGTGTCTTGATATTTTTGGATCTTACAAATGTCACTTGGAGGATCGCCAGATTGTCTATGAGAGATTTATCATGTTTTTATGAGGGAATTCCCTCATCATCGTCATTGTGTTGCCACTGAGTTATACTGTCTATTGTTGTTAAATACTTCGCCTTGGAGAGCGCCATGGGAACTCTCCAAGATTCAGTCTCGTTATCGATTGAATAATACTGTTATCTGAACCATACATCTTATCTGTCTTACCTAGCCATCAGCTTGTTTCTACTAGCTACCCCTTAACACTTGCAGTTCGAGCTGATGCTCCAGTTCGCGTACACGGTACGCGAAGATGAACTAGTTCGAGAGGTGTTGCTGTTCGGTCTCCTGGGGAGTGAAGGTCTTCGGAGAGGGGTTCGTTTTGAGTCTCCGAAGGAGGCAGAGGTGCCGGAGGAGTGGGCTGACTCCTCTGGGAGGGTCTCGATGAGGTGCTCGTGGAGCGAGGTTGGGCTGCTGCGGTCAGGCTCGGTCCTGAGATGCGGCGACCGTTTCGAAGGTTTCGGGTGGACATCTTGTCTTCTCAGGTAGCCAGAAAAGAAGATCCAGAATGTTAAGGGGCAGCTAGTATAAACAAGCTGATGGCTAGGTAAGACAGATAAGATGTATGGTTCAGATAACAGTATTATTCAATCGATAACGAGACTGAATCTTGGAGAGTTCCCATGGCGCTCTCCAAGGCGAAGTATTTAACAACAATAGACAGTATAACTCAGTGGCAACACAATGACGATGATGAGGGAATTCCCTCATAAAAACATGATAAATCTCTCATAGACAATCTGGCGATCCTCCAAGTAACATAATGAAATCGATAGACAATCAAAGATCAACTGTGATAAAACAAGATAATGCGAGGCCCGAGTCCTAGGATGATGAAAGGCCGATGATCATCAGGATTCAGATCCATGATAATCCGGAGTACCATCCAAGATCATCCCGGGGCCACGTCTTCGGTGACGTGTGGGGCCGGACGATCACACAAGGCCTGAGCGCTAAGTGATGTGAGGGTCCCAAGAGGGGAACCCCGTAACAGCAAGCCTGAGAAATCGAAATACGGAAGCAGATCGCGACTGAACTAGGATCGAACAACATCAATTCCTCCAACAACACGACCAATAGAGACAAAGACATCAAAGTCTCGCCAAGAGACGTCTCTATCAGACTCCACCCGAGGGAGGCTATTGGTCGTGTTGTTGGAGGAATTGATGTTGTTCGATCCTAGTCCAGTCGTGATCTGCTTCCGTATTTCGATATCTCGGGCTTGCATTTCGGGTCCTCGATGGAGGCAAGGTATGCGCTGAACGCATTGGGATCTTGGTCGGGTAGTTGACGCGCGGAGTGGTAGAGTTCCGCGATGTCAACTTTGGTACTTCTTCCGCCTCGGATAAACAGAAGGATTCAATCCTTGAAGTCTTGCCATGTTGCCTGGGTTAGTCCTTCGGGAAAGTTCTCCGACTCGTGGTGAGACCACTGGTGTCGGTGGGCCTGGTCGATACAGAAGAAAGCGGTGATGATTCGATTCACGTCCGAAGAGTAAATGAAATCACCATGGAAGATGTCGTGGAATGGGGTTGAGCCGCTGCTGCAAGGTGGCCGTTTCGAAGGTTTCGGGTAAAGTAGTCATCCATGGTAATCTCGTCGACGTGGGCATTGTGTGAAATGACAACATCGAGCTCCGTCTCTATCAGAACTCGACCCGAGGTCCAGAGAGGACCCCGTAACAATATCTGGCAAATTCGTTCCCTGCGTGATGTAGACATTGCGGTCGTTGTCATCGGCGTTTGGGGAATTCTCATCGGGTCGTAGTTGCTGCGGTGCTGGGTACATAGACTGTCGTTGATCAGCTGACGCGCCCATGCCCGTGTTGGCTGTATCGTCAGCCATGATGTACACAGTACGGAGTAAATTGAGGTCGTTCCTTGGATTGGTGCGGGGTGTGCTAACTGTGGGTCAGGTTCAACCAATCGGATGCTCAGTAGGAATATTGCCGGATTCGGACCGCCCGGCAGAAAAGGCTCATAACCTCTAAAGAGGCTACTTAGTGGATCAATACCTGGATGAATTACTGTGAAGCACATGATATTCCAGTAGCGACTGATGATGATGGACTAGGGAGAGAAGGACTAGGGAAGAGAAGGATAAGGAAGGACCATCTACTCCATCCATTTCCATTAGGCTTTCCTCCTTACACAGTGCAAGCGTTGTTGAGATGCCTCTAGCCGATCATACGCTAAACCCACCAACGTGCCTGTTAATGATACACCTCGAAAACCGTCTCCTGATTCCTCTAACACTTTACGAAGTCATTCGACGCCGTCCAGCAGCCGCTTTCAGGACCTGTACCCATTGCAATCGAAGCCTTCCCATCGACCAGTTTCGCTCGAGGCGCGTGGTCTGTGGATAGGCCAGGCCGCCAGGATACAGAGACGAGGCAATGCCTGTCAGCAGGAACAAAGCAAACGTCAACGAAGTGCGTGGGAGGTTCTGTTACTGAAGTAAAATTGTGGTTGTTCAGAAGGAGAAGAGTGGAAGAAGAGGAGAGTGCACAGAGCGCGGGGTATAAAGAGATTACGCTGCTAGGCTGCTACACTGAAACATCGAGGGTGGGCAATAACTGACATATCTCTATACTAACAGCGTCGCGATATATATGAGATACTTAATCATCGCTACCTACGGACTGCGACTGGCGTTTAAACAAAGTGGATAAAGTAACGCTCAGCAACAGAGGCTGGTGATCCTGGGGGAACTAAGGCCGGTAGTGCTAGCTAATGATGGAGATGTTTGTCGTTTAAATACTATGATGAAAATGCTTGACACCGATCTGTGGCCAGTCCCGGTCCGTTCGACCAGTCCTGGATCCCTCCAACATTCTTCCTTGCCCAGCAACGGGCGCTGGGGTGGAAACTCTGTTCAACACCGCGTGCGATATCCCGCCACTATGGCCCTGGCTCTTTGGAGTTCCGCACCATCGAAGAGTTGATGCTGTATCTTTGTACATCAAGGACTCAAGGTTTGACTTTGAGGTGCAAGATGCGAAGGAATTTGAGCACTTTGTTGGTTCTGATGAAATCAAAGTCCTGTTAGAAGTGCAGATATGAAGCCGGAGGATGTCATTGCCGATCTTGATGCAATCAGCGACAATGAAGAGCAGGGTGATAGATCTTGAAATCTGATAGATGTTGACGATGACGATACTACGATCACTTGAAGCCATCTCAGGTACATATATCCAAGTCTGAGCTGGTTTCAGAGCCTGCTATGAAGATGTATCGATTACCACATGAAGTGGTAAAGTAATTGAATGATTCATAGGAAGTTTCCTTGCGTGAACCGTGTGCTATAATCCGCAGCCTTTTTTACCATTTCCCGGCGCTGGGCATTAGATATCTTCGATGAAACTGCCATGTCCTTCTCGCGATCGAATGCACGCCCACTTGGATCATCGTCCTCTTTTTGAGCCTGACCTGAAGTTTCCAGGCGAGCCGCCTTTCCAGTTATGTCCTACAACAGGATGTCAGACGAACCAAGAAAGGATAGACAAGGTAACAAATAACATTGAAATGCGTAGTCCAAAGCTTACCTTGTACTTCTGAATTTTCTCTGCCACCAATTTTGTCTTTGAAGAACCAACCTGATTCGTGGCCTGGTGTGTGGAAGAACTAACGCCCATGACTGCATCCTGTAGCCGCCTCATGCGCTCCTCTGGAGTTTCGACCCATGAAGAATCCATGTGTTTGGGCGCCGAAGCGGCTTTGCCTGTATTGAACTTGCGGTTTCGTAGCTGTGTGGGGTCGACCTTGGAAGCCCAATCGGAATGGGTAGGAGGTTGCAGCATCCATTGATCTCGCTGGCTTTCCTTTTCCTCCGAGCTGGGCACATCCGCTGTATTGGTAATCTTAGGCTCTGGTTGCGTAAAATCTTCCAATGGAGCAGACGGAGGAAGACTTGGGCCAAAATCATCATCGTCGTCGTCGTCGTCATCACTGTCACTGCCAGTCTTGCTGTTCATGGTGTGGGCCGCATCCTGAGACGGGGGTAGACAGGGTCCGATTACCTTCCGTTGCTTGGAGACCGACTCAATTTGCTGATCCCCTTCGGTCTCATTAAGTTTCCGCTTGGATATTGAGTCCATTTCTGGCTTAAAGTAGGAGGATATGAGTGAGTAGTAAGTGTTGCAGAAGGAAAAGTCGCGACTCGATCTTATCGCGATTTTCCCGTTATCGCGTATGGTAAGATGTGACGGAGATTATGTCATGGATGACGTGACAAGACATTGATGTGTGCATAGTTCATATGGGAAAGTAGGTAGATTTAGTCTTGATAAATTACGTGACATGTAATTACAACTTATGTGGACTTTTCCCCATGGCATAACTATGCAGTCTTGATCTTAACAATCCTCGTCAACTTCATTTCTTATTTTTCCTTGAAACCTGATCTCTCTCTCTCTCTGACGAGTTTCTTGTCATTTGAGCAAGCTTTTCTCTCCATAATAATCCGTCTCATTCCAACGAAAGGCCACAAGTCAGATCACAGATAAGCTCCCAATCTTTGTTCTGACGCGAGACCGCTTTTTCGACCCCGCATGCTCCGTCACCCTCGTCATTAACAGCGATAAGACAAAGCGTTGGTGCCTTCCCACCGCCTTATTGAAAATGATATGTCTCCCATCATTCCGTTGATTTTCAGAGACGAGCATGGTCTAGAGGTGTGCTGAGTTAAAGGGCCAAACAATGGGCCATCAGTCTCTAGAAGCCCAGTGGAATTCGCAGGCTTCCCCTACGGAGGATGGCACTAAGAATTGTCGATCAGAGGAATACAGACCCATGCAATATTTGATTCCCCCCTACGAGGGTCAGTCGAAATTCTCGGATGATCGACACCAGCCGCGCGAGTCTGCGGAATCCCAAAGCGAGATCTCATTACCTACGGCCCCTCGAAGGTTTCCGGCCCAGCCAATCGAGACCCTATCACGAAACTCCAAGGAACAACAGTCAGCTCCAACTGGGGGAGACCAAACCTCTCCACCAAATGGCGAAACTAGTCCGAAAGCTTTAAGGGAACACCCGCCGCCCAGAAGGTTTCTACCTGAACCAGTGGAAACAAGCAAAACCAGTCATAGAAGGACTCATTCCGCTTCTGAGTTACGCGAGAGCACATCTTCTTTTTCTAGAGAGGCACCGGGGGCCCCAAGAAGGTTCAAACCGAACCTCATAGAAACCGACACTCGCTCGGTCCGACAAGGAGGGTCTGTCTCACATTCCTCACTGCACGATGTCACAAGATCTCCTGCAAAGCACCAAGTGATTTGCCCAGACACAACTTCCTGGCCAGATATATCTTCGCATGCGTCCACAAGTCTGATACCTGACTCTCAATTCTCATATTCAAATCTTCTACGCCGACAGAACGCTCGCAGACACTCATTCCGAGTCCCAGATCTCCCGTCAATCCCCTCTAATAGCAGCGAAGACTCAGATAACTCTAGTTCGCATTCGGCATGCACTTCGCCACCTGGGTCATCTAATAAGCCCACGCAGGGTCTATACTCGAGCAAGCTACGCCGTGGGAACGGCAACGGCGAGATTTCAGACTATCTGCTCTCGCTTGCAGCTCGGTCCGCACAGGAGCAGCTAAAGGAACAAACTCTGGCTGCCTTCCCCAACGAGCAGGTGTATGAGCCTGTTGATCATTTCGCCATCGACGAAGATGATAGGGACCTGGCGGAAGACACGCTCTCTCAAATGGATTATTATCATGTCAAGTCTCGACGACAGTCTTCGGCAGATCTATCCTGGGAACTAGAGTACATGCGCCACCATAAGGAAGAAGCCGAGATGAGACTTCGGGCCATGATTGCATCTGGGCAACGAGAGTGTTCACCCGAGCGAAATAGGAATGGCAAGAGCCCACCTATGCATGGGAATGACATTGTCCTTCCTCAAAGCGTTTCGCCCGAGGGAACGATGTGTGAATACAGAAGCACCGATGCGGTCTCCTATGGCGCACATGACATTTGCCATGACTGTGATGGTCTGTGGTGTGCAGCCCCTGACCGAGGGAAAGTGAAGGGTGTTGGTCTCTGGATGGGTACCTGCCGCAAAGACGAAGGGCAAGACCGGGAAGTACAGGGTCTGCTGCCAGGAATTGTAACTCCCATGCCTCGTGTCGATGGGGCTGGCATCGGCATGGGGCTCAGCCCATCCCCGTCGCACACCCAGCTGAATCGTCTCGCAGCCTCCCCTGGGAGTCATAGTTCCCCAAATCCCGTGAGTCCTAATCTCCAGAAGATCATCAAATCCGAATTCCATGATGGATTTGTGACCCAAATTTATAACTATCTATCACTGGGGTACCCTTGCCTGGCCCGTTATTATGATTACGAGCTCAGCCGGATCTCATGCATTTCCGTCGAGGATCTTCGTCGGGATGACTTGCGCACTGATGCCAGAGGCTATATCGTTGCCCCCGAAGATGGCAATATCGCGAACGCGTGCGCACGATGGAAAGCCCTCCGTCTATACATCCAGGAATGGGCCAGGCAAGAGCCTGGCATGGCCGAAGATGAAACCAACCTTGAAGGCTGGGGACACCCAGAACGAAAGGGCAGTTGGGCAATATGAGGCGTACCTCGAAGATTCATCTGTTTGTTTCATTATTGAGTAGCGTGAATTGGTGTTCAATGAGTGATATGGGTGACTGCACACTGTTTTGTCTCAACTGTAGCGGGGTTGGTTCTGGAGATTCTACGTAGGGGATTGATAATCCTCAATACACTCGATTATGGTTTCCTGGCTTTTTCGCTACAAGGAGGCTATTAGTACATCAATGTGGTAAATGGCTCCCTCTCGACCTGATTGAAAATGATAAGTACTATTGTCTACCGAAGTTGCCCCATAATCTGTTTCAACTCCTCCAGGCAATGGCATGATTGCCAACTCCCACCCATTGCGAAGATGACATGTAGCAAGCACAAGCCACACATCCTACTGATGCATATTTCCCTTTCGGGCCCTCTCATGGACGATTCCCGGGAAGATTTTCTGCTCTGGCGATCCATCTGCACCTCCTACACCTGTCCCAAGCGCAGTGCTGCTACCAGGTAACGAGAACTCACCCGTGGAAATACGAGGCGACCGGGCGAGGTGTGTGGATGGAGTCGATGGGGACGTGGCCATCTGGTTTGTGGGTTGAAGATCTTTCTGTGAAGTATCCATAGCGTCTATGGAACTTGAGCGCAACTCAGACTGCGGTCTAGGGTTGACTGTAGGGTGATCTGGAATTAGGCGAGTCCAAGTCAGTCTAATGTATGATTTTGATCGTTCCGGATCGACGTGGCATATTCACCGTGGTTTGAAGCCTTTGCTTCCGCTGGTGGACCTGGAATCGAAATCCTCTGCTCTTCAGTCCCGTTGCTCTCAGAGTATCGTTCAATCCTAAAGACGATATGTGGTCAGCGCTGAATGCATAAGCCTAAAGCGATTCTGAGAAACTGACAAGGACAATTCTGCGAGCAGAGTCTCGTATCGGAACGCTTCGCGTATATCGGGCACATTGCTTTTGGCAACATTGTTACCAGCAACTCCCGGCAAAGAACAACCCGAGCCAAGCCATCTTTCCTTGAGAGAAAGCTCAAATCCACTTTGGTCAACCGAATGTTTGGCGAGTTCACACATATCGACCGCACTGAATTTATAGATCTGTGCTGCAACTGAGTATTCCTCAATGAGAGGCTCCTTTGTGAAGGCAAACTGCAATGGATCATCGGTAGACAAGGACACATTAAGTCCTCGCTTGAAAAAACTCGCGCAGGGGTTCTTGTCATACGTGAGGAATAAAGCATTGTTACTGAGTGGTGACATAGCAATGCCAATTTGATCCAGATAGTAGAGGTACTGCAAGAGAGGTACTTTGCGCAGCAGGATACCGTGACTGATGCTGTGGCAACAAAGGAAGCCGACAGCCAGATGATCCGGGTCGCCTGCTTCTCCACAATGAGGCCGAAGAACAAAAGTGTTGAATCCTCGGCATTTCCGCCAATTGTTCAGGGAAGCGATGTTGGCAAACATGAAGTATAACCAGTATGTGTAAGGCGGATTCTGTTTGGTGTTCCATTCTCGGGGGATAGGATATTTCCTATACAGCCGGCGCTCGGGCTTGCTCTCGTCATCCACACTGTCAAACCCAACCACTCGCTGGAGGAAGATATGGAGTTTCGGGTGACTCGAAGGGTCTTTAGTCACTTCAAACAAGGGCTGGAAGACATTGGTGATCACCTGCTCAAAGTTCTCCATCATGCCGCTTGATTTGTACACATCATAGAGTCGCGGGACTTGAATAAGCCAGCGAACATTGGGCGAGAACAGCTTATTGTCCACCACCCAGGCCGCAAGCTTGTCCCATTCTTGGATGGAACGACCGTATATCGAGATGCGCCATTCAACCATCTGGTATTTGCTGGATTCTAAATCCGAGATCACTTCCTTGGTAATCTCTGCCAGGTAACGACCTTTGATGTAGTTGTCTGTCTTGAGGAAGATTTCACGCAGCCGAGATTCCCCGACTGGATTATACTTCAAATTGAATTTGTCGAATCGGTGGAAAGAGTCAGTATGTGCCTATGGATTCAGTCAGCAGTAGTAAAATGAGTGGCATCGAAAGTGTAGGATCAAGAGTAGGAGTAAGACAAGATAGGCAAGGCGAAGATGGTGCAACTAGATTGTATCTTCATCTCTGGATCACGAAAAAAGAAGAGGGGTTTGAAGGACGTGGTGAGAAACCTACGTGCATATCCAATGTATCGATACTCAGGTCATAAGCAGTCAAATTGATACTCTCAAAAACCTCTCTCAAGGTCAAATGTTTTCCATCTCGGAAAAGGACGACTTCATCCGGGGACTTTCTCATTTTGCTCTTGATGAAGCGAAGAAGGTGCTTCTGATTCATGCAAGCGGAATGATGAACGTGGGTATCCACTTTCCGCACGTTATAGAAGTCCCTGTGGGGAACCTTCTTGCTGTCCGCCATCTCCTGATATTCATTGAGTAGCGCATACAGTTGGAACTTGCCCTCCAAATACGAAAGCCGCTTGAATGCAAAGCTCTTAGCAGGTCCATCGGTCGACACATCCACGACGGCATCAAGATCCATATAGAAATCGCGCAAAGAGGGAATCTGGACGATGGGCTTTTGCTCATCAGCAGCGGCCTCGGACTCGAATACCTGGTACACGCTGTTACCATCCAGTCGATACGTCCAGGTCGATTCCTCGGGCAGGGGGAGCAATTCTTCCATGTCAAAATCCTCGCCAATGTCTTGACCCATCTTCCTCTTCTTTCCTCCAAGGTCAGATGGACCACTGGCATTGCCAGGTTGATACTCCTTGCCATCATCCCAAGCTGGTTCCGGAGGGGGCGGATAGATCTTCCAGTCCGGTTGGTTCTTGGGATCATCTCCGGGTCCCTGTAAAGAGAGGTCCATGTAGTGGGCTCGCCGATCAAGCAGATGTTTGATTTTGCCGTAGATAGCGTTTAACTCAGACGTCACAGCATCACTGCTAGATGCGAATCCACTGGCAACCTGAGGCCCTTTGATCCCCACACCGGCGCCCAGCAGACTTCCCGGCACCGCCGAGTGTGGTCCCTGCCCATGCACAGAGTTCAGATGTACTGCCTGGTTCCGAGCAGATTCATTCGCCTCATCTTCATGATCTCCAAGGTAGTAGGCACTGTGGTCGTTGTCAGGACCATCGACCGACTGCAGATGTAGTGTTGAGGAATCGGACTCTACGACCATAGACCCTTCGTGTGAGATTCGACTTTGAGCAATCATCGAATCCGGTACGTCGACCAGTGATTCGTCGGAGTGGGTGTCAATTGATGGACGAGTTGGGGCCACAGGACTCGAAGGCAAGGTATTGTCGTTCCGTGCGGCCAGCTGATGATGTTGATAGAAGAGTCTTGACTCGGCGTGACTCATGGACTTCTCATAGGCGTAATCATACGTGGCAGTCTTCTGTTGTCGATCTCTGGGTAAAATATCTTCTGTAGGCTGGTCTAGCACATTGGGCTTTTCATCTAGAGGAGAATCCACGAAACCGTTGTGACCCGAAGGTGAAATGACTGATTCATTGGAATCGGCAGATGCGTTGGCATTCCGATTGGAACTGAGGTCGGCTTGAGGGGGTCCCATGACTGTTGTACCCCCTTGGTATTGTGTGTACAGTATATAATATGAGTTGCAAATCAAACAAAGAGAGGGGAAATTTGGAGCCTTGAAGACTAATGAGAAATTTAAATCCAATTGGAGACAAAGAGGCACGATCAGTCCCGAATATGGAGGAAGAAGCAAAAGAAAGCTGAAGTAGAAAAAGAATAAGTAAGGGAGTAGAGAAAAAAACAGAACAAAACAACGAGAGAAACGAAAAAAACGAAAAAAAAAATATTACAAACCCCAAAGTGTGCACTCGAGGTTCAAGCTTTCCGGTGAGAGATGAGGTGGGGAAGGGGGGAAGAGAAGGTCCAGATCGCCCGCTGGGCTACGTATCTTGGTCTTAGCCTCTTAGGGCACGTGAGCTCGTACCTCACGTGTGGAAATACGTAAGATCGCCCACGTAACTAAGATCTCCAATGGACACATCGTTAGTATGTAACTGTACTGCGTACGTAAGTTACCTATTTGACTGTATCTAGGAGGGTTCTACTATCACCAGTTTCATATTTTTCCTGTAATGAGCTACTACTCTTATAATACTTCGATTGATCTATTTCTCTCTTCTTAATGCTTTTCTTACTTGTGAGGCTAACAAGAGTTCCAATCCATTTGGCTTCAAAACGGGCTGTGTACTATGTATCGTAATACATACCATTTCCCCTAGGCGACCATGATTCCCTTACTCTCTCTCCACCTTCAGGCTTCATCGATTCCCTTGATTATTCTCATATTTTCCCTTTCATAGTCGCCTCGGTATCTGCGAGATTCTTCTCTGTCTTGAAGCATTCGTCCTTGCTTTTGTTCCTCGAAAGGTCGGTGTTTACATGGACCTATGTCAACTCCCTCTCCCGTCTCTTCTCCTATCTGGCAATCTACGATGGGTGGCACAACTGCGTACAACTATATGCTTGGCTTTGACTCATCGATGCTGACAGCTTATGCATGAGACACAGATATTGTAAAACCTCAACAAAAAAAAGGCACCCAACCTATCCCACGTGGACGCCAAACTTGACAAGCTTCCCCTTCCCTATCCCCGCCGGAAGTCATGGCTTCTCTCAATCTCTCATCCAATGGCCCCTCGATATCGAAAAGCTACCAGACAGTGGTAAATGCACCACTCACATCTGGAAATGAAGGTTCTCCGACTTATGGTCAATGGGCTGTCTTTTCGGTATCTACCCCGCTTGTTAGTGCTTTCCAGCAAGACGGAAGCAAGGAGAGTGTCCTCAAAGTTCAGAGCACTGGAGGTCAGTGATCCTATTACCTAATTGGCATGCCATTTTCCATTGACATGTATCACTGCCAGAGGGTGAATTGGCCGATCTCATCGAGGAATTCTCCGAAGGACGGGTGCAATTCGCCTTCGTTAAGGTCACAGACCCGAACACTCGACTTCCCAAGAACGTACTGGTCGGGTGGTGCGGAGAGGGTGTACCAGAACGAACAAAGGGTTATTTCACTAGCCACTTGGCTACAGTTTCCAAGTTCCTGCATGTGAGGAGTTCCCATTCAACGCCACTGCTGCGGCGAGACTGACTTAACTGCGTAGGGATACCATGTACAGGTCACAGCTCGAGCGGATGGGGATCTAACCCCCGAAGGAATAATCCAGCGAGTCGCAGATTCCTCCGGCTCCAAGTATTCAGCAGGCGAGGCCTCTGCGCCGGCCCCAGCCCCCGGCCTGCCGTGGCCAGCAAGCCTGCTTTCACGCCAACTCGATCTGGGGGAATTTCCTCAAGTCCCGCTCCCCGAGTGCCTCCCGCATCTTCAAGAGCTAGCCACGTGGATGATGATGGATGGGGCGCAGATGCCCCTCCAGTGACTCGCACCCAGTTGGAAAAGGTTCAACCCGCTTACCAGCCCACCAGAGTGAATCTACAAGAACTCAAGGCGAACCCCACGGCCAGTCGTCAATCCCCCGCTGCTGTCTCGGATGATTCTGGGGATCTGGTTAGAGGTGGTTACCAGCCGGTAGGTAAAGTCGACATTGCTGCAATTCGGAGGCAAGCTGCCGAGTCTGGTCAGTTGAAAGACGAGCGCCCGGCGATTGTCAAGGGGTCATATGAGCCCGTTGGCAAAGTTGACATTGCTGCCATTCGAACCAGAGCACAGAAGCCAGAGGGCACTGATGGCCACGTCTCAAATCCCACAGTCAATCAACCCTCAACCACGTTGCCCGAACGACCTGCACCCTCCAGTGCAGCGGAGCGCTTGACCAACCTACCAAAACCCAAGGTTGCCAACAAATTTGGCTCTACCCCATCATTTCCAGGAACTAAACCACCGCTGCCAATCGGTCTTGAGCCCAAGCCAAGCTCGAGCGCCCAGATTGGTGCCGCGAGCCGCACTTTCGCCGACGAGGGGGGCAAAACACCTGCTCAGATCTGGGCCGAGCGTAAGGCTAGGGAGCGTGGAGAGATCCCGCCATCCGGAGGTGCAAAGCCTACGCCAACTCCCGGCCCTGCCCCTACCGCGATCCAGAGCCAACCTAGTGGCCAGGGCGAGTGGAAGAGCTCGTATGCGGGCAAGTCATGGGCCCCCGTTCAAACTGCACAGGAAAGATCACTTCTTCCTGAGCAGCCTGCCGATGCAAAAGCCCATGACCACGAAGAGGATAAGCCACAGTCTCATGTGAGTGATATTCGTGACCAATTCTCTCATGACGCGCCGGCGCCGTTCGCGCCCCCGGCTCCCCCAGTTCCGCAGGCCAGTCGCCCGATCCCTGTGCCGGGCCTGTCATCTGGGACCACCGAGTCGGAGCCTGAGCATGATGCCCAGCAGGCTCTTCCTACTCCCCCACCGCAGCCTCGTTCCCCGACACCTCCAACCCCACCGGTGCGTGAGAGCTCGCCGATCCAAATTGCGATGCCAGTTGGCCACAGCGTTGCCGACCGCGTTACCGACGCCCACGAAGAACAGCAGTCTCCCCCTCCTGTTATGCCCATTCAGAGCCTGCAGGAAGCTGTTCCAGACGAGAGGGATCTTGAAGATGATTCTCACGACCTCGGTCGTGCTGCGGCCGAAGCCTCCGCTCATGAGCAGCAGCAGCCTGGACAAACCCGGGCCGGACCTCGGGCCCAGGTCCAGTATGACTATGAAAAGGCCGAGGACAATGAGATTGAATTGCGAGAGGGAGAGTATGTGACCGATATCGAGATGGTAGACCAAGATTGGTGGGTGGGTGTCAACACTCTCGGTGAGCGTGGTCTCTTCCCTGCCAATTACGTGGAAATTGTGGAAGACAAAGAACTCGTGTCACATGAACCATCAGCTGGTTCCCATCAATTTGAAGCAGAGCCAGAACCTGCTGCTCCTGTCCCAGCCACTCCCACTCCTGCGGCTGCACCGCCGGCCGCTGCTTCTTCGGGTTCTAAAGGTATCACTGCTACGGCTCTGTATGATTATGAAGCCGCCGAAGACAACGAAATTGGGTTCCCTGAAGGCGTGCAGATCTCAAACGTGGTAAGTCGGACATATATCTATTGTCTTACCCGATCTATTGCCCTGCAGAACTAACCGACTCTCTAGGAATTTCCGGATGATGACTGGTGGCTCGGCGTGTACAATGGCAAGCAAGGTCTATTCCCTGCCAACTATGTTCGCCTGGACGAGTGAGTGGATCATACATCTGTACTCTGAGCCCCTAGCAAAATGCGCCAGAGCAATAGAATATTCTATTCTTTGTCAAACTAGATTTACTATGTATCATTGAAACATAGGTGGGCTTGCACTGTTCTTTACCTCAGCAAATTCAATCGAGACCAGCCATAGAAAGGATGTATAGAGTCAAGAGAATGTAGCATGAGATTAGGTATATGCCTACATGTCAGTATAAATAGGAAGTCTGCATGTCTTCATCTACAGAGACATCTCCGTATATGCGAGTTACTGCGTAAAAGACCTTGGGAAGAGTCAACGAATCATCGACGTCATGGCCTCGGAATCTGATTATGTCAGCATCACGTGTGCCGAAAATTGGCCATAAACAGTGTTGGGGTTCTCGAGACAGTGTACTTAGGCCTCTGCAGGGATCCGGTGACCGTACGCTCGCGACTTCAATTTGCGCGTACCTTTCTTTTATCTTTTCACTCTTTCACTCTGAGTACTATCAGTCCCTTGTGTGGATCGCAACTCTTGAAACTGCTTTGATTGCCAAACTACGCCATGGCATCACTGGGCGAGGATCTGCTCGTGACAGTGAACAAGTTACAGGATCTGGTCTTCAATACCATTGGGAATGATTCCTTGGATTTGCCCCAAATCGTAAGTCTGATCCGGCAGAGAGCTCTTTGGAGTTGGAGAGGGAATTCACATTCAATGCTTGGTCAACCATAACTAATCCTCACCTCCTCAGGTCGTTGTTGGTTCCCAGTCATCCGGGAAGTCCTCGGTCCTAGAGAATATAGTTGGAAGGGATTTTCTACCAAGAGGTAGCGGAATTGTCACCAGACGGCCGCTGATCCTCCAACTTATCAACGTACCCAGTGAACGTGATGATAAGCCAGCAACCGATGAGATCCATATCCCCCACACTGCTGCTAGTGTTGCCGGTCAACACGAATGGGCCGAATTCCACCATCTCCCGGGGCGCAAATTCGATGACTTTTTGCAAGTGAAGCAAGAGATCGAAGCGGAAACGGCAAGGATCGCAGGAAGCAACAAGGGCATCAACCGACAACCAATCAATCTCAAGATCTTCTCGCCCCATGTGCTCAACCTTACACTGGTAGATCTGCCAGGATTGACAAAGGTGCCCATTGGTGATCAGCCGACCGACATCGAGAAACAAACACGTACTCTGATTCTGGAATATATCGCAAAACCGAATAGCATAATTCTTGCGGTCTCTCCGGCTAATGTCGATCTGGTTAATTCCGAGGCACTGAAGCTCGCTCGTCAAGTTGATCCTATGGGCCGTCGGACGATTGGCGTTCTGTCAAAGCTGGATCTCATGGACCATGGCACCAATGCGATGGACATTCTTTCTGGGCGTGTGTATCCCCTCAAGCTCGGATTCATTGGCGTCGTCAACCGGTCCCAGCAAGATATTCAATCTGGCAAGGCGCTTTCCGAGGCATTGCGCGCAGAGTCTGAGTTCTTCCGGCATCACCCAGCTTATCGGAACATGGCCAACCGTTGCGGTACGCACTTTTTGGCTAAGACCCTGAACACAACCCTGATGTCGCACATTCGGGATCGGTTACCAGATATCAAAGCCCGGCTGAACACTTTGATGGGTCAAACTCAGCAAGAGTTGGCCAGCTACGGAAACAAGCAATTCAGTGGCGAAGAACACCGTGGGTCATTGATTCTTCAACAAATGACTAGATTCGCCGCCTCGTTCATCTCATCTATCGATGGAACTTCCTCGGAGATCTCTACCAAAGAACTATGCGGTGGAGCAAGGATTTACTATATCTTCAACTCTGTTTTCGGAAATTCATTGGAAACCATTGATCCGACCCATAACCTGACTGTCTCGGACATCCGAACGGCTATTCGAAACTCGACAGGCCCTCGACCCAGCCTGTTTGTCCCGGAGCTGGCTTTCGATCTGCTGGTCAAACCACAGATCAAACTGCTTGAATCCCCCAGTCAGCGGTGCGTGGAGCTGGTCTATGAAGAGCTCATTAAAATCTGCCACACATGCGGGAACCAAGAACTCTTGCGGTTCCCCCGCCTTCAAGGGAAATTGATTGAGGTTGTGTCTGATCTCCTTCGTGAACGCCTGGGCCCCTGCTCGAGCTACGTGGAGTCTTTGATCTCCATTCAGAGAGCCTACATTAACACCAACCACCCGAACTTCCTCGGTGCCGCAGCTGCGATGTCTTCAATCATCCAGAACAAACAAGACGAAGAAAGGAAGGCCGTGTTGGCAGAGGAAAAGCGGAAGCGCGAGAAGCGACGCCAAAAGGAATTGGGCGCTCCTAACGGCACTACGGGGGCTATCGACGAAGAAGAATATGCGGACAAGCAAAATCTCCCTCTCCGAAGCCAGTCAACGAAGGGCTCGCGGAGCATGTCTCCTCACGTTGGCCGCAATGGCGACAATGGAATTGCCGCCACTTTAAATGGCGCCCATTCTAGCCATGCGGCTGCGTTTGGGGGATCTTCCAACAATGCCCGAGACTCGTTCCTGAACTACTTCTTCGGCAAGGAAGGCACTCATAACACAGCCATTCCACCAGCAGGTATGAACGCCAATCGACAAGGGCCACATGCTAGCGAGCCAAGTATCAGCCAGAGCATCCGCCGTGCTGAGGCTCGGGCTCCTATTATGCCTGTTGATGAGTATACTGCACCTGAATACGGTGATGAAGCATCTGTTTTCGTAAGTACTGCCAGATTTCTTCCCATGCGTCGATGTCTTATTCGGTGCACTTGATTGACTTGCGATTCTTACAGCCCCATGAGAACACCGAGCCCGCACTCACGGATCGTGAGATGCTTGAAACCGAGCTCATTCGCCGTCTCATTTCGTCCTACTTTAATATTGTACGAGAGACCATCGCAGACCAGGTCCCCAAAGCTGTCATGCATCTACTTGTCAACCACTGCAAGGATGTGGTGCAGAACAGACTTGTGAGCGAACTTTATAAAGAAGACCTTTTCAGCGAGCTCCTTTACGAGGACGATGGCATCAAGGCCGAGAGAGAGAAATGCGAGCGGCTATTGGAAACATACAAAGAAGCCGCCAAGATCGTGGGCGAAGTTTTATAGATGGCGTTTTTCATTGTGCTTCTCGGACCGGCTTGGGGGAAACCTGGGGGATTCTGATTCTGCATCATGCCTGGTGCTTTTCTACTCATTCTGCAGGATGAGTATGTTGCTTCTATCTGAATTTATGTACAATTATCGCGAGCCGCACATGATATCGATATCTCTTTTCCTTCCACCCATCACACGCGATATCCGTAGCTTGCTCGCCGATGTAAATAAATATGTAACATACTGATTGGAAATGGGCTCAAAAGACGATGTGGGAAAGGACAAGCTGTACAGATGCATAGACGTCTAGATGCAAAAATCGTGACTCGTACATGAATGTGCGGCTTCACTCGGTCTTTTTGGCCACGCTCCGTAGGCGCGCACCCTCGAAGCCATATAAACCACCCCCAACGAACACCAAAGCCGCCCCTAACAGGACACCCCCGGCCAAGTCATTGCCAAATAGGTAGATGGACAGGAGCAGTGAAACCAGCTTGCGGATATTCAAAAAGATAGTGACTGTCAATGACGAAGACTTTGCCGACAGCAGGTGGACACCGCGAATGCACAGATACTGCGTCAATGCATTCATGGCCAGATACGCCACCTGAATAGGCATTCTCCCCAGGGAAGCTTGCACCGACTCATTCTGACAGATCCACCCCAGCAAGGAGGGGGTACCCTTAAGCACACCCGACACCCCACCGGACCATGACTCTAAGTTCATATGTGACAGCAGTGAAGGCGACGAGGCCACCACCCGCCACTGATCCAGCAGCTGCGGATAACTCGTCAAGAAAAGCGGCAAAGAAAGAGCATGCGAGTAGAATAGCGCCTCTTTCCAGTGATCCCTGCCGTAAGTCGCATACAGGCGGTCCGCATAGATTCCTTGAAATGCAGAGAGGACCATTGCCAGGACGAGGATCGTGAAGCCTGTCACCGTCGTCATTGTATCCGTGGAATCGGAGTCGGCGTGCATCGACACCCCCTTAGCTTGTGCGTCAGCCATGGCCGCCGCTGCCACGCCCACGGTCAGCATTGCTACCGAGGTGATCTGGCCACGAGAATAGCGCTTGCCATTGTACAGGTAGCCAATCACCATTGATGCCACGGGGCCTGCAGACCGCAGGATTATGTGCAGTGGTACGGAGATCTTGTACGCGAAGGCCCAGTTGTTAAGGAGGTTGACGCTCACAAAATACGCGGTATATACCACCCATGATCGCAGTGGGACAGCACGGGGTTGGATAAACAGGGCTCGTGGTCCGGCCGGGAGGGAGAAGAAGCTTGGAAGGGTGAAGAGTGCGCAAATCACGAATTGGGCGAATGTTATCAGGAGGCCTGTATGGAAGGGTTATGTTAGGTTATGCGATATGACCCGAGATGATGGCAGTCCTCACCGGCGGCAGGCTGTTCTCTGAAAGAAGACTAGTTAGCTTGCATGTTGTTATTGATGTGGCCGCTTGACTTACTTGATGATTGCTTCCAGCGCGAAGACCTAAACATAACATTAGACCCGGCTTACACAGCATTCGAGCTACGGATGCCTAGACACCCACATTTGCGCAGCAGCCTCCAAATATAAGAGAGACCATCAGAATCATGTTTGTCCAGCTGGGCACTGTCGCATGGGCGACGGCCGCAACGAGTCCCGCATCTTTCTTCACTTGAGAGTAATCACGCTTGTCCTTGGGGTTTCGATACTGAGATGGGGTATCTGATGCAATTGTTTCTTCTGGAAGGTTCACATTGACACGAGATCGCAGATAGGAATCGTTGAGTCCTCGTTTCGAGGGTTCACGGTCATTGAGCATTCTACCTGTCTCTAAGAGCGTCAGTGGGTGATTTGGAGAGAGACAAGGGGGAAATTAGGATTATTACCTGGGAAAATGAATCAATTGTTGCAGGCAACTGTACAAGGCGACGTGGAAAGAAAGAAAGCTGTGGGGAATGGGATCCGATAAGATGTGAATCACGGGGATCGACGATTGCCCACGGACTGTGTACATACTGTACATACTGTACATACTACAGTGTAGGTACAAGACTCAATATACAATGTCTGCTTGTTTGGTTGACTGCTTCAAATTTGATTCTCCAGATTCGACTATTTTACGCAACTAATCCCAGCTCCCCCCTCAATCGACAATATCATCGTCGCTGAGGATCAATTTCTCTTCGTTCTGGGATGGCCTGGATCCAACACCACTGCTAGGTTGATACACGCGCGATGTTCGTGTTGCACGCTCCTCCATGTCCTCCATGTCATCGTTGCGAAGACTATTCGTGCGAATGCTGGTGATTTTATCCAACTGCCAACAACCCGGGTCCTGGCGCCGAATGGCAGCCATGTAGGGCAGCTGGTAAAGCAATAGATCATGACGGGGCATCATCGTGGCCACACTCGGGCTATGTTCTGTATTGTCTGAGTTGGTTGATGCCGATCTTCCCACCTGGAGACTCTTCCAGCCACTGACACCCGTGAGATCAGCGTCAGTCCGTGAGAGATGTTGCTGCGCGAAAGGGTCGAGCAATTGATTCGCCCATGAATCAATTAAGCCCTCGATTTCCTCAGATTCTCTCCATAACCGCAGAGATGCCGGGTAGAACATCTTGTAGGCATCGCCCGCGCGGCTTCGTCCACTCCCAGACCCAACTCGTCTATTGACCGGGTATGGAAGGGCAAACAAAAGACCTCGTGCTGCAACCTGGAAACTCATGTCCTCTTGGCGGAGCACATCTACGCCGCTGCCGAAAGATGTGATTCCAGTTCCTATCCCCGCGCGTGCACCTTGCCCTGGTCGGCGTTCCGCGCTGAGGATATCGCTATCGGAGAGTGCCTGAATACAATCATCCAGGCAATCCGTGAAATCATCCCCATCGCAAGATGGTACGTAATTCTCATGGAGAGCGCTAATGAATGTTGAAACGTCGGTCCCGGTCTCGTCGACTAGTTCGTTGACCAATACCTGCGAAGCTTTCGGCCGATGACGGTGAAGCAGGTAACTGGGCGGTGGTGGGAGGATCTCAACATCGTCCACAATCAAACTGGGATCCATACGTTTGTTGTATATGATTTTTCCAACGGCGTGAAACATGCCCAGACTGGCCTCTCTCTGTGTGATCATCTTGAGAGACTCTTTCTCCATCGCTGTCAAAGCCACCTCGCTTCGGGCCTTCCTCGTCTTGACCACGCGACCTCCCCATCTTCCCTCCTCATCACCTTTGAGACAGAGGAACTCGAGAGATGAAATCGCGCTGCGAATATCGCCGATTTCAGAGATTCGGTCAATGACTCCAGGTCCAGGTATCTGGACACGTCGAGAGGTCTGCGCTTCTTTATCCAAGATAGACCGCAAAGCCTTGTGCATAAAAGTGGGAGCAATGCTATTAAAATCCAATATCGTGGTCCCCGGGTGATTGTAAATCGTTGGTCCCAGCAACCGATGAACTGTCAGGTTATCTGAGATCGAGGAGGCAGATGCCAACAAGGTCTCCGACACAATGATCACGATGGGCGGGTGATTCGATCCAGGACTGCTCGCATGACTAGTCGCAGAGGCAGCCAAATATTGTTGAAGAGAAGTCCGAAACGATGTGAGAGCGGAGGACGCCCGACCAAGCACAGTTGGAAACTCCTCAATGAGCAGGATTCGCCGGTCTCGGTGTTTCCCGTGCTTCTGTTGATCGAGTTCGCTGGCACTTTCGAGGTCAAGGCCTCCAAACTTATCACCCCGTCCAAGAAACTCTTCGAAATGAGCACTCACGGATTGATAACCGTGAGCTCCAAATTCCGATACCGGTGGGTTCTTCCACTCGATTATATCATATCCGATTGAGTCAGAGAGTAGAGATATGGTGGTTGTCTTCCCACTTCCTGCCGGGCCCCGTAGCACGAGTAGTCTCTGTGTGTTGTCAGAACCAGATGTCAAATCCAAATGATCCTCAAATTGACCGAAGGACTCACCTCAGAGCGCCTTCCAGCAAAGGCACCTTCCAGCCAATGCTGTACATCCGACACCTTTTTCTTGTGAACAGCCAATTCGCCTAGACTAGCCGGAGCGAACCGCTGGGCCCATGGTCGACGATCAGGTTCTGCCTGCGCCAGCGGTTCCTTCGCAGCAGGATGTCCAGGGTCTGTGGTTAAGAGGAACTTTTTTGTCGTTTTCCGAGGTTTCACTGGGGGTTTAGGCTTTGGCGCAGGCCGACTCCGGGAGCTTACGGCCGCCAGGTCCGTCCCAGCTCGCTCATTAGCCAGGTGCTGTGTAAATATTTCATCGTAGGAGTCGTAGTCATCCTCAATTAAATCCACATCCACTGTCTCCTGGACTGACGGCAGGGACTGCTTCTCGATCTTTTGTGTAGCCCATCGTTGTCCCTCAGTGGCGGGCGCGAAGAAGCTATGCAGGGACTTGGATTTTGACTCTAGTTTTGGCGATGGCTTGGTCGTTTTATTCGGAGAAGGGGAGGAGGAGGGAAGTCGAGTTGGCGTTGTGTCACGAGAGTAAGAGGGTTTAGGGCGGGAAGAGAGGTCGAAGGGTGATTCAATCGGACTGGAGCTATCTGGGATAATGATTGGAGCTGACCGTCTCACTGTCTCATCCTTGGATCTGCGTACTCTTTTAGAAGGACGACCCTCCATGATGAGTTTGGGTGAAGTTGGAGATAGACGCGTCCGATAAGCTGACGCCAAGGCGATTCCTCGGATCTACGATATTCTTAACTGCGTATATAACAGTAACTACTGTGTACACAGTAGATAACTAAGGATTTACTTGTAAATAGTTATAACAATTGTATTCATATATAAAAGACGCGCACGGGTATATTGACCAAAATCCCTAATTTAGAAAAAGAAACAGGACAAGCGAAAGAGTCTATGCACCTCCAAACACATCGTAGTAATAATCTTCATCCAAGTCATCTCTCGATGGAACTTTAGGAGCCTCGCCTGCGAAAGTGGCATCGTCAAATCTTACATTGAGCAGGCGGATTTTCAACCCATAATTGCTGACCAAGTCAATCAATTTGGTTGTCTCTGCTGTGATGGGTTGCTGGTTGAGGAGCATCAGCAAACCGTCCAACCACTCCGATGCAATGCTGTGCGAGGAAGGTCGCAGCGTAAGCATGACTATCTCTTTCTGGGTGGACCTGCTGCTGGGCCGGCCTTGGGCCCTGCCGTGCCCAGTGGTAGGTGAGGATGCATAGCCATGGATGGTAATTTTAGTTGCAGGTCGAGCAGCGGTCTTGACCGTCGCCGAGGAGGAGTGGTCTGGGGTTGTAGAGACGTTGGAGACCACGGATGATACAAGTGATAGATCAACTGTCGAGCGTCCCGTTAGCAAACACAAGGTACAGGTCATGGATAGGCAGGTGGTGGCACTTACTTTTCTCTGGTAGGGTGTCCAACTCCGGAGCTCGGTCACCCATCAGGTCAAATTTACCGAAATGTAAATATCGTCGATTATGAGAGAGTTGGGCGTATTGGTACGTCGCGGTAGACTTTGGCCCCGACTCAGACTTGGGGGAGTCCAGAGCAAACCAGCTACCCTGGAGCAGGCATCGGATTCGTTGCTCCTTGACGAACTGTAGTGCCTCGTGGTGAAGTTCCTCACGCACTTGCCGCAAATGTTGGCCCCATGCATCTTCGTATGTAAGTTCAAGGAGTTCCATCTGTAACCCGCGCAGTCTGTGGTACTCGAAATCCGCCAATTCCTCTTCGACATCCTGTATATCCTTGATCCGGGCAGCTCCGCCAACCACGGATTCAACGAGGATGCGCACGAGCTCAATGATCTTGTCCAAGTCCTCTTCCTCGGCGGCAGTCGCCTTCCACAGGCGGAAGAAGGCCTGCAAGCCTGCGACATGTAGCCGGGTCCAATGTAATAGCAAAGGTTGGAACAATTTATCAAAGCTCGAGCGGGACTCTGAGATGAGATATGTTTTGCTGTCATCCGTGTCGGACTTGTCGACCTCGAAATGCTCGTACAAGATCGATGTTACCGCCAACGATGCACGAGCAATCGGACACCGTTGCCGTGATGGCTTCGTAGACTGTTCCAGGAGCATATTTTGGAACTCATCACCATGACTGCGAACGTAGTCCGCCAGATCCATCATACCCAGGAATCCGACCTCGTAGAACTCCGTCGCCGGGCTTTCCGTCTCAAACCCAAGCCGTCTCCACTTTTCTGGATGATGTCGTCTGGAGCGTCGCGTATCTTCGCCATTCTCTGTAGCCGCATCTGGGGTCTTCTCCGGGTGACTGGCCAAGTGGATCCCCTTTAGCGCACGGCGATGCTCAGGCTTCTCCTGGTTGACTGGTATATCCCTCCACTTCCGTAGCAAGATCTTCGTGAGAGATTGAAACTCAAGTAGTGGATGCGCCAGATCTTGAAGAGCCGAATCCTGCATCAGCACGTAGACCGCCCGAATAACGCCCAAGTCCTGCAATTTCTGTATAAACTTGGGCCACTCCCCCTCGGAGTCATTGGTAATTGAGTCGCGCATGAGCGAGTTGATCAATTGGAGCGCATTAGCACACAGGGCATGGTCCGCGGAGGACAACCGACTGACGAGCATCTCTAGGAACTGGGGGTATATGGCAATTGCGGGCTTTAGGGCGCGGAATCCAAAGTTGTCCGATTGAGCGGAGCGGTTTCCGATATGCGAGTGGGAGACGATGGAGACGAGAATGGACATGGCGCCGCGGAGGATGTTGACCAGGGGGTGGGTGACTATCAGCTCGACAATCTACAGAACGGTCACATTAGCTATTGATATGGCAGCAGAGGATAGGGTAAAGCGTAGGTGGGACACTGTAATGGTCCAAGGAGACTCACGCGCTCAACCAGCTCCTGATCAACACACTCCCATCCCTTGTCGACATCGAGCAACCGTGAGAAACTGGTCAGACTGTATGCTAAGGTATTGCCGTTTGCGTGAATGGTGAGGTAGCGTAATCGGACCAGGCCTCCCTCTGCGATGAAGATGTCCGCGAAGGATGGGTCTCCGATATTGCTCTGGAGCTTGAAGACGGCCATTTTGCGCACGGCATCTTCATCGCTTCCCAGGCGCTCCACCAATTCGGTGACATTGACAGTTTCCATGGTCTCTTGAGCGCAACTGTACGCAGTAAAGGAGTGAAACGTGGAGCTCGAGTTCGGAGACAAAGAGATCAGGGGCTGTGGGGCAGTTGAGTTCTGAACGACGATCTCGGTGATCCTGAAGAAAGCGTTGATTTAAGCATATGAATAGATTGACTAGGTAATTCACCCAGGGCGAACACACAGTCATTAGAAGGGGGGATGTAAGAGGAGTCGTACGGATGAATCGTCTTTGTCTCGGGACCCCTGAATTCCCTCCCCCGCGGTCTTTGGCTATAGTACGCAATAGTTATTTACATAGTTAAGCTACTTCAATTTGAGGGACGACTCTTTCATGCAGATAATCCAAGATGCATGTACGTATCTCTATATCTGGACCCGAATCACCTGATCATGCTGCGATGTGTTATACAGTCCGTCAATGCAGGATTGCAGGTAAACCCTTGTGGGTCTGCCAAATATATGTGGAGAGCCTCACCACGGTAGGTGATCTATCCCGTGACCATTGATATACTGTGTACTGCTGTACCTTTCAGATGTCCGTTTACCAGAGAGTCTCATGTAGGTAGAATACTAGCTCGTTGCTGTTATTATGTATCTTTTTGTTATGCATTATGTCGTGATATGATCTTTACAATCAGAGAGATACCTCCGGGCTTTTAAGCCAAGAAAAAAGACAAAGCTCTGACATCGAATACGCCATTCCCCAAATCCTATGCAATCCTTTTCCCTCTCTCAAAACGCCAGTCATCGTCAGTCGTGAAAAGTGCCAAAAGTGGTGAGGTTAACGTCGCCAGCCAACGTTCCAGATTACGTGGGCGATGTCTCGGGCGGTGTTCACAGTGTCCACAACGCGGTCGAATATGCTGCTGGGGGTCTCACTTTCACCCTCGGGCATGATCATGCCCGATGCACTCAGCCGGAGCGGGCGATCTGCCGTTGGGTCATCCCCGATGAACCAAGGGCCATCACGATCAGGGTAATTGCCCGTGTAGTCCAAATTGGGATCCTCATCCTCGTCCAGCAGAAAGTTGGCTGGGGGCTCGGAGCGCCCCGGCGGCCGCAGGGTCTCCACAGATGGGGTGGGTGACAGTGTGGGGGTCGGCGTCGTGGACCAACGATCTAAGATCGTCGGAACACGAGGCTCCGGAGGATCCCCGCGATACTTCAGTGTGGTCGAGGGCAAAGGAGCGATGGTTTTCCCCTCACCGCTGAAACTGCTGCGTGGGGTGCTGCGGTGGCTCAGGGAGGCCCGGCTGGAGATCTGTCTCATGAAAACCACGCCGTCGTCCGAGGATGACTCGTCCTCGAAGGTGGCGGGCCATTCGTCCTCGTAGCCTTTGGCTTCAACCGCGATGCATTGCACAACTTCGTTGTTAAAGTGGATATGGCGTCGTTCGCTGGGAGATGCCATTCCTGACGATGATGAGGTGGTTAGAGTGCCACCGAGGGAGTAACTGGAGGATCCAGTCCGGTGGTGTAATTGGTCCAAGTCTGTGTTGGACCGTGGGAAAGGCGGCCGAGTCCAGTTGATCTCAGCTTCTTGAGCCTTGAGAATGGCCCCGGCATGCTGGAGTAATGTATGTTGGGACAATGACCGCTGGAGAATGGTCTCGGATGCCGTCTTCTTCTTCAGAATGGGCTTTCGATCCAGATAAGAGGTTGGCGTTTCTAGGCGGCTGGGAGGGGGAGAGGGAGAAGTCGTCCGCCCAACGGAACTCTTAAGGGGCCCGTAAAGCCAGGTGACATCGCAATCCTTCAGCCTGCCGGGGAATTAGCCAGGTGAACAAAGGATGAAAAGGAAACACGATCAGTGTCTTACCAATTGAGACTTTCCGGGGAGATCGTCTTCAGATTGTGCTTGGCCTTGGCCCAAGTCCTCCACGAGGCATTCTCTAACCTCACCCCATTATTGTAAATATTCTTCCGACTGGTCACATAACGCCATGAGGACCAAATATCCTCCTCGTTCCAGTCATGAGAAAGGTAGTCCACGTGCCTTGATGGTTCGTCCTCGATTGAGGAGTCGTCTGCCGAAGGAGCCCGTAACGTCCAAGAGGACGAGTGTGATTCTGTCGACGCGACACTCGCATCCTCTGGTTCTTTGGCATTGTGAAAGAGATCCGACTCGTATGAAGGTAGGACTAGTTCATGATCCGGCGACAAGCTGCTTAGAGAGGGTGCGTAGGCAATTCGCTCGGGGAGAGGAGTGTAGCTCGGAGAAGGGGGCGCCGAGGGAATGGTCGATGCGATCGGGGAGGGTTCCCTCGCCCGATACTCATTTTGCATGGATGGTTTTCCGGGGATAGCGTGGTCTCCAAGGAAATACCGCTGGGCCGTGGGAGATCGTATGGGGTCCGGGGAGAAAAGCGAATGAGTTTCGCGGGGATTCAACAGCGTCATCATCTCCTTCTTTTTGTTCCAATGATGTAATGATAAGAAGTCAAGATGCGGGCAGACAAGATTGGAAGCAATGTGGCAGAGCCAAGATTCAAAGACACGAGGTCATGTCCAGATAATTATAGTGTTTTCACATAGAGCGAGGAGATGCCAATGATGAGGAGAGGGAGAAGTGGGAGGAAGAGAGTCTCGAGGGGTGGAACCAAAAGAACCAAAAGAACCAAAATCTGGAGTAGCGGAGGTCTCACGGGGTTGGTTCTCGGGATCTGGGGGAAAGAAAAAGAAAAAGCAACGAGAACGAGGATTTCTTTACCACATAACTTCATACACAGTATATATAAGAAAAGAATAAATAAAATAAAATAAAGACCTGAAAATAAGAAAAGGAGAAGAGTAAAATACTGTGTAGAGATAGAAAGTGAGAGTTTTTCTAGAGTTGGCCACTTTGACAGGGATCTAATCCGATTTGCATTAGTTCAATTAGTTATTTTCACTTCTCTTCGTTTTAAAATACCTAAACTCAATTAGGATAGCTATGACTATCGGATCTTGGGCTAGACCCCATCCAATGCCACCGTTGTTCTCCACTCATGCAAGTCCTATCTTATGTGGAGTACGTACTGTGTACAGTGTGTATATGCGTAGTACGGTAGTACCTCGAATAGATTGTTTGTAGGATAGTGTGAACCCTGGGATCACATCTGAGCATATAAGGTCACCCTGGAAGATATACTCCGTAGAATATAGAAATCATATCCCATACTGCGTACATCGGAAAGATGCCATACTACGCGATAATCGGGGTATTCCGGAGCATCTAGAGCGAGTCGTCCGATGCATTCGCAGGGTCTGAGCACGATAGTCTCGAGACTTTGATCCACTGTTCTCGACTACAGGTACTTACAGGCATAGTGATAGGTCTGAATATGTCGACCTCAGCATAACGAGGCATTGACGTTTATTCCTAATATATGATGCCACCCGCATTACACCATTCTCAACACACGTTAGAGCACTGTAACACCCAAAACTCAGAGATACCATCTCCCAGATAATCCCGTTGGTTGTGAAACCAAGTATGACCCGGCGAAGAATCCGAGATACTCTCCAGATGCCGGGCCGATGGGCCTGGGGATCATAGCCGAAGCTAAAGAGACCAAACATCATGTTCGGAACTTCGGACACAGACCCTCAGGAACTCAGAATGAAAACGAGAGATAAGTGGCGAACCGGTTGATACCTATTGACTTCAGTCCTAGTGGCCGAGCAGCAAGTTGCGACATCGTTGACTTTCAGGGAATCTCTCTATCTCATTCCTTCTATACTAGTGCGTAACATGAACCCAGACAGTTCGCGAATATGCACAACGATAGGGCTAGACAGAGCCAGATATGAAGAAAAAGAGAGAAAAAGTGGGAACGTGTGTCCTGCGTATGTTGCAAATGAAATTGCCTTTTGTCTGTGCGCCTGCATCGACATCTGGGCAACTCATCCGCCGAGGTTCCTCCCGTGGTTTTTATGATTGGAGCTAAGCTGAACCCTCGACAGCGACGATTGTGGATGTCAGTACCTAGTGATAATTGCCTATCGCTGTACGTTACCAGTGAAGTGTCTGCTCTTTCGACCTGGAACTGGAGCTGGAAACCCTATTACTGCATAGCCCGGCCGGAGAGGTGCCCCCTCTATGTTCTAGCCCATTACTATGTCCACTATACGGAATATTCACTAGGGACACGATCTCCATTGCCCCGAGAGTGGATCTGCCCAGGCGTCTACATACGGGTATCTCGTAGTGGCACCAGTGTGAGGCGCTATGTAGACCCCGGTCTTTCCCCTCCCCACGGGCCCCTTAATGTCCGTCACAACTGAAACTGGTCATTGGTCGCCGGCAGTATCCGTCCAGATACTTTGCCTATGTAACTATCTGCACGATTCTGATGCATATAGCCAGAACATCCACAGGGGTCATTCCTCTCTTTACCACTAGGCTTTCGATGCACAATGCACATAGCTGACGTAGACTCTCCTTTGGTCCCTTCGAAGCGAGAGGTGAGACTGTCAGGGGTTGTGCCATTGACTATCTTATCTGCTTTGCGGACTCATCGTCGACCAATTGACACGCATGGCCCCCTATCGCGATGGTGGGTACAGCTGCAGTCTAACGGCCCAGCATATCAAGGCGGGCCTCTGTGCAACGGTCTCCCAAGTTTCCCAGTTTCCCAGTTTCCAGTTTCCAATTTTCCGGGGTTGTGTTCCTCGTCACTAGGCTGAGTTGGACCCATCACACGCAGCTGCCATAAAGATTAGCCATCAGAGATATGGGATGTCGTGCTGCGTGTTGCTGATCTGGTCTTGGATATGAGACAGAGGCACTCTAGTTGGACAAGATAACAATGAATAATGATACATGAATCAATTGTGAACCTGCATGGTATCTATACTAGGTTAATGTTCGAAAGCAGTGATGGTAACTGGTCCTCGGCCTCGATTGCCCACACGTGATGACCTAAATTGGTCTAGTCGGCAGAAATGCCCCTCCGCCCCCCCGCGATGTGTTGATTCTGGCAGAGAACGAGTCTAGACCGAGAGCTACCACTGATCGAGGTACTATTTTCTCAATACCATGGCCGATACAGAAACAGTTACAGCCGAGCAGGCAAGACAAATCGTCTACTGTGGAGGTAAGGACATACGAGCAACTGCAATTTGGTTGATGGTACTGACGGAATCATAGTCTGCACATTACCCCCCGAGGTATGACCTTCGAGCTCTTCCCCACCCCCTAGACCATCAGCCCAAAGGCACTTCTAAAACGGAAGGCCCAGTCCGCTCATTTCCCCCGCTTTCATATTCCTCCTTAGCTCTTATCATTGGGTCCCAGCTTTGTCGTGCGTGGCATAGCTCCTGGCCACGGGAAAGCGCCCGCAGATCTTCCCGCTTGCTATCAATAGCATACGTTCTGTGATAATTACTGACGTGCGGGGACCGTGTCTAGTACTGCGAGTTTGGAGGTACCGCGAAGAAGTGCGAAGAATGGCTCAAGGACAACCAGTCGGACCTGTGGGATAAATTATACTCTGAAGGTGCGGAACTTCCCCTCTCTAGCTATCTGGCTGGCCACAATCTGCGGATAGCAAACTGCAAATCCGAAGATGAAGATAGCCACGTACTAAATCTATTGTGATTTTATCAGATGCCCTCAACGCCAACCTGTCCACTCTATCCGTCTCAGCACAAGAGCGCGCTGCCAAAGATGCTGCCAAGAAGGAAGCTAAAGCCGCTGCAAACGAGGCACGCGATACCGAGCGCAAGGCTGCCTCCAAGATCCAGATCAAGCGTGTCGAGCGCAATAAGCGCAAGTACGTGACAGTCGTGATCGGACTGGAGGTTTTCGGATTGGAAAACAAGAAAATCGCCAAGGACCTGGGCAAGAAATTTGCTACGGGATCATCAGTTACCCGCTCGCCTGCAGGTATCGAAGAGATCACCGTTCAAGGTGATGTCAGTGATGACTTGCGCGACTGGCTCCTTGAGACTCACGGCAAGAAGATTCCTGAGTCTAATATTGAGTTGATTGAAGACAAGAAGAAGAAGAAGAGCGATGCACCGATGGTATAATGACGAACACGAATCCTTTGCGGACTGGGTATCATGACATAAATCAAGCATAAAATACAAATTGAAGACCATTCAAGCACAATCAGAAACCAGAGCCAGAAACCCGAATCCCGACGGAAGTATAAGATACTGCGAGATTGGAGAGATGATCTAATGATTAGTTCCATGGTCTGGGGCACAAAAGAAAATATCTCATAATTCGTCCAGCACGCGGAGAAAGTTGTGCTCCGCAGGTGATGTATCATGTCCTGACCGACCTGCTGTCGAAGTCGGACCAACCTTGGCCAAGCTCTCACGACGATCTGCAAGGTTGGACGGATATCGAGGAGGCCCTGCAGCAGACCTTGAGCCCTCTCTTCCGAGGCTAAGGGCTTTATCCCGCTCGGACTGCGGTGGCACAGAGGTTGAAGAGATGTTTGAGGCTGTCAAACCTGACATCCCAGCGTGGGAAGACCGGAGCTGTGGCCAATTTTGGATGACCAAAGCAAACAGAAGCACCAGCAAGGTACTTGCGACAATGCCCCAGAAGATACGGAGTCGACGACTGGTCCGCGTTTGCCACTCCGTTTCCCGTTGTTCCCAGCTATCGATCTCGTGTCGCACGCTTTCGAGTCGTTTGCCTAATTCTTCCACGCGCTGCCGCCCTGCTTTCATACGTTGCTGTAATACGTCGGCCCTTTGAATTTGTGACTCGAAGCCTTTGAGGTCGTCGAGTTGCTTGCGAATATCCTGGTCCAAGCCGGCCGTCTCACGCTCAAAGTCGTTTAGAAGTGTCGAGGCCGAGTCGGATAGCTCTTGGAAGGACGAGATGGTCGAGTTTACGGCTGTAACCTTCTCTAGCAGATTGTAATACGTGTAGTCCAGCCGACGCGTGACGTCTGTGGCCAATGTCCCAATCGAGGCCAACGCAGACCGTAGATACCTTGAGACAGCCACCAGTCAGTCTCGTGCGCGAATCAATCGGTATCAAGACTAGAATGGACTTACTCCTCGCCCAGTTTCCTCCGTTTCCTGACCTTCTCTAGGTCGTCCATAGACATGATATCGTGCCGGCGGATTGGACCCAGTCGTTCATATTGCTCAGGCGTGTCAAGCAGGCTCCCATTGCGACCGTCAGTTAGGCCAGTCGTTGACTCGGACCCCCAGCGACCACTCGTTGTCTCTCTTGTGAAGGGTCTCAGCAACCCGTCGTCCTCGCGGTCCTTGTCCTTTCCGCCCGACCACGTAGGGAGCAAGCCTCGCGCACTTGCCGAGGAAGCTAAATGACTCATGGCATTTGGGAACCGCAGGTCCCGTGACCTGCTATGTTTATGGCGATGAGGTTTGCCGTCGAAGGCGGATCGACCTAGCTGTTGAGGGGAAAGGGATGGGTGAGTGCGGTCCCGCGCGCCTCCCTTGGGAGAGATCTGGCGGTCATCAGAGGCATCGCGACGTGAGCGACGGGGGGTTCGGTCGGCCTGTCTGCTTTCTTGGCTAGCGAATCTAGATAGGTCGTCGGAGCCAGATTGGAGATCACTGGCTTGCTGGCTCTGGCTTCGGGTGGAGGTTTGCGTGAGGGGAAAGGTGGAAGAGGTCCCTCGAGATGTTGACAAAGCAAGCGGCTTAAATGGAGTTTCCATGACTGTACATTCTGTTGAGAAATGAAGCACAGCTTAGGGCCTTCGGAGGTTGGTCTTGTGGTTGGGGTGCGGAGTTGAACCGATGACGCCAAGGCGGCAGACAGATCAGCTACTTTGCACCTGACACTTGACAGCTCAAGATCGAGATATCTCATTTACAGGCTAGCTATGGACCAACATCGGATGTAAGAGTTTATTGCGCTTATTGAAAAACAATTGTTTTGCTCGCTAGTGGTGACCTATGACCTGACCTCAGAAAAAACGCCTGTAAGCAAACCGCCCACGCCGGAATGAGTGCCTAATCTTTTCCGCTGGAGAAAAGAAGGAAGTCTCCACAAGCCGATGGATATATAGGCACAATGCAGTCCTGGAGGGGATGGGAAGATGGTATAGCGGTGGTATGAAGAAGACGAACAGCCTTAAGAGTTGAGCAACTTGTTGCGCTTCTCTCTGCGCTTGAGACGCTCCACCCTCTTGTGGTGCATCTTCTCGGCCATCTTCTCGTAACGCAGCTTCTCCTCCTTGGCTTCTCGGCGATCCCTGATGCGTTGAATGCGGGCCTAGAGGTTGTCCTTGGTCAGTGATACCATCTTGGAAAGGGGAGGTAGTGTTGCGGGAGAATAAATCGTTATTGTGCAGACCATTGGCAGAAATGGGGACCATATCCGGCCATGTGAAGGTAGGGAAACGACGTGATATCAGGGGAAAAGGCATATGATAGACGTACCTGACGTTCAGCCTCATGTTCTGCCTTCATCTCACGTTCAAGTTCCTTGACAGCATCGCTGTGCTTCTTGGCCTCTTGACGCTTCGCATACGAGGTCAAACCAGCAGTGGGCCGGAAAGCCTTCTTAATGCCATGCCAGTTCTTGCCTAAAGGACGGGTGTCAGCCCACCAGGAGGCACAGGGAAAGTGGGGACTGGGTTTTAATATTCTTGTTCACTGACCATTTTTCCGCATGCCGGTAGTCGGAGCCACGGCTGGCGTCGTCTCCGTTGAGGTTGACATTGGTAGAGGGATATGCGACTTGAAAAAAACGCAGTAAAAGTGAGATTGAGGGGTGAAACGTGAAGCAAAAGAGGAGTCGTCGTGAGGCAAAGCCGAGATCGAGTTTTTTCGTTGATTATCTTGATCTGATAAAATGTCTTGGCGTCTCACTAAGACCGCTTAAGGAGAGAAAAATGGCATTCGGGTCTTCCTGACTCCACCTTTACGCACCTTTACGCACGTCGGGCCTCGTTTGCTCCCAAAACTCCGTTACATTTTTGTGCATCCTGCCTGGCTCTCGTTTCCATCTTTCCTATTATTCTCCTAGTTCCTGCACGGTGACTTGGCGTCCTCATAGGCCCATCAATTCCCTCGTTACACCGCCTCCCCCCCCCCCCCCCCCCCCCCCCAGACCTTTTTATTCACTCACTCTACTTATACCCTTGGTGTTCCCGAATCCTAACATGATCCCTCGATAACACTCTTCAATCTTTCCTTCTTACTTTTTGAACTACCTTGATGGCGGCAACAGAGCATGCGATCACCATCAGTGAGCAAATGGAGTTGCCATCGCTCCCGCCCAACCAGGGCGTTGAGGCGATGAAGGATATCGTATTTGGATCGGTAAGGAGTATCTGGCACATGCATGTGAGAATGTGGGAACTGACGATCCTCCAAGTCAGCAGGAATGGCCGGCAAACTCATTGAATACCCCTTCGACACTGTAAAAGTTCGACTACAGTCACAACCTGCACACCTTCCTCTCCGATATTCAGGACCATTGGATTGTTTCCGCCAGTCCTTCCGAGTCGATGGCTTCCGTGGGCTATACAGAGGCATTAGTGCCCCCATGGCTGGGGCTGCAGTAGAGACTAGCTGCCTCTTTTTCAGTTACCGCCTCATCCAAGATGCCGTACGTGCAACGGTCTACCCAGGCGACGAGCACCTGCCATTTATTGCTCTTATTGCATGCGGTGCTCTATCTGGCTCGATCACATCACTGGCGCTTACACCCATTGAATTGGTGAAATGCAAGATGCAGGTCCCCGCGGAGTCAGCAAGCCTCAGACCCGCTGGTCCCATGGCCATCGTCGCTGCAGTTTTCAGACAGGAGGGCCTGATGGGATTCTGGCGGGGCCAGATGGGCACTCTGATCCGAGAAACCGGCGGGAGTGCAGCATGGTTTGGCGGGTACGAGGGCGTGTCGTCGCTCTTCCGCACTTATAACAAGTCGCACTCATCAAACTCTGACTCGCTTCCTGTTCATCAACAAATGATTGCAGGAGCAATGGCTGGAATCAGCTACAACTTCCTGTTTTACCCGGCCGATACAATCAAATCTCGCATGCAGACAGAAGATATCTCACGACTGCCCACCAGCGCTGAACGGCAGACCTTCTGGAGCGCGACCAAGTCCCTCTGGAGACAACAAGGGCTCAAGGGCATGTACCGCGGGTGCGGGATCACCTGCGCACGGTCGGCACCTAGCTCGGCCTTCATTTTCTCTGTTTACGAGGGACTGCGGCAATATTTTGGATGAAGCATATTCATTCCTGCATATAGACAATCAGCGCTTGTCTTGTTGCAACTGCCCTGGAAATATTGGATGACATGTTACCCCTTTGCACTCCCATACTTGGTTATGTGAATTCTTTACGTGCGATATACCCCGAGAACATGCAATCAGGTTTCTTATCTCAATTTTTTCCAACTCTTTTCACCTTCTCCTCCTTTCGATCATCCAAATCTCCAATGCCTTGCCCATCGGTTCGGCTGAGTATGAAGCGTGCTCGTTGAATTCCATTGGGGCCACATGAGCCAGGCCTCGGATCGCCGAGTTGGCATAGGGCTTGTTGACTGGCGTTATACATGGCCAACAGATTCCGTTCAACTCGACAATGGCCCACATACACCCCCACCCAGTCATGGGTGAATGTTCCATATGGTGACCGAGATCAATGAAAAGGGGGCAATGCACAAGCGCATGTGTAATCACTCTGCCTTCGACCTCGATGTGTCTCGGTACCCAGGTGTTTCATCAGGCTGTCTGGGTCATCTTAACGACTTCTGCCCCAACGTTTCCTTGTATAGAATAGATGTTTCTAAAACTTGCATATAGAACTTTCGGCACAATGTCTTTCTACATCTCAGTGTTACCACCTCGCGCCTGTCACATTCAACCTAGTTAGTTAGTCAACTAACTAGTTAACTAACTATGTAGTCTCAAGTTTACATAACAACGTGAACGGAGGAAGCTAACTCTGACTCCCAAGAAAACGGACCTGACGCTCTTCAAAGGGAAGGGCAATGGATGTAAACAGATGTAAAATGCCAATGTGTAGATATGTCCTTGTATAGTCCATGCGAAGACAGTTCAACGTGAGTTCTTGAGACAGCGACTGTTTGGACTTCATTTATGCCATTTTCGACCCCTTTAGGCTGAATCTCAACCCGAAGATGTGCTTGATGAATTTGGGTCGACAGTCACGGCGACAATGCTCATTCCTGAATGGGCCACTGTGTCTGCAGCATCTAGGAAGTCCCTGGCCGTCATGCCCAGTCCTTCATCACTAAGTAGGTCTCCCTCTATCTCTCCCCGCAACAATGGACCATTCATCCCACCATTTAACTCCCAAACCTTTCCATCTTTCTTCACAAAAGCGATGAAATGGTGCTTGCACTCGTCTTGTGGGGAAGGCACAATAGAGCAGCCCTGTGACGCGGCATCCATATGTGCCTCCTCCATAAACTTAGAGTCATACAAGAGCTGCGCCCTCTCGGCGGGTCCCAGCTCAACAGCCGACTTCACGAGTGCTTCCAGCTTAGATTCAGGTGTGATGAATTTCCCACTCTCTAGATTGAGAACCACATGCAGCACTGCCATCAGCCCACATGCGTGTCCGATTGTCTGCTTCATCCACAACACTGGCTCATTTGGCCCGCTTCCCTGGTACTCTGGTATGGTGGGGGCCACGTGAGAGCGGGCGGCAGTGAAGATGGAACCGTCGCAGAGAAGGATAAGGGCGTCTACTGGACGGGGGATGTAGGATAACATCTCTGGCATTGTGGAAAGAACGTCATGGAAGGTGAGGGAGGGGGATACCCCGAGGTTCTTACATAGATGCGTGTGGACCTCGGGGTTGTTCTCTGTATATGGTGAGGATGTGAGATCTTAGCCTGAGATAGATGTATATGCTTTACCTAGAGGGATGAAGGTCTTCTCGCCGTTGATGATCTGCACCCCAGGATTCGCCATTTATGCAGATGACTGTAGATTATGTGGTAGATGACAAGAGAGAAGGTTGAGTCTACTCTGACTGTCTGACATACATTGAGCTTAGTCATTCACGATGATTAACTAACCAGCTTCAGTTCTTCTCTTTATTTTTCTTCTTTTTCTTCCTTGCAGTACTTTTCTCGATATCTATTGGAACACGCTTGTTACACTTCCTAGGTCATGGTAATGGGGGGTGGGGTTCTCTGTATATATCGCGAGCAACTACTACAATATATGTTTATGCCACTGTTTAACACTGTAGTCATGTGAATAAGTATCAGTTACAACGGTTGCAACTCTCCTAGTTAACTAGCACTGAATCTACACAGTAGTTAGGGTTACATCCTCTATCGCCTATCGATAAAGACTTACCTAGCTTCCCCTCATTTTGATATTCACCACAACTCCCCTGGACCCCTCACCCCCTCACCACCCGACAATGGCTTCACCAAACCCCATCACAGCCCAAGAGCTGACGACCCTCTCCACCAACGCCATTGAAGCCAAAGCTAAGGCTTACTGTATGACCCTCTTTATCCACAAGCAACAACCACTAAACAGCTACAGGCCCGTATTCCAATTTCCGCGTGGGAGCATGTATTCTCACGGCCTCGGGCGAGTTTATCTCTGGCGCTAACGTTGAGAATGTCTCGTATCCCGTCGGCACTTGCGCTGAGCGTGTGACTATCGGTACTGCCATTGTATGTTCTGTCTCTACTTGTCGTGTGCTTCCCGCTAACACTTCCAGATCGCCGGCCACAAAAAGTTCAAGGCCCTGGCCGTCGCAACAGATATCAAGCCTGGTGCGTCGCCTTGTGGCATGTGTAGACAGTTGTGAGTTTTCCCTCCCTTCGACCAATCTCTGCGTCTAATCCGGACATTAGCATACGCGAGTTCACCGAGCCTTCATTCCCTGTTTACATGTATGACGGCGAGGGTAATTACAAAGTCATGACCATGGGAGAGGTAAGTGTCTTTCTATTGTGCTATATCTCTATTGCTGGGCTGACGATATTAGTTGCTACCGAACTCATTTGGCCCGAATGATCTCAGATAGACATCCCTCAAGTATGTGTAGTTGGGACTATATCCACTTCATCGGAGGAGATCAATGCTGTGCAGTCCAAAATGACAGTTTCTATCCAAGCCACTTCAAGATAGATTGGGAATTACCTTGCTACAACAAAAGTAATCGCCAAAACTATCGATTCCAAGTGCAATAGACTGAATTATCTTGTTCAATGAGATATACTGCCCACAGCCACAAAGCGACTCTTCTAGAAACACCCCAGGGCCAATCACTGCCTACACAGAACTGAAATATCGCAAGCAAAGAAAGAAAAGCAAAGCTTCACACATGGCACGCTCATAATTTCACAAGATTCAAACCCAAAATGAGGAAAAAAAAAATAACTTCCAACTTCCATAGCAGGAAGGGAAAAAGAAACCACTGCTATATCGAAACATTCTCGAACCGTAATCAACCTAAGCTTCCTCATCATCGTCAAAGTCGTCCGCGCCGAGCAATTCATCCTCATCGTCGACAACAGAACTGTAATCGCCCCGACGCGCCGCAAAGGAGCCGCGCGTGTTGTACGGTCTCTGCGACCTCCGACCAAACAGACCCGACGCACTGCGCGCCAGACTTCTGACCAGTAATGGCAAAGACTGCGCAACGGCAACGACAGCCGCGATGATGGCCACCGGTACCGCCACAAGCACCGACTCCCGCGACAATAAACCCGTAGATGACACGCTTCCGCCCTCGCCGAGGCGGATCTGTCCGAATTTGCCGTCCCAGTGTGTGTACACGTACCAACCGACGGCCACCGCGACGACAATGGGTGTCACAATCGCGAAAAAGAGGCCTGTGCCGCTGATGCCGTGCTTCTTATGGTACTCTTCTTCCTTGTTCGGACATGGCTTGGACACGTCTTGGTCGAGCAGGAGTCCGCCTTGGCAGGTTGTTTGTGGGATTCGTCGGTAGCCTGTGGGCTCCCAGTACTCAAATGCGTCGGGATTTTGTGTACATTGATAGATGTGGTCTTGTGGCTGCAGGCCTCGGACTAGCCCACAGCTGCCATCATTTTGGATCTCGTAGTTATAGTCGCTGATACATGTTAGTGGGTTTTATTGTCCACTCTCGTCAATTTGCAGAATGTTTCACTTACCATTCGTAATCAGCACGGGTACAGGTGCAGTTCCGGCCAATGCTGTGGATATGAGGTTCGCGCCATGCATTCCAGCATTCAGCGGTAGGCTTCTTGCGATGGTATTGTTCGACATGACCAAAGAGACAGTTCTCCTCCTGGAGCGGGTGCTTGGGGGTCCAGGTATAGTAGTCGTTCTCATCGTCATTACAGTCCCGACTCCAGATGCCGCTGAAATCTAATGTGATGGTTACACGCTTGCCGGAATCCGTGCCCCAGAGCAGGAAGTTCTTCGAGGTATCCGAAGGCACTGTCGAGATATCGTCGATGACTAATTCCTTGTCGGAGAACTGGAACTCATTCCAGGTGTGACCCTCGTCGAGCGAGTAGTGGACCACCTTAGTGGCCTTTCGGTCGCTGACGAGAACGATTACCGAGCCCGCAGCGCCGAACTCCCACATGGTCGGTCCCTTACTGACTTGCATCCAGGTGAGGCCACCGTCCTGGGTGAGGAATGTGTCGGCTTCGGCGGCGCTAGTGAGATGGTCACCGACGTTACCTAGGGCGAGCATCAGGCCGATAGCGGAGCCCGAGTAGAGAGTGTCGCGGTAATCCCGACGTTCAGTGTAGCCATGGAGATGAAGGGCGCACTTCTCGGTTCCCTTGCCCTCGGCGACTCGGCAGTCGAACTCCTTACCGTCGATGCCCTTAGCCGGAGGAGGCAGAAGCATCCACTGGCCTCCGTCGTTGTGGGTGATCACAGTGCGTAGCTTCTTGGTTGCGCCCTTGCTGAGCACCTCGTCGGTGTTAACGACGACATTGGCAACAAGCACACCCTCGAGGCCTTTCATCTCATCGAAGTCCGCAAGGCCGCGGTCATTGACGTTGACAGCCTCGAGACTCTGGACGAAGTATGTGCCGTTGCTGTTGCTCTTGACGAGGGAGCCAAAGCTGCGGCCCTCCGCAGCGCTAACCTCCACGAGGAGGAACAGTGCGTGCGGGGAGCTAGGTAGGACGGTATATTGAGGGACGTTAATGTTGAAGGGGAAGTGCGCATCCGCGTAGGTGCGGCCATCCACACTGACACTGGCGTTGAGGTACTTCTTTTCGGGCCCATCGAACCAGGCCACGACGATAAAGCCATTCTTGGTAGCGTAGTGGGCGATGTTCTCAAACTTGACCTCTTTGGTAGAGAACCTGTCGTCACTGATAACCAGCTGCCTGTCATTGATCTTCTCCTCGTCCTTGTACTGCTCGCAGATAATCAATGTATCACTGTTATTGCGGCCTTCGTGGGCTCCGAAGGTGCAGTCGCCAACACCGATAAGCATCGGGTCCCAACTAGCGCCTCGCTTATCGGTGATAAACGCCTCTGAGCGACAGTTGTTGCCATCGCAGTCCTTGTTGCCAATCCAGATGAGTGAGTCCTGAAGCTGCTCGTGGAAAGCCATCGTACGAAGGCCCTCCTTGTTCGGCGCACTGGGAGCATCAAAGTAGTGGAAAGAATCACCGTGATTGATCGTGTAGTACACCCTCTTGCTGTCAGTGAGGAAGAAGGCGCCATCACTGAAATATGGATGCTGAGCCATTTCCGTGACCTTCTCGTCCTTGAGGATGTGCTCCCAGTTCCGGCCGTGGTCGCGCGAAATATGCAGCTCGTACTTGTCTGTGAGCATCATGATAGTCTCATCCACGCCATTGTTACTGGCCTGTCGTTCGAGGTAGAAGTAGATTGTCTGCTTGGCAGAGATGACCTGTGGCTTTTCTGCGCGAGGCTTGCCGTCGGCGATAGGCATCGGCCCGGTGGTGTTCGAGCACGAACGCTCAACCTGACGCTCGAGATCTTCGCCTCCTTCGCGGGTGCATGCGTTGCCAGGGATCAGTCGCCATCCCGAGGGACCCATGTACTTATCGCTGGACTCCTTGCATTCGCCAGCCGGGGGCGTCAGCGCGACAGCAGGTACACACTCTGTGCGATCCTCGCTGCGAACAAAGTTGTAGTCGCATTCGAAGTCCTCAGCAGAACACTTGCAGGGTTCGAACTCCGGACCGCTGATGGCGAACTCCTTCTTGATGAAGCAATTGGCGTTCGCCTTGCGACGGTGGAAGAACTGCTTCTGGCCCATCAGACAGTCCGGCTCACCCTTCTCGTTCAAACGAGCCGTCCACTTTTCAAGATCTCCGGATCCACACTGGCGCTCGTGGAGATCATCGAAATCGATGAAATACATGATGATCTTGTTTCCATCGTCGGAAAGACCAACCACCAAGAACTTGAGGGTGGTCGAATCCGGAGTCGTGATTACATAAAGAGGCCTGATCTTGTGCTTCAGTTCGATGGACTCCCACTCTTTACCGTGGTCGATAGAGAATTGGACCTTGTCCGTCTTGCTGCCATCACTGACAGCCACGATCACACCTCCCTGGTCACCAAACTCGTACCGGTGCGGACCCTTCAGCGCTCGGCGCCAGGTCAGACCCGCGTTGTCCGACACGTAGAGATCGGCATCGGAATACTCCTTCAGGTGACCTCCAGTATTACCAACGCCCATAACTAAGCCTGGAGCCGGGCTAGAGAACATGCGGTGATCGGGCATCGGCAATTCGCGCAGCGCGACGTAGGTAGTCATCGAGTGAAGGTGCAGCTCGTCTTTATCCGCCTTGAGAGGTTGGAAGGTTCTCCCGTCGTCAAAACTGATGCTGCTGACAAGCTTCTTCTGCTCCGCATCGGACTTCTCGGCTTCCTCCCAGTTCTTGACCGTGTTGACGATCGCGATGCCCTGTATACCCGACACTTTTTCGAAATCGACCAGGCCATTGAGATCCTGATTCGTATGCTCGATATTCTGCGTAAAATAAGTGCCATTGGAATTGGAGGAGAAGAGGCTACCCATCCGGTTGTCATGCCAAGTGGTCTGCACGTCGATCTGAAGGCTGTAGTTTGTGCTTTCCAAAAGCGTATACGCATCTTCTTCAATGCGGTGCTTTCCGAACTCCGCGCGATGCCACACATTTGCGTCGTCGCTGATGTACAAAGCCTGTTCCTGCGTACCGCGCGATTGGAGGCGCGCCACGAGGTACTTGGTCACGGAGCGAATCTGAAGGCTGATGCCGCTCATCGGTTGTCCCTGAGACAACTTAGCTTCAGTGCCCTCCGCCTCATCCTTGAAGAAGTTATCTGAATATATCAATCGTTCGGTACGGGTGTGGTCAAATGGTCCCTTCAGTCCAGGCACCACGCAAAAGATTCGGTCTCCCATGGACTTCGGCACCTCCATATCCAACGCGAACTGCGGGCGGCTTGCAGCCCACATACACTGGAGCGTCATCTCGCGCAAGGGCTGCACAGTTTCGAAATCATTGACAGTGTAATACGCTTGAGGCACACAGCCCAAAATGGTGCAATCCAGACCCATGAAGATCACCTTCTTGGGATCCCAACCATTGAATTCCAATGGAAATGAGTGCATCGATGTAAATTGCACCACATCCACCTGAAATGGCCTCCATGACTTGGCCTGGTCGGTCGTGATCCAGTGCTTGCCATTGTGTCCGAGAATGTAGGCACGGTTGTCGTCGAAGGGATGTCTCCAAATCAGCTCGACGGTGCCTTCCATCGTACCATCCTTGGGCTTGACATCCTCCCATTTTTCGCCCCCATCAAAGGAAACACGCGCAGTAAGGGATCTGCTATCGCGGTAGAGGATGGTGTTTGTGCCGTGGAAGTAGAACAGGTCTGCGGGCGGAGAGGTGAGCTCATGGGTTACAATTTTCGGCTCGTTTCCTTTTGCCGCTGCTGGCTGTGATGTCCATACCAGCAGCAGGCTCAGTGTGAGCAGCAGCCACCGTGGGATCATGACCAGTGCTGTGCAGGCATCTGATGGGGTGCGCGGGTGGGAGCTTGAGCGGACCGGACCGGAGATACGGGGTCAATCGATGGGGAGAGGAGACACAAAGTCGCTTAAAAGGAGAGAGATCGCCGGGGACTAGCAATAAATGAGTGGGTAATCAGAGTATGTCGTTATTCAAAATAGTGAGGTTTGATGACGGAGCTGCGTGGCCTCCAGGGCTGCCTTGGGAGCTCTCTGTCACGTGCATTGCTTATCGGGATTCGGGCCTATCGGGTGAACCATGGTCACAAATAAGTCTAGGTGGCAGGAACCATGGATGATACAGTGCAAATGGGACTAGTCTATCGGAAGTTGTGGGCCTTGAATCAATCAATTGACAAGGAAAAAGCAGCCGATATGTACAAAACGCTGCGAACTGAATAGATACATGAAACTGTCAGGTCCGACCCTGCATAGAAAGAAGACATTGCTCAAAATGAAGAACAGAGATCATGAAGATGACGTTCAAATGGTATAGAACAGAAACGTGTTCACGCCAGAAAAGCGAATGAAACACAATGGCGCTGAAAGAGAAAAGGGGCGATTATAAAGTAAAATGAATGGAGGAAGTCGCAGTCGACCGGACTTCGATGGTAATATTGTATATATCAAACTCGGCGTCGGAGCTTGCGCCACATCTTTTTGACCATGCCTCGCTCATCCAGGTCCGAGTCCCAGATCGACTGGCTGCGGTCCGCAGGCGGGAGCTCCGCCAGTCGTAAAGGATCTTCAACTTCCTTGGATGGAGTGGGCGAGTCGGTGCGAAGGTCAGGACGAGTGAGGGTCATTTTCAGCGTCATCTCACGGTTCCCTGGAAGCCGTTGCGGAACTCCCTTCGTCCCCGGAAGCCAAGATTGGCGTCGTTGCAGCAGCGATGATTCCACGGAAGGTCGGGGGGCGTCACGTGGCAATGTGGACACAGGCGAAGGGGCTGGTTCATTCTTCAATGACCCGCTGGGGCTCCCCACCATGGTACCATCGTCATCTTCGAAGAAAGTGCCAAAGTCGGAGTTGACAAGAGTGGGTTTGGGTGAGGGTTCTGGGGTTGGCGCAACATTCTCCTTCTCGTTTTGGTCAAGCGAAGGGAATCCAAATTCAATGGCTTCGTCGAACTTCTGTGGTGACGCCAGGTAGACCCGTAATTTCAGACGGGCATCCGGGTCCTGATAGTATTGTGCAGAGGGGTCGATGCTCGAAGTGGATGACCTCGGGCCATGTTGGAACTTATAGGATGATTGGCGCGAGTCCAAATTGCGGGAGGAGAGGGGAGTTATAGGTTGAGATTGGCTGACGGAGGGAAGCCCACGAGCTGCGGTAGTGTCTAGTCGTTTGCGTCGGAGTTGTGTGGAAAAGGATAAGGAGCGGCGGAATGAGGCTCGAGGGGATTTGGATTGTTTTCGTGTGGCAGCATCCGTGACATGAGCGTGGTACTCATCGAGAGATAAATCCAAATCCCCATCCTCGTCTAGCCATCGGAAATCATCATGGAATGATTGGTCCATGTTTGGATTTCCCTCGTCGTCTGAATCGGTGTCTGAATAAAAGACAGTAGATAATTGCGCAGGTAAAGTTGCCCGAGAAGGGTGACTATCGGTAGAAGGACGACAGGTTCGAGCAGAATCACGACGATAAGCTTCGTCAGCAGCGTCGTAAATGAGACTTTGACGGTAGGCGTTTCTTAAACGCCGACGTTCTTCGGGGGAAAAGAGCTTTTGTTGAATCTTAGCGGGGAGGGCATGGAAGCATTGAGAGTCGGCCTGGGCAGCCAAGTAGGCCAATTGAAGCGAGCCGGGTTTCCGTAATAATTTGGGGGTAGGAGCACGTTTGTCCAGTGCTCGTTTTCTGTTCGAACCGTTTCGCAAGCCACGCGAATTCCCAAGTCGAGGATTTCGATAGACCCGATTATCCGTCTGATAGTTTGACGTGGAGAAGGCAGGGGAACTGTGATCGCTCTGGGCTAGCCGAATGCGCAAACGCTCGACATTCGAGAAGAACTGTTTTTGGGTCAGCTATGGGCAATGATGGACATGAATGGATCTCGTTATGGAGGGGGAGGTGGAGCATTGACACCCCCATGCGCCAATGTCGCAAGACAACCGGAAGCGCTACGGATGATAGTGCGGGTAGTCAACCCCACCGGGTGTTCAGGGGCAAAAGCAGTCAAAAAAAGCAAGGGCCTGAGATGAACAAAGAAAAACGGGTGAGGCTGTTTTGGGTTAAGATGTTCCTTTCTATCGAAAGCGCTATTGGTGAGGAAATGAAGGTGGAAATTGGGGGCAAATGTCCGTGCGGGTGACTGTGATGAAGTGATGGAACGATGGAAGTGATATCATATACGCATAGAAGACCAGCCCGTACCTTTCGTCGAACTGCTGGAGGCAGTGATTCGAAGTCCTCGTATGTAGGCATATCAGGCATGTAAGGCATGTCTGAGCTGCCGTAATAGAGCAATGTCATGGGAAGAGTGGATATGTGGGGAGATCCAATATATGTAATAGAGAGAGATATAGAATAGTAGTAGCTATACCAAGCTATCAAGTATCAGCTTCAATAACGTTATCAATAGAAGGGAAAGAGAAAAGCAAAGCAAGAGGACTGAGAAGTATATAAATAATCATAGAGTTCAGATGTTCCTTGGGTTGACGTGGGGCTCTGTGACACTTCAATGCTGTACATTAGCGCCGTGTGATACTTCAACTTCCCCCTCTGTGATCTGTACCATGAACCCCTCGATCGAACTACTGCGAACATGTCAAACGAACTGTTCAAACGGATCTTAGATCTACCATGTGGTTGAATGTAGGTAATGATTGTTCACTTTCAAGTCAAAGACCCATCGTCGAGTCAATTATCCCAAGGCCCTCTCCATGGCCCTCCCATGGCCCCCAGATCGCCAAGTCACTACCCGCCGCGTCTCGCTTTGACATTTAGCGGATTAACCTCAGCTCCACTCAGATCCCTTCCCTCGATCAAGGTTCATCCCCCCGACGCTTTGAGGGTTTAAAGAATGCCAACTGGTCCTGAAACGCCGGCTACGCAGGCCACACAGGCCAGCGCAGAGCTGGCGGAGCCTTGCATCCGGAGAATTGCCAAAGTAACGGTGAAGCAATTGTGCTCTTCCCGGTCTGTCCAACAGGACTATTGTCGAAGCACCGTTCGGCCCGCAATAGAATGGGGGAGATACGAGAACCACATCCCTGGGTTTGAAAAAGCGGGACAAAGTGATGTGTCCATTCTGACCACATCCCGCAAACGAACTTTAATGAAGACAAGAGCTGTTGCTGAGTTTGTTGACTGGCCCCACTTGGGCTTATATCGAGACAAAGAACGTTGAACAACTATTGCGATTTGGGCTGACACTAATCTCCCTAGCCAGACTCACCAGGCCCAAGTAGACTAGTACTTAATCGGTTCTAGTCGTAGTAACGGCTTCGCAAATGTCAAATCCGGGCATACGATCTGTTTGCTTCGAATGGGTTCTTAGATGACAGCTCATATCCAATGCAAGATATAAACGATCGAAGAATGATCTATAGCAAAGTCAACTAAATTGAATTCGAACGATTCCTCACCGAGTCGAGATTTCAACCCGGAGATTAGCAGGAGCCAATGAATTGCTTTTGTTAGCCCCTTCCAGTGTGGGTAAGTGTGTACTAACATACATGCATGTACATGATGTGTTGTATGTCCATGAGTTGTCTTACCACGTCAATAGCAGAACAATACTGCCAAAACTGTTTACTGAAGAGTAAGCTGCGAACTATTACAGTAGATAGTTGATACTACGGCCATAAATTAACCCTTACAAGTGACCTACCTTGACTGGACTTGAATAACTAGATCAATGGGCTTATTAGAGAGAGACAGTTGAAATATGATCGGCATAATCCAATGTCCAGTGCATAAAATTGCATTCCAATGCTCATCGCTTGAAATGAACCATCTGCACACTTCTCTCCGATCTCATCCCTTCTTCTCCTTACATCGAGCTAATTCATCTTGGCATAAAGCAAACGAGGGCAAGCAGGCCCTAGCACTCGTGGCACATGGAGGCGTGCCTGCGAGTCAGAGATGATAGATCATTCTGCGCTATTCTTGTCAATGTGGCATGATGGGGACAAACGCCTGGTCGATGCAGCTCGGCTCAATACTCTCTTGGTGTAGCGCTGTGTCGATGATAGCCCAGAATCCTCGTAATGCTCCTCGAAGACAGGTTGGTCAATGCCCTCGAACTTGGTATTGAAGTCAGACAGACCCTGAGTGTTGGAGTTAAACAAAGCGAAAAGCCTATACTGCGTATAGGTCAGGCACTCCAGGGCTGTCATTAGTTATACGTCATTATCAGTAAGCAATAATTACAAATCCATCTCAAATCCATCCTCCCGACGTTGACAGTGTTGACATCCTCTTCCCAGTCTTGACCTTCGTCAGAGTTAACTTCCTCCCCAATCCCCGTCCCAGTGCACCAACCCCATCCAGCGGGATCACATCGTCCTCACTCTCTTTCTCGTCCTTTTCAAGACTAAGAAGCACTTCCACGGCATCCCGGTCTTCAATCACCTTCGGATGCCGCTGTGCAAAGTATCGCGCATACTTGTACAGAGACCAGTAGCAGCTGAACACGTTGATCACCGTTAATGCGATCTTATAGAAGGTATAGTAGAACAGCAAGACTTTCCAGTCCACCCGCTCCCTTTTCAGACGGAGATGGATCTCGTTGAAAATGATCACGTTGATGATGTACATCCCGATCGTCACGCCTAAGAGCATCCCGCAGAATGACGGGCGTACGACGAAGGAGATGGGGAGGACGAAAGGCGCAAAGAGGTAGATGAGAGTTTCGTAAACCTGGAAAAAGAAGTGAGCTCGTGATCACGACAGATCTATCCATCTCTTGCGAAAGGACCATACCTCTTGGAACACACACAACTTCGCACCAAACTCCCACCACCCAAGCTTCCAACTAGTCAGGATATACTTGAGATCGTAGTACATGCCCACGACGAAGAAGAAATTCCACCTCTTAAATCGCTGCTGGAAGATAGTCATCTCTCCAAACCCACCACGGCTGCCACTACCGCTGAAGAACACCGAAGCAGGCGTCTCGGTCTCCACAAAGACCTGCGAACACATGGTAATCCGCCCACCCAGACGACGGCATGCATCGCCGAAGAACCAGTCCTCCGACACGGAGAAGCCGGGGTGCTCATGGAACGTCTGCTTCAGGAACTCGATATTCCACAGTGAGATTGCACCGTGTGGGAAGGTCGCACTTCCGATCTTGCCAAAGAATGCGCGCTGGATGCCGGACATCTTGTATTCGAGGTCTTGTGCCTGTTGACAGAAGGTTCCCTTGGAGGAGTTGGGGCCGACGCTTTTGATTGTGTATCCGAGACACTTGACTGTGCCTTTCAGCCTGTCGCTGACGACTGGGAAATTCGGGGGCAGGAGGCAGTCGTCATCAATTAGGACTGCATTTTCAAAGTCTTTAGCCGCGTAGCAGCCTACAAACTGGGCGACGATCTTGGAGCCAATGGGCACCCAGAGGTGGTTTACACCATAGGGTTTGCAGACTTCTTCTGTGTTGTCAAGAGGGGTTTTGGAGTTGCCGTTGGCAATGACGAAGATGTTTTTCTTCGGGAAGATCTCCAGGGCTGCTTTGAGTGTGGGCTCAATGATTGTTGCTGATTTATAGCAGGGGATGAGCAGGGCAGTTGATTCAACGTTTGACATATTTCCTTCCAGGTCTGGTGATTCTGATTGTGGTGCGGTTTCCGAACTTGGCTGGGGATCTTTCTCGAAGAGAATCATAAGAGGGCAGAATGCGTATCTGGGTTTGTTAGGGCTGGAACTTCCGACTGCCGAGACGATACTTACAGTGCAGCCAGACCAATGGTAATTGCATATCCTCCTTGGATGACGAACTTGGTCCGAATAACGTAGTAAAGCCACCACACGGCGCCTTTCCACAGTGGCATTCCAACAAGGACGAAGTAGACAAAGAGAACGAGGAATAGATAGATGCTATATTCAAACAAGAGCCGTACCCAATGCTTCCGTTGAATAGCCACCCCTCTCAATTTGGCCTTTTCGTACACTTCTTGCAAGCTGCTTTGCTCACTGCTGATGGTAGGAGAGCTAGCATTGCTAGATGGCGGTGGACTGAGAAATGCATTCTGGACAGGCGTTATGGGTTCTTTCTCCGGGATTGGAGAAGCGGGCTCGTAAGTAGCGGGCTTTGCAAAGTAATCGAATGGATTGCCTAGAAATGAGATCAATTAGCTTACTGGAATAGACCACTGTACAAACAATGGTATTCCTTTCGATGTGGTTCAATTATCCAATCCTTGGCCATCTATGGAAGATTGAACTGCATACCTTGAAAATTAGGCGGATCACTGCATCCACGGGGCCGAATTGCAGACCGAGGTCTTGCTACTGCTCGCAAGGCAGAGAGACTAAGAGGCCGATTGGAAGAAGTGCGAGGGCGAGGCGCCGGTATAGATATACGATTGTTGTCGGGAAGTGACTGTTCCCATCGGGCCAATTCCCATGGCGAGTTGAATTTGGCCGTTGTCAGTAGTTCCTTGGGGATGAGGACATCTTCCACAATGGAGTCTCGGATATTATCGTCTGCCATTGTATATGTATTTGAAAAGAACGGACGGCAACCTAAGTCACCCGGCACAAGACTGTTTATCCCACGGGCAAAGAGAATTCGAGGGCATGACTTCTATTTATCGAGATGGGTCTTCTAATTGAAATCTCTACTTAACCAGTATCCTGTTTAAGACCACAGTGTGGGTCATGGCCCGGTGTGTGTCTATTTCCTTGCAAGACTACATCTAGATCCGATGGAGCCAAGAGAGAAAGAGGGGAAGGGATGGGGCCTATTAGTACATTTGGGAGCCAAAGCTGGCAATTGGCAAGGTATTGATATTGCCGAGAGTGGCAAAAACATCGTCATTCGTACATACATTGTACTGTTTGGACAAAGACTCAGCTCCCACGATGGTGTTGCTATGGAGAGGAGTGGTACATGGCATCCAGACCATGTTTCTACACGGTTCCTACCGTGAAATCTACTCGATTGGGAGTGCAACAATCTCCGGTCCAGTGCGAGCGGCACAGGAGTATGGGGATGGTTAAGAATGCATGTCCAATCGGAGCCGTGTGCCGAGACGTTACTCTAGGCCTTAAGCTATATTTGTGGGCCGGTGTCATTCTATAGATTCTAGAAGACAGTCATTGGTCCGAGTGTCTCGGACGTTGCAACATTGCAAGATTCCAGAATAACTACAGTAGCAGCGTACCTGAACCAGTCCCTAGGCAACGCCTCTTAATTTGCTCGGCCAAGTTACGCAGTGGAGCACTCTCAGAGATTTCAGCCACCCGCCTTATGAACCGAAGATTCAACTCGAGATCGACATGTTTCATTCCTTGCTGGGTGGACTAATATTAGTACAGTAGCTCCATGAGTCCATGTCATCCCAATTGCTGGTCTTCGGTACGATGTGTGGTGTCTGGCAGAGTCGTCATTGTAGTGGAGAATGCCGACTCCCGAGCTGGGATTGGTGTACCGAAGGACCAACTGTTGCACTTTGGGGTCAACATTTCTGTCGAGGAGAAATGTACTGCGTACCAATCCAATCCATCAGAGAAATCCAGGAGAATATAACAGACTACAGTACGAACAAATCTGAAAGATCTTAGATACTAACTTACTCGGACTTGGAGACTTGGAGTTAACAGGGAATAGAGTTCCGGCCCGTTCAGCCACACAAAAGCCTCATCGTCTTCCAAGGACGAAGTAGAGTCATTTCTCATGTTCTTTGATCTACGATGTACATGCCTACATGGCCATCCTAGCACTTGATAGTTAACTACTGAGAGGTCACTAATGACCGTAGAAGTGTGTGTGGTTGCCTATCCACGTGGTGAAGACTTATGTCACAAATGCTGTGTAATCCGTACACCGCCCATTCCACCACATAGTGCGGTTCTCCCACAATATGTAGAAGATAACCAACTCAAATGTAAGTGATTACTATGGATGACATCGAAATATGGAGAGACTCAGAGAATATACGGAGTATCTAGGGTTACGGGATACATGTGATTATGCGAAACCTTGGGAAGTCATGTGAGGTGGGAGAATTTCCCGATTTTGAGTTTTCTTCCCTTCCTATCAATTTCACAGTATCTCGATCCAATTCATCGAACTTCATATTAGCAAGTCGTTCCGTCATCACACCGAGTCTTTCCGAAGGAACTTGACCTGAATTAATTTCTGATTGGGCAAAGAGAGATATCCCCCCTGGAGAGGTGAGGCCAAGTTCTCTCCATTACTTCTCGGAGATACTCGGGGATATGCTCACTACCATCGCTGGCCGTAGATCATCTGCATGTTACTGCAATAAGCCACTTCTGCTTTGACTTGAAAACTTGAAAATGGAATGGAATGCATCCTGGTGCTTTCCACTTTATTTTCTTGTTATTCAGGACAGGTCCTATAAAGCGCATTATTACTACTCGAGCAACCAAACGTATACATGGTCTACGTTCCGATCCCCATATTGGGAGCCAGAGGCACTCAGTTGTACTGTACGGAGTAGGGAGTGAGTACTACAGTCTACTGCATCTTTGTTGCATGTAGATCTATGCAGATCGATGTAGATCGATCGAGTTAGGCCTTGCATTATTGAGATGCGACGCCAATCATTACTATTTTAGCCCGTTAGTGCGGATCATGAGGTCACACCGTCACTTGGTTGAGGAGCTGAGCGCTCTCACCTTTACGCATATTGTTGTCCCACGCAGTATAAAAAGGTATCTCGATCACCCAGCCAGGAGACTTCCATCTCCTGATCCTTCACTATAAATAACAACCCGCTCTCATCAGTCACCGTTCTCGTGTCTGTATCCTGCAACACCATGAAGTTCCTCTCCCAACTCAGCCTTGTCGCATTGTGCGTTCCACTCGCACTGGCCGCCAAAGAATCTTGTGGGCAGGTCAAATGGTTCAACGAGTCTAAAGGATTTGGTTTCATCACTCCGAATGATGGGTCGAAGGACGTCTTTGTGCATTTCTCAGCAATTGATGTATGGACCGAATCCTGCTTTATTTCATCTTCATACTAACGAAGATCAACGATAGAGCAACGGCTTCAAAACGTTGTCAGAGGGTGAATATGTCTGCTATCAAATTGTAGATGGACTGAAAGGTCCAGCAGCAGTCCATGTCCATCATCAGGTTTAGACCAGGCGAGACTCGGGGTACCGCCAAGTTTCAAGCAGTCTGTGTATAGTCGAGCTTTCATCCAGCTATTCAACATCTCAGATATTCAATTTGACAGTTGGTCAAGAGCAATGAGTTACCCTGCTAGTAATGGAGTATCACATGCTAGATTCGAAAGATTTGGTACACAAGTATAACACTTTCCATCGGAGAACTGCTGGGAACTACCCGAGGATTCGCGTTGGCATGGGAAAGGACATCACCCCTGAGTCGATAAATCAGAGGATTTCGGTTCCCATCAGTTCCGCGATCGAAAGTGTTATATGTGCCTGTCCCTGACACTCGTCTGAAAGGTTTAGCTGTTTGAAAGCCGTCGCCGTTGCTGACTGGTACTGGTCAGTCCTACTTGAAAGCGGTACCAGATCCATGGTCGAGGTCGGATAAATCCCATGGTTACATCTGTTCAATCATGTGGAACCTGGCGGATAGATACTTCGTACACTTGCGGAAGAGATGTTGACTGAATCTCTCGCGTCATGGAAGAGATGCTTGAAGTCTTCTCTGACCGCTATAATGAAACATGTGCACTGTGTTTCGCCGGTACCTAACTAACTAGTAAATCTTAGAACATAGTTACCTAATCTGGATCTTCTTCATCAGGGCCCAAACAGAAGGAAACGTACTCAACAGGCTCGAGACTACAATATAGCATACATGCATTATCATTACGCCGGTCTATACCTCATACCAAATGACACCCACGAATCAAACAGAAAACCAAAAACAGGGTATAAGAATCCCAGACCCAATGACCTCATCTACCTTCACAGGGCGTTAAGAACCTGCTGCATGGCAAAAGTGTTCGAATCCTCGCGGCGCGAGACATAAGCCCGCACCTCCTGCACGCTCAACTTGCCCTCCTGGCTAGCATTGCGTCCAGCCCCACCAGTTGTCCCGCTGGCTGCACCGCCACGGATTCGTTCGCGCAGAGCCTCCACGCCAATCACGAAGAGACTGCCCACTTCCAGAAGCACGTCCAGCGCGCCACCGGGGCCCTTCGTCTCCTCGTCAATGTCCCAAGACTTGAAGAGGTCCGCATATTGCGTCATGTCTTTGGTAACCATCAACCCCCCCGGACCGCTGACGGAGAACCGTTTGAAGTGCTCGAGTAGCAGACCGCGGACTCCGAGTGCTATCTCAGTGAGCACTTGACGCACATTGGCGCCGCTGGAGGGAAGGGATGTTCGGGCGACGTTGTGAAGACGGGTGAGGAATGAGGTAATTGAAGCGCAAGTCTGTTGGGATTAGCAAAGGGGTCGTTCCTAACAGCAGGAGCTTTCGATATCGACATACCGGAGTTTGAAGCATCTCCAGCCAAGCAGTGTTCTCACTCTCTCTCGGCCGGAAGTCATTCTTCTTTTGACCAGATAGCAACCGGCTGACCCAGGCGAGCGTGGCGTCGATAGTCTTCTGCTCAATATTGTTGACTTTGTCCTCAATGCGCGACGTCGCCTGGGTTGTGCGCTTCTCCATATCCCGTCGAGTAGTGATGCTCGCCGTCGAGAGAGGCAGTAGGACCGCATGGATACACATTACCATGAGAGTGGTGATACTGATCGTAGTCCGAGTCGTGAAAAGGTAGGAGAAATCAGGCTCGGCCTTGCCGGATTCCTGCGACGTAGCCGCTTCCAGAGCAGCATCCAGACAGACATCGACGTATCCCTCCCCCATTGTGAGCAGAAGCAGATTGAGCAAGGCCGATACGTCCTTGGGAGTATCGCTGTTGACACTGAGCTCTAGCCCGCGGCCCACGGCTTCAGCCAGCCACTTTAGCATCCGCTTGGCGTCGCTGAGATTTGGTTGCCCATCTTCATCTGTGAGCCTGATTTCGGTCAATCGCGTAGTCTCCTGGATATTCCCTATCTTCGCTACGTTTAGTAGGACTTTGCGTTGGAAGGGCGAGACCTCTGGTGAGTCTAGCCGGTTGATAAATGCATCTCGGGTAGTCGAAAGTAATTCTGATCCGGCTCGGGATAGTGAAGCCATGAAAGTTGTCGCCGCCTTCTTGCGGCGGGCATGGAAGGAAGTGAACCTAAACAGAACCGCGTTGAAAAGTTCTTCTAGCGTTCGCTTCTCGCGTTCGATGTAAGACGACCCCACGAAGTAAGGGACAAAGAGGTCCTCTAGCTGCTGATCTAGCAACACGGCTGTCTGTGAGGACACAGGCTCGGGGTGCTCGGTTAACCCATGCGATTTTAAATCTTCGATCAAAGCACTGATGTAGCCGCGCGAGCTTTGTAGACAACGCAAGAATGCCAGAGACGAAACACCAGCCGCTTTCTCGAGTACCATTTCTAACCGCTGCTGGATAGATTGTTGGAAGACTCGCTGTAGGAACTTCCCTAAGACTTGGTCATAGTAAGGGAAGGCCCTTCGAATAATAGCAGACTCTTCTTGAACCACCACCTTGACCTCGTCGATTAACGATTGAAGACTAGACTCAACACCCGGAAGCTCAGCGTCCGGATCGGCCAGCCTCTCCCACGACTCTGGATCACCTCCGACTTCTTCCGTCACCAGCTGGCTATGATCGATGAAGAACTGATGCTGGTTGACGAACAACGCAATGACACTGGCACCGCCATTGAAATCCTGCAACACAGTCGCGCAGTCTCTCATGCCGTCGAAGTTGGCTTTCCGGTAGAAGTCATCAAATTGCTTCAGCAGATCCTTTTCCAGAGTCTCAGAGAACTTCTCAATGATCTCCCGTGTATTCCGCCGCGGCGCATTGTTCTCGCTGAGATCTTCAGACGAGGCGCTTTCTCCGAAACCAGCATTTGAATGAGAGCGATGTTCCTGCCAGCTCTGAGGATCCAGCCGCTGACTGATGCGCAGCAGCTGGCGCGCAATATGAGCAGAGCGCACCTTGGCTTCCCCCGTGCCAGACCGACGCAGCCCCTCCAGTAGTGAGATCTCGCCCCGATTGCACACCCCGTCCCAGCACTGGATGAGGAAATGGGCATCCAAAGCCCGGCGTCGTTGTCTGTCCAATTCTTCTAAACGCTTTCCTGTCTCCACGGCCATATTCCCTGTCCCTCCTGGATTCTCGCGGCCGGGTCCATTCAGCGACGTGTCAAGCTGTTGGAAGTTTTCAATCGTATGACGGAGCTTTTGACCGAGTGTGGCGAGGTTTTGCCCGTGTTGCGCTTCGGCGCGTCGCACCGCTGCGGAAAGCTCATTCTCGCGAAGCTCCAAGTCTCCGGAGAGCTCGCTCAGGCGGCGTTGGGCGGCTTCGAAGGTGCGGATGAGGGGTTTAGGGTCGAATGGTTGGTTTGAGGCGCCGGTGTTTGCGGCTGCGGAGCGACGGTTGGAGATGGCAGTGTCGGAGAGGGCTTCAATGAATTCCTTCACAATGAAATCCCGACTGGAGAAGTCATCGAGACTGAAGCTGGGCCCTTGGGGAAACACAGTGCGGGCAGAGTTCGTCATTATGGATGCATTGTCCATCATGATCGATAGCTGACAGACATGGATTGTCTGCAGATCTAGAGAATCGGACCTCCTTCCTAGGGACAGCTGGAGAAGATGAGGAATCCGGGGAAGCTTCAGAGTTGGTGTCGGAGCCTCGGAGGAACTGAGGTTGGTTCCACGGATTAACGTTTACTATTACCACGCACTATTGCCTTGTAGGATACGGAGTACGGAGTACACAGTAGTTGTCTACGCAGTATACGAGAATTGATCTAAACATTAGACATTCAACATCTTTTATAAGTTGAAGCTACACTATACTGCGTACTTAGTATAAGTATGGATTCTCCCATTCTTCACATGAAAAGCGGCTCCCGACTTCCGCGTCGGTCCTAGGCAGCACATATCTGGCATCAGTGGCGAAGCCGACTCGAATATTTATAGACTTGAAGAAGAGGAGTTAGAGGACAGGTTTGAATATCTACATGATCCTTTCCTCTAACATTGTGGTATAGCCTGTAGGCGACCCCCATATGAACCTAAGACATAACTGTACCAGAACATCCAAGACCTCCACTTCCCTCCTCCACCCAACTCGCAACGATGGTCTCCCAACGAGACCGCGATATCCTGCGCGAAGACCTCCGAGCCCGTGGCACAAAACTCAACGCCGCAGAACGTGAAGCTCTTCTCAAAACCTACCTCCCCGACCCCGCCGTCCTGCCGTCAAAGCCAGCCCGATCTCGAGCTTCGACTGCATCCAGCGAGCGCCGCAAGACACCGCGTAAAAAGCCTATCCGCGCGTTTCTCAAGTCACAACTGCACCATCTCACCTATGCACTGACCCATATTATCTTCGGCATTGTGGTGCGCCTGCTGCAGGCATACCACGCCGTCGTCGATCGTATTTTCGCCATCGTCTATCACCACCACCGCACCCCCGAGCTCATTCGGAAGGATGTGAGAGGACTGAAGCGGTTGCCGCAGCATTTGAGCACGATACTCACGCTGCGCAAGGAAGACGATGCTCTGGCTGCATTAATGGACGAGGTCGCTGAATTGGCGGCCTGGAGTTCGTGTGCGGGCATTCCGCAGCTCAGTGTATACGAAAAGACGGGTATGAACCGGATTTCCCTCCTCGTCTGATATCCAGTATACTGACAAGACTTCTCTCCAGGTACACTGAAATCCTGCATCCCAGCCCTGCACCAGATCATCACTACCAAGCTGGCCTCGTACTACGGCACCCCCTCCCAACAACCAAACCTGCAACTCTTCGCCCCTCACCACCCAGTTTACCACGCCGAAAACGCCTTCAGGCCCGACAATCCTACTCTGACCATCCTCCTGCTCTCCTCAACAGACGGCCGTGAAACCATCGTCGATCTCACCAAGACCTTGGCGGAAATGAGCCAGAACGGCAAGCTCTCCCCGGACGATATCACGCAGGAGCTGGTCGACGCTGAAATTAGCGAGATCACCTCTCAGCCCTTGGCTCTGGACCCGTCTTCGAGAGACACCGTGCTCAAGCCTGAGCCGGATCTCCTGCTGGTGTTTGGACCTTTCCTCAAGCTTGATGGATACCCGCCTTGGCAGATCCGTTTGACGGAAATGTACTGCACGGGTCAACGCAGTCATGGCCTTGCTGGGGATGGAGAGGCTGTTGAGTATCAGGGGTATATGCGTGGTCTTTGGCACTTTGCTGGGGCACAGATGAGATTTGGCAGGTAGAGAGGAAGCTATCGGTGCTACCGAGCTACTGGGGGTGGAGATTGGAGCTGTTGGCTGTGGTTTTGATTGAATAGTGGCTTTTGATCTGGTTATACCCTTTGTCCTATTCTTTTGGCCGGATATGTGTCGCATTGCATTGACTCTACATTGAAATCATTGCGGCTGTTCAGTTTTAACCCGTGTAGATTGAGCCTGGTGGTCTCGTCTAGACGAACCGTATATTGGTCTGGAGTATCATATACCGCTTCATATCCTCGCTGCCATCCAAGTCCTAAGTAACCTCGGGCATTGTCCCTTACATGCTATGTGCTCTTACTCACATACGCTCAACCTAGTATTTGAATTCGAGTATGTATAAGAGAACGTTACTGGTATCATATGCTTCGATGCATGCCAACGAAAAGCCGAAGAAACGCATATCGAAGAAAGGAGAAAAAAAGGATATCACTATATATCGCCATGCCGCAAACTGAAATGCACCAGAATAATGTCCACCAGTCGAATACCATCCAGTCTAGCCCGATCCATCCAGCCATTAGTATTATCAAACTCCGAAAAGCCACTCCACACTCAGGAGTAGCAGAAACAACCCGAGGGCCGTGGTAAATATTGCATCGCGTCGTCAGTCAATCTGTCATATCATCCAAAGTCCAGCCAGACGGAATCGCTGTCGCAGTCCAAGCCGAGCTCGCACCACGCGCGCAGTCAAGACAACGCACGATTTCCGTCCCGGTCTGGGTCACGTCCTCGACAGCACAGCTGGAGCAGATCTTTCGTCGGGGTATCTCGCTCGCATCATATGCATCCTCGTCCCCGCTCATTTGCAGGTGCATTTCCACGTCCCTGGGCTGTCCGAATGCTCCGCCGCAGGTGATACTGTCGCATTGGCGAAGGCAGATGAAGCACGCCCGCTCGCGGCAGAGATCGCAATCGGCGTAGGCGTTTAAGACTTGTCGAGTCGTTGGGCGACGGTGGCAGATATGACAGGGTCGGAGGGCGGAAGGGGATGTCGATTGCTGAGTTGGGTAGTGGAGTGGCACGAGGGTCTTTGGCGAGACCGGGGGTGAGTAGGGGTCTTGGTTTGCGATGCTGTATGTGTTCGGGGAGAGGTGGTTGGGGGATGGTTGGTGTTGATGCTGATGTTGGTGGGTTGCTAGTGCAAGGTATGGGCTTTGAATATGTCGACGCTTGCGAGGGAGGCAGCGGGGTCTGAATGAAATGTCTGCTCCGTCGGCGTGCCGTGATAAAGGCAGTGAGCAGCCACTGTCGTATTCTGGTCGATCCACTCGAAAGGATGATGATATAAAGGGTGTGCTGCTGTTTCATTAGTATAAATGTATCAACTAGCTGATCAAGAATCCACAGTGAGACTTACGGACGAGCTAGAGCCCTTGGCTCCTCATGGTCCCGCTTGCGTTTCTTCCATGTTGCCGTTATCGAGTCGGTCTCGGGCGAAAAGCCTGGCATCGAGGCTGAGGCTGAGAATGTTTGTTAAGCCAATGCTTTGTAAAATGATATAAGACTCGGGTTAAGTTGAGAATGGCTCGAGGGGGAGCTGTGAAGTGCCGTGAAACTGATTGACGTCTAAACAAAAGAACAAATTGAGCCTGGGGGTTGTCATGGTATCTGGGGCGGTGTGCCGATAAGAAATGTGTTATCAGCTTCAGCACACGGCCATGGCCCATGGCTGGAATGTTAGGTTCGATCTGAACTTCTATCTACTCCGTACATGTACTTCAATTGAAAGTTGTTAAGTTGTTTGTCAATGAGAACTATCTGTTACTCTTCTCTAGTTTCTGGAGACCCACACCATCCAGACGAGCTTGTATCGTTTTCTCGTCAAACCGCCGCCCATTGTCACCCACATAATTGCGTAGAACCTCATAGGTCATGAGCCGTCGAGGTGCTTTGCGACCTGTCATCAACTCGAACTGGGCGATTCCCTGTTCAGTTACATTCTCCAGGCCGTCAGACAGCACCCAAGGTCGTCCAGTCTCGCTGCGCACTCGGCGCATTTGTCGTAGAAGTGGTGTATCAAGCGGTTTATAGGCCAGCTATGTTCCATCAGTACATGTTACAAAACTACTCAACCCCTCACACACAACCATGGGAGTGAACTCACCTCGAGTATCACACCCCCCGTTAGACTCCCAAGCCATTGCTCTGGCATTTCGAAGTTTGCGGGGGGTTTATCTCGGTCCGGGTCAGCTGGCACACAAGATGCAACGAGACTGGGCTGAGCGGCATCTGCGGGCCAGTCTTCCTGGAGCGACCCCAAGACATGCACCACTTCAACCCAGTCCACTTGAGACGAAGCCCAGGAATTGAAATGACGCGCGACCTCCTCGGCACGCGTCTGCGTGCGGTTGTAGATGAAGATTCTGCGACAGCCAAGTCGGAGCATGGCGTAGATGGCGGCCCGCGCCATACCACCGGCTCCAATCACCAGGCCGGTGGTCTTGGCGCTGATGGCGTTGCGTGGGGAGAGATGTCGCCGGATACACGTCATTATCCCTACCCAGTCGGTGTTCTCACCGTACCAACCCAAGACGCGCCCGGCTTGGTTGCGCCGGCTGGCTTGTTCTTGCAGAGAATACATTTGTCCCTCCGCGTCCCCGCGTAGCGGCATGATCGTGTTGATCGCCCCAATGGCTTCTGCGTGTCGGCTTTTCGAAGCTAGTTTTTGGTAGACCTCCACACGCCATGGCTGCACGACACTCGATCCTCCGAAGTGCGGATCCCGGCCCAGCCGGTCCAACACTGCGAGAGACGGTACGTCTGGGATGCTGTAGGTGTGTCCCATGCCGCAATGCTCAAATGCAGCATTGTGCATTGCCGGAGATAAACTGTAGGCGACGTTCTCTCCAATGATGTAGAATTTAAGTGGATCAAGCACGTAGCTCTGGAAGAGAGCGCGAACGGCGTCGCGTGAGGTTATTTGCGGGCCGTGTTGGTTCTCCGCGGACGCGGTGATGGCTGGATGTGTTACCGTGGTGAGAATCGTGTTGAAGACCTGTGAAGTGCGACCCAGGGCACCAACATTATAAGCAATGAGCGGTGGATGATTCCCCGGCATTGATCGGATTTTGTTGGAGAACTCCATCACGGCTGCATTTTCCTCGCGCATTGTTGCGACTCGTAGAAGACGGACCAACTGACAGCCGAGTTTTTCCGCCTCCTGATAAATGGCGATGCAGTCTGGACTATCCCAAGTGATAGGGGAAGACGGTTCGAACGTCTGCTGGGCGATGATTTTGGTATTCCCCCGACCTTCAATGATCCCAGCCAGCCGGGCTCGGTCTTGGTTCATGTCTATGACAAGGTACTCCACCCCCAGACGTAAACCGTGCTCGAGAATATCAAAGTACACTCGGGAAGAAGATGTGGCAGTTCGATCGGGATCGACCGCGCTGAAGGATCTATCCACGGAGAGTATTACAGGCGTCCGCGCATTTCGACGCAAGACAGAGACCTGTTTGCTGACAGTGGCTGCCATGTCTGAGTTCCATCGATCGACACAGAGCTCGATAGCATCCCCGCCAGACTCCAGTTCAGCCAAGACTACATTGTCGGCGATCAGGTCCGAAGAGCGCACGAGAATGGCATGGGTGAAAGAGCGAAGCTCTGGCGGTGTCTCCAGGAGAACAAATGGGGAGTCGTAGTTTGAGTAGTTCACATCAAGTCCAGTAATGAACTGCACAAACCGCGTGAAGTCCTCCTTCACGTCTTGCAACTTGAACGAACAATCGGCAGACCGACGATCTGGGGACCCATCGTCCCCCGCGCGTGTCCGATCTTCAAGATTAAAGAATTCAAAATTCGAACATGTTCGATGCATAGGGTCCCCCTCCCGGAATAACCGCACCGCCTGGTCCTCCAAGCCAAGCAATTGCTGGATGCGATCGATGTCGCGCAGCAAATGGACCACCGGGTTGGTCTGGGCATACCGACGTAGATGATCCTGCACAGGTCGCGTCAAACTGGCCAGTCCACACTCCATGACGCAGCCCGTCCGGTGATTATCCAGCATCATTTTCAGTACTTCAATGTCTCGGCGCTGAAACTCTTGGCTGCCATTGCGCTTGAGGTATTCCTGTCGTGTGACGCCTGTAATTTCTCTGAAGTAGTGGTCTTCGGTGACAAAGCGTCGCTTCAATGCAGTGGCGGCAACGAAGCCTAGTGAGCGCTTGCCACATCCGCGAATGCCAACCAAAACAAGGGAAGCATCGGGGGCAAAGGTGCGAGGAGGGGTAGACGAAGGGCGCGTCATGGCGTGAGGGGAGGACTCTTTCGAAGCATTCTTAGAGGTTTCGGACTCGGTATCGACGAGCGCGGGCTGAGTGGGAGGCTTGATATCGAGCATTATGAGATGATGGGTCAATTGAGGGCTATGTCGAGTAAACGAGCGCCATGGCCTGATGCACTTAAGGCGCAAAGTCGCAGCTGGAGTGCGGGGGTTTGTCGAGGAACGGAAGACAATTGAGGTGACCGCTCATGTCCTTGATAATCGAGAGTATGAGAGGCTCTTAGATATTCGTGGATCATTTCCCCGGAGGAATTATCAACCCGAAGCTTCCCCAGTGCCAAGCCATTCGGCTAAACACTTTTCCCTTCTTCTTACATCTCGGGAGATCTGGAGATGTGCACTCAACAAACACATCTCTTGTTCATGTACATTACGCTCTATGAGTCTCAAGACCGGATCTGAATGTCAAGGTACCTTGTAGTGCCGGAGCCACACAGTATCTCTTGCCTCCAGGGCTGTGCTTAAGAGTGATAATCTAGCGGATTGGTTCCGATCCGAAGAGGCTAAACGTTCAGATCGGATCATCGGATGTGGACTGTTTAGATGCCAATATAGGATATTGACCTAGTCTTTGGGATTTGGTCATCAAGACGGTCTGCTAAATCTGTGAAGCCTGTATATCAGCCCTTGAATGGAGTGTACTCGCCATAGACGTAGCCCATGACTCCATGCCACCAATGCCACCAATGCCACCATTGCCCTGCGATTTGGCATTTGCAGCAGTGGCCTACAAGCCCGCTTGAGAAATCAAAGATGGTTAGTATCTCCATACACAGTAGACTGATCAACACTATCAACCAATCAATATACGTAAGCCCATATAAACATGGAGATGTCCGGAATTGTGGGCACGCGGGGATTCCCCGAACATTCCGTTCCACATCCCGAACTTCGCGTCCGAGATCTTCTCCGGCCCCTACCTGACAGTTCGGGTCCAAGTCCGATTCTATGTCCTTTTTTTTTAGTAGCCGGTATTGGCCTTGCTTTACCTCTAACCTGTTCCAACTGCGCGGTCTTTCCTCGATACGTCACCTCCTCGATCTTGGGACCACTCGGAGTTCAATTTGATCACGTCTGATTCATTGCCTGTTCTCTACATGGCTTCTCGTCTGCCTTAACTATCCCTCTTCATGGACGAGGGATCGGATAAAGCCCCTCGGCGCAAGAGGGTCTCACGAGCTTGCGATCGCTGTCGCAGTAAGAAAGTCAGTCGCGTCTGATGCTGTACTCCACCTTCATCTGATCTGACCTTTGCGCAATTCTAGGACAAATGTGACGGCGTCCGTCCCACCTGTTCCGCCTGTCTGGCAACTGGCCAGTCCTGCTCCTACGATCCCCACGCGAAGAAACGCGGCTTACCCGAAGGCTACGTCCGTGGCTTGGAAAAGTTATGGGCGCTGTCGATCTGTAATATCGACGGTTTCGAGGATACCATGCTACACATGCTCGGAGCCACCACCGAGTCTACTGGTCGTCGGGAGAAATTGATGTCGCTGTGGTCGGAAGACAGTGCCGCGGAGAGTTTACATGATTCCTGGAAGACCAGTCGGCTGTTTGGAGCATTGGAAAAAATGCTCTCCAGCTCTGATGCATCCAGTTCCTCGACAGGCAAGCGATCGCGTAACGCGCAGAACGATGGACCGGACGGCCAATGGGGGTTCCGAGTAGCACGCACGTCCACTCCGCTGGGGCCGGATGCTCCGCGCGTGGTCGGAGCGTTGGCTACATCGCCGGGTGTGAAGCGGGCTCGCTTGTTGCAAGAGTCGGATAGTCGGGCTGTGGCTACGACCAGTTCCCGTACGCTGCAGTTGCCGCCTCAGACGTCACAACTGCTCGAAATATACTTTGCGGTCACGCATTCATGGTTTCCCGTGATCGCCAAGCATAACATCCTCCGCGCGTCTTACCTCTACGCCAACGCTCCTTTCTCTATCACCACAACGTCATCTGGATCCGGTGATCACGCTGCGCTATGGGCAATCTTGAGCTACACAATCACCCAATCACGAACAAATTCGCGGGCCGGTCCCGCTGAACCAATCGCCTTGGCAAAAGAATATTATACTGTCTCGCGGAATCTCATTCCCACGGAGAAAGCGCGTTATGAACTTGGCCATATCCAGGCATTGCTGCTGCTAACCTTGGTTAACATGGGTCTCGAGGATTGGACCGCGGCCTGGCTGTTGAGTGGCCAAGCAGTGCGCATGGCCACTGCCATGGGACTTGGAGCTTTGTCTGATAGCAGGCGATCTGATGAACTTAGACAAGGCAAGGCGGTCTTCTTGGGATGCTTTGTAATTGATTCATTGCTCTCCTTCCGCCTTTCCCGAAGTCCCGCCATGCCTCCAAGCGACCTTGCTACGGTGGGTCTTCTTGAAGAGGATGGACTGGAGGAATGGAACTCCTGGGCTGATGTCCTACCACCCACAGGAGCTCCACAGGGCAGCAAGAATCCACCGCGCCGTGGTCCCCTGCTGGCCTTGAGCTGCTTCAATCGCCTTGTCGAGTTGGCGAGCGTTCTCAACAAGATTTCTCGCCATATCTCTTCTGGTTTCAACGTGGCCGCCTTTGCGCAGCAGTTGGTAATAGATCTCAAGCAATGGGATGACTGTCTGCCTCTTGGATGCCGCTTGATCGGACCTGAAAGCATCTATCCAGAGCGGCACTCGGCCTTGCTTCCCCATCAGAGTTATTTGGGCTTGACTTATGTGGCTACCTTACTATGGCTGTACTTGCAATTGATACCGGGAGAGCAGGGATTGCACCGGTCACAGCGCCCTGCCACGGAGGGAGCCAAGAAGCTTTTCTACCGGGGGCTCTCCATACTCACCCAGCACTTGGAGAACTTCTCAAATTGTGGCCTCCCGCCACTTTTTGAGTTGTGTCTCCGCACGATCGCAGAGCAGGCGTTTAATCTCCGGACTACCGCAGACTCATCCGACACGTTCCCCTTCGCCAGGTGGGCAGAAGAGTTCCGACACAAGACAACAAGGTTTGTCTCTACATGGCCGGCATATGGCTCTTTGGTTTCCGCCATGGAGAGATGGCAACAAGCCAAAGATGTTGGATCTCCCACTTTCCCAGGGACAGCTGGAAATGCATCTAGCATTCAATTCGCGCATGCACCTATGGCTGGCTCTATGCAACCCCCAGGCGGACCTCATAGTCTAGCCCCAAATGACGAAGGTGATTATACCTCATCCATCCTCGGAATCAGTATGCCAATCGATGGACAAGCTTTGACCCCGAAAGACACGGCAATGGAGAATGCCGATCTGGGGATGATGGACGTGTCACCGCACCAGCGAACGGAACCACATCCAGTCCCATCAGAGCCGAAAATTGCGTCCCGTGGCAGAACAGGCTCGGTGTATGGCTCAGCCAGCGCATACCAGCACCAGCAACATCCTCAGACCCCCGACTCATCGACCTCAAACCCAATGACGTCCGGAAGCATGACTTCTGTCGGCGACATCGACGCCATCTTCAAAGACCTCGCGTATCTGGATACCACTGAATGGGCAACGAACCGCGAGGCCGGCTTGAAGGACTTTGGATTTTTGGATGATAGCACCTTCCAGGCTTTCTGTCATGACCCGGATCGCCTGGGAGGATCGCAGCCATTGGTTCATCCGCCTTCTATTGCTGATATTTGGCCACCGCCTGGGTTCTTCCCAGAGACTTTCCAGGAAGGCTCCGAAGAGTCTATGGGAGGCTGAGAGGTCTTGACCTTGTCGTTCATATCATTGTGATCGATCTCAGTCCCCTAAAAGAGTCAATGTTCACAGCTCACCTGCCTCCTGGCTTATCTGTGAACCTTGGAAATCCGTTCATCCTCCAACCTAGGTTACAATGGACTACAAAACTCTCCAAACCTTGTATAAGTCGATACGTCGCGTCAAGCCGTCCCCGAGCGTGATCGTCCTCGGCGGCCCACACGCCGATCTCGCGAGAGGAAGCGCTATAGGAAGCGAACTTTCGATCTGTCTACTCCCAGAAGAAGACTCAATGTCATCAGAATATGTACATACCCGCGCTCGAGGATCTTTCGTAGTCCAGCGCATTTGCAGGAACGTTTCCGAAACAGGAGCAGCAGTTCAGGCTGCGAAGAAAAGAATTTCAGAAAATCACAGAGCAATCTTCAAAATCTTCACATTGGACGTTTCCTACACAGTACATGTCATATGTCTAACCCCACGTGATAACATCGATGAAATTACGCAGTTTGTGAACCAAGTCAACCTGACAACCAACCTTGAAAAGGTGATACCTTTCATAGGATTAAACAGCAGGGATCAGCGGCGGCATGTGTAGCAGTGGGATTATTGGAGCAATTCGTAGGGATATAGCCTTGCCAGTTGACAGGAAGGATACGACTGGACAGAAGAGCCTTGTGGATAATTTATTTAGAAAGGTGTACACTAGTCCTGTTGACTTTTGTGTATATTTAACACTTAAAGGTACACGCTTAACGTGTTACTTGGTCTTGTTACTGTGTATGAAACTGCAAGACTATTGATCGCGCTACCCAGGTACCGCTGAGTTGGAGATCGATGAGATTAAGCAGTTTGTGAATCAACCTTGGAAAATTTACACCTTTTGCCATAGGATTAAACACCAGATCAGATGAGGCACGTGTCGCAGTGGGATTGGGGCAATGCGCGAATCGTAGAGAAATAGCCAGGCCAGTTGGCGGGGGGTTTGCCAGTTGGCGGGAGGCTTACCAGTTGGCGGAAATCGCCTAGCACGCGTCTGCTCAAGTGGTACTAGCAATTGGACAGGAGAGGGGACGTTTTGTTGATAGGTATTTTATTTAGAAAGACTTAGACTGAGGAAGTACTTTTCTCCCTGTCTATCTTCAATACTAGTTGAATATAATTTGCTTCATTCAAGAGTCATGAATCCATCCTTTACCAACTACCGGTGTCACAACCACGTTCTATATCTCCCCTTTTTAGGCCTTCCTCACAACACATCTCCACTTTCGTCTCTCAAAATACATGTCCAGTAGTCTGCTCCTTCTCCAATCTCTTGACGTTGACATTCCGCCAGAACCAAGTGCAGAGAATACACAATGGTACAAAGCAAACACCAACAATAGCCATCTTCCGCTGCAAATCACCATACGCCCCAACAATGGCATCCCGCTCGGGCGTACCATCCTGGTATGACATCTGCGTTACCATGTTGGCAAAGATACTTTCCGCCAGAGGCTTGCTCGCCTCTGGTAGCCGGTTACGCAACTGGTCCAGCAGAATATTGTTCCACATTCCACCAGCGATGGCTATACCCACTGAGGCGCCGATCGATCCAAACAGACCCCAGATTGCCATGACTACGGCAATGTCTTGGTGCCTTACTGATGCCATCACAGCGATCTGTCCGCATACTGTGAAGAGACAGGTACCCAGTCCAACCAGGATTTGGACCATTGTGAGCAGACCGACATGGGTGTCTGGTGTGCGGAATGGGATGAGCAAGGCCGTGCCTAGGAGGAAAATTGGTACGCCGGCCATTGCGGTCCACTTGAAGTCGCCTGTATATCTGATCAATCTGCGGAGAGGAGTCTGCGGTTAGAGCTGCGGTGGAACAATTGTGGAATGGAGGGAAATGCTCACAGGCCGATGATCGGGTTGAAGATGAAGGCAGTCAGTGAGAAAGAGTTGAGCACGTAGCCGGCAGTCGTGATGTCGAGTCTGTTGACAACTTGCAGGTAAGAGCCGAAGTAACTATTCCAAGCGCTGATCCGGGCTGTTAGTGGTATGCTTTAGATAGCTGGTGGTTGAAAACTATGTCACTCACAAAACAGATATAAACATCACGCCGTACAGCAGACACGAGCCGATAATCGTTGGCTCCTTCAGATACCTCCACGGAAGGAACTGCACTGGAGAGTAGTACCGCTCCCAGATATAGAATACTGGTATACAGGCTACACCGAGGACTTCCATCGCAATGATGTATCCGGTAGCCCAGCCCTTGGGGCCGTAGGAGGCGATGCTGAAGGGGAGCAAAATCAAGGAGAAGGCGGCTGTGATCAAGATGATTCCAATAACTGGGTAAATCACATCTCGTCAGACTTATGCCAAAAGCAACTGGTGTCTGGTGTGGAAGACATACCATCGAACTCGATGCAATAGTGAGCAACGGACTGCCACCACACACGCCCCGAGCGGGCTTTCTCAAGGACGCCGGTTCTCTCAGCGCGACGCTGCATAACCAGCATCACAACAGCGGCAGGACTACTGACACCAACCAACATGATAGCAAATGCGCCGAATGCCCAGTGAAAATCAAGGTTGGTGTAGAATAGATTCGCGATCTTCGGTCCTGCAAAGACACTTGCTATACCCGGTGTGCCGTTGATGCCAAGTATCAACATCCGGTTTCTCAGGGAGGTCATATCCGCCAGCATGATATCCACGACATATATGAGACCGATGTGGCCCACCCAGTATAGAGTATGAGCTGCGGTATACATCTCCATGCTTGTACATGTGGCCTTCATGATCATACCGATGGTGACAAGAAGGAGCATGAGGAGGAACCCCTCTACACGCCCCCAGACGTCAATGATCTTGGCCAGGCTAAGTGTGGATGAACCACCGAGGATTGTAGAAACGACGCTGACGACTGTGAGCAGGCCGTGTTTGTCGAATGAGGACGTGATATAGGGGTTCAGTGAACCCTCGACACTACCCAAGAGTGCATCTACAAATGACACGAGGTATAATCTGTTTGCCGACGGGGTGTTAACTTTTGTTCTGGTTACCCCAGTTTAGGGGACGACGCCCGATTCAGGGTTCTTGATCCACGATCAAACTCACAGAATAAACATGAGCACCAGAGTCTTGGTCGACCACGTCGTTGTCATAGCTCTCACACGCTGGACACCACCCTGAAACTCGGCTGAGTCTGAATCAGACAGCTCTGTCTTGTTGCTGGATGGGTCATGCATGCAGTGATGGAATCCTCCCATCTTCTCCGCATCATCGCTCAAATCGGCCGGGGTGACCTTGTCGGAAACGGTTGATTTTTCCATGATATAGGAAGAGATGAACCATTCACGGACAACTACAGCGTCGAACAGCGACTTAAGACAGAGCGCTCAGCGAAGGAAGGCTGGGGGGAGGGAAGAGAGACACCATATTAAGTCTTATAAGAGAATTTCCCGGTTGACTGCCCGAGGTACGGAGTACACAACCTGGACATTTTCGGTTTTCAATCAGCCACTATCAGATGATCTGATAAGATCGGGCTCAACATCATCCAATCAGCAAGGATCTGTGATCTTTAGCGTCGTCAGAAGGTTTTATTTCTCCACCGTATCCATGGCAAAGCGAAAAAAAAGATTTTGACACTTCTCATCGGCCCTTCACACTCTCACTATCCGGCTTCTATGACCCTTCTCGGAGCTAGTAGACCCAGTCCCATTGTCATACCAAACTAACCGAAGTGCTGCTGAAATTTCCTGTCGGTGGATGCCAGAATCTGGCAAGCTTCCACTACTCAAATAATCCTCCAAGGTGTAAGCGAAAAGCTACACCTCGCCACATTGGATTGCGCGAATATCGGAAGTAATATAATGCCGTCTTGGTATTGGTCTTGGAGGACACTGCGAGCCTGCGTTCTCTCGGAATTGGCTAACAGACCGCACATTTTCCTTCAATGACGTGAACCGGTCTAGTTTGAACTTATGCCACACTGGACACATCGTTACGTTCTCTGGATGTTCGATATATTGGACAAATTCCTTTCCTGCTGAAATTATGACACTAAGTTCTAACTTGCCAACCCGTTGTTTTTCCGGCTCCGCTGTCGCAGCTTCGGTTAAATGAAGCCAAGGAGATGCCAAGCATGTGAGCGGAACCAGCGGTGCTGTGATTCTTGGTGTCGAGCATTCGCTTGGGTAGCTCTCAATCCGGGCGCTTCTTTTCTTAATTGGGGTGTTTCAGGCGACAGGCCACAACTTGTGCGCATGTTCCGCTGTCTAGACGCAGGGCGGCAGGACCTGCATAGGGCACGTTATAGACTGATCTTAGATGCTTTTCCCACCAGTCGGGTGGGATAGATAATGACGGAGGACTTTTAATCTTTCTCTAATAATGCTTGGTCTTGTATTCGACTTCGTCCGTTTCTTTGGCCAGAAGGTCAATTTGAGGCCGGGACCCGGGTCACCAGGGCTGTCTCTGATTTTCTACATAATCGATGTGGCTGGGATATCGACATGGGGTCCCATCGACATGATTATTCCAGCTTTCTCAATCTCCAAGTGCGATAAGTATTAAGTGGGAATCCTGGTTGAGAATCGATCAGGCGATAGATGAACGTGTGAGAGGTATCTCTCATCTATTTATGGCAATGTGATGCGGTTTCAGGGTCCGCAGTTCGCGAAATCCATACGCAGAAATGATCGACATCAGCGTATTGCTAAGACATGGGGGGCCTAAGGCGAGGCATCTGCATTATTAATACGCACTGGAAATAGGACTAACTATGAATAGGTACCATCCTGGGTACTTACCGTACTTTGCTCTTGTGAGCTGTATTCTAGTAAGAGTGTCTCGCTTGACTACGAGCTATTGGTTATGTCCTGCCATCGCAAGGCCAACCACATAACCCACCCGCCGACGCAGTCCTATCATCCGCCCATTTTGCTGGCTTCAACTATGCATGTTTCAGTCAGATCTGTAGACTCCAGCCCTGCTGAGAGTAAGCGCATTCAATCAGAGAAGTATAAGTATCAACCATCTCTTGCTGCTACATTCTGGTCATCATCTCAACGAATTCCATCTCCAGAAACCGATATACTCATCTATCTGCGATTTTCATAAATCCTCTCAAACAACCAATTCAGCCAACATGAAGTTTACTGCCGCTTCCATTCTCCTGGCTGCCAGCTCTGCCTTTGCCTCTCCGGTTGTCGAGCGAGGCAGCTCCATCCAGGTCAGCGATTTCTGGGCTAGGGCTGGCCTCGGTTCCAGTGCTAGCATGCACTTCGTCGTGACCGATGCAAACTACCCCGATGACACCCCCACCGACTGCAACTTGCTCTGGTGAGTGAAACATTTCGACCGATCTTGGAGTTTGCATGTCCAACCATTGCTAACGTGGTTGCAGGTCTTACGGATCATCGCCCAAACTAAACGCACGCTGCAACAATGGTCAATACTACATCCGCTTTCCCGATGGGCCCGTGAACTTTGACCAGTTCACATTGGAGCTTGAGAGAGTCTCGGGCCCAATTCCTGAGCACGGCAGTGCCTTGTTGAAATCTGGTACTGAGTGGGCTTGCGAGGACAACCCTCAGGAGGGTGTCGTGCGTTACTGTGCGCATTATGGTGTGCTCAACATTGCCGTGTGAAAACACTACAAGTAGAGAGGAGTTGTCTGGTGGTCTGATCTGGTAGTACTAGAAATATGAGCTCATCTGAGTTTGTCGTTCAGGGTCTTTCTCGTACAGTCTTTCTCGTATCTAAATGTTCGGCAACCAGCCATGATAATCCGAGATGAAAGAATTAGACCTGAGTTGGTATCGAGTACATAACAAATATAACAATCTTAACACAGATGATGTCTCTCTCATCCACGAACATACCTCTCCCGTACGGGATCACCTTCATGCGCATGAATAACCCAGTTTCCAATCCCGCTTGCATCTCCTGAACCAAATTTCAAGTTAACAGGGCGATATGTTGGATCCGACTTCATACGTTGAATGGCAGAGACATGAATACGGGCGTTCACGGGAATATCGCGAGCTCGGCCCCGTGGAGGAGGCCAGCGCACGGCTTTCCACACTCCATCGGGTTGCGGCTCCATCCGTCGGAGAGGAAGGTATTCCATCAGACGCCACGAGAGGACAGAAGCCAAGGGCAAGCCACTGCCATATGAAAGGAGATCGTGGATATACCCTTTAGTACCGGCAACTTGAAGTGCCTCGAGATACTTTTTGTAAGACGGCGACGACTCGGGTTCCGGGGCATGTCTCTCTTCCCCCTCCAATTCTTCGAAATCAGAATTGAAGTCTGCAATGCAGTTGTGTTGCACCATCTTCCTCTTATCCAGTCGCAGTCCCGCGCGCTGCGCCTCCTGCACCATCCAGACGAGAGGGGCATGGGTCAATGGCCACTCCTCCTTGTCCCCCAAGTTCCATCCTCCACCGATGTCTGCGTGGCCACCTGGGAACCACATTTCTTCGACATCTTGTGTTCCTTCGTCATCCTCTTCATTTTGCATCGTTGCCTGTGCTCGACTGGCCGGGCTGATGTCCGGTATCTCCGGAAGAACGGGAGGTCCAGTCGTGCGCTGAGAGTCATTACTTTTTGCCTCTTCTCCAGTCTTCTGCTCATCCGGCTGGGTCTTCCAAATCCAATCCTCTTTGCGCGAGTGTAGCAAAACCGGTCGGAACTTGATGCGCCGCTCATCAATGCTAACAGCATGTCGAATAATTTTGCTCGAGGTCATGCCCTCAGAACTGACCTCGAAGTCGGCGATACTGTTTACCGCGTCGAACATGCCCAAAAAGTGCACACGTGCCATAGGCCGCGACAATATCTCTCGGCTTTCTTTCATTATATGAAAGGCCTTCTGTTTCGCTGCCTTGTCAATGCCTGACCGTCCCAACTTCCACGTCACCCAGGCATCCCAAATGAACGGCACTACCTCCTCATTGTCGGGGCCGAGAAGTCCGACATAGTCAAGCATCTCGTTCAGGAACCGTGCCGTATATGCGCCGCGCGAGAATCCGAAAATAAACACCTTCGTTCCCTCCTGGTAGTGGCGCATCAAGAAGCGATATCCACCCAGGACATGACGGTCGAAGGAGGTACCAAGTGCGAGATTGAGCGCTTTGTTGTTGCTGAGTTTGCCCTTCTTTTGAATGGTACCGCTGGCCAGCGATCCAGGTGTTATGTCTGTTCCAATCCCCGCTGCCGGGGGTTAGTGTCTAGTTGGTTCTTCGGTCTTTGGGTGACTGTCATACGTTGATAGTAACATACTGAGGTGCGGTTAGTATCTCACCCTCCGTATACAGAAGAGAAGGACCAAGCTTACATTGCTCGTCAGTCTTCTCCAACATCCGACAGATTCTCAAGACGTTAGTGTCGGTACCATCGGTGCGAAACGTATTCCCTGTGCCGTCGAAGCACAGCACAATTTGTCGACCCATCTTGATGTCTCCCCGGATTTCGTGAGACGGCATTCGGTCCGAGCTGGGCTCAGCTAGGAACTTGGCATTTATATGTGCTCGAGGTGCTTAGCGTTCATAACTTCATACTAACAGGTCTCTCGGATCTCCACCCATCGGCATAGTGTGGGGACGATCATGTCGATCTTCGCCGAATGACGAACCCAAAGAGTTCATTAGACGTGCCAAGCGAGAGCTCGATGTCACTAGTCTGCCAAATCGGGTGCCGTGCAGTAGATCTACTTCATGATTGCTTTTGTTGAGCTTCAATATTCGTTCGGGGTGTGAAGAACTATTATGCATGACTCCAGGGCTATGTATTTCGCATCCGCCGTGTGACCAGTCCAACATTGGCAATATATTGAGCACTTACCCCTTTTCTCCTCTTTTTCTACTGTTGGACAGAAGAATACCAGATAATACAACAATCTAGGTATATATCGTTGGTCATACCATAACCTTGCGAGAATGTTGCTAAGTTGGGACAATCTCGGCCATTCCATCTTTGAAGTGTTTGATGATTGAGATTTTGCTATCACTTAGAAAAAGCAGTTTATGAGACGGAATCAAAGAAACAATGATGAAAATGGTCCAGCGACCAGAAAAGTCTTGTCTGCCGGCAGACGATGCCAACACAGCGCCATAACATAACGCCTTGTCAATAACTCCCTCCTTTCGGAAACACGGAAAACCCCATTTTCACATAAATGAATGCATGTCAAGTCGAATGAGACGAGGTAAGGGAAAGAAGGTAAAGAAGGGAAAGGAAAAGAAAGAGGTGGATATAGTATGTACAAGAACTGAAAGTCCAAAAGTTGAATGGCTGAAGAGCAAAGAAAAGGAAAAGATCAAGCAGAGATATACTGCACTGCATCGCATGAAGACTGGAATGCCCTCAGAAGCTTGTTCACCCGATGGGTAATCCAGCCAGACTGCGTGCCGTTACTCGCAACACCAGCAAAGGTGGTAGAGGCGTGTTTGCAGATGCGGTCATGATGGTTGAACGAATACTGTAAACACTCCTCGTTGCGGGCGCAGACCTCTGCACAGTTTTCCACTGTGGGAATCGTACCAGCCGCGAAGTCAATCTGGACATTCGCGAGATTGTCCCAATCATCGCGTGCAGGAGTTGACACATCGTGGACAAGTCTCTGGTACACATCGGCATGCAACATGAGCGCGTTCTTGCCACTGCCAAAGAATGACCGGTCAAACTCCCACATCTCCTCAATGTCATGCGGAGCCATGTGATGGTACGAGACAACCGGGTAGCACCACGGCTGTCGGCCGTACCCCTCGGAGAAATGGTCGATTTCCCGAGGCCGAGATGTCATCATCATCGGCCACGCCCAGGTTAGGTCGACGCGCACATCGCGCAGCGCTCGTGCAAGCGCACAATCACCTGCCCATTCCTGTGCCGTCATCACCTCGAGGTCTTCTTGTGCCCGTGAGCGGTACTCGGAGAGCAGACGCATCGTCCAATGCGAGAGCACGATTCCCGCTCCGCCGTAACCGAACAGGGTTTCGCCGATTTGCATGGGGCTGCCCAGGTAGTATTGCCGCTCCGGGTCCAAATGCGCAAGCCAGCTAACCAGGTTCTTCCAAATCATATACGTATCGGCTTCCAAGAAGACGTACCACTTGGCGTCTGGCATCACTTCGAGTGCTTGGTCTATCATTGGGAGGAACTTCCATTTATCCAATTTCCAGCCGGGGTTGTTGGTCTTGCCAAGCGGTCCGTTGGTGTCGTCGCCCCATTCTGCCTCTGTCAGGCCTTCGCGCCCGACTTCTTGGAGACGCCGGTAGATGCCGAACTCTGGCTCATTTTGCATCGTGGTATCGCTGACGTTCTGGAGGACATCGTAGGTGCGCACGCCTTCAATTGTCTCTTCATAGTCGGAGAAGATGGCAAAGTGCGGGACGCATTGGAGGGTCGTGCGGAGGTGGATGGGGACTTTTTCCAGTGATTCGGTAGCGCCGGTTTTCAGGATCACCATAACATCGTCAAGCTCGTGAAGTAAGTGGCCGCATATGTCTTCCACTGTTTCCTTCTTCGGAGGGGGGAGGGGGAGGAGCACTCGTCGCCTGCCCTGCTACTGATGATCCCCCGCTAGCTTGAGGGACTTGATCTGGGCGGTTCACGGGTATTGAGTCGGAATCAGGAAGTCTGAAAACAAAATATATCAAGCAAAATGTAAGGAGTGGAAGGGCGACGAAGATCCATCGTCGCGGTGAACTAAACATGGTCGCGGTTTAGCTCAGTTACAATCTATCAGGAGCAAAGAGAGATCGAGGCCATTCGGCTAAAAGAGAGTGAAGGGATAGAAACGAGGTTGAACCAGAATGCTTCATGAAATCCCACCAAATAAGGGGGGGAAAGGGTTATTGATCGCTGTCCCTGAGCAAGTCAGTTTGACACTGCCTCGGCGTTAAACTGTGGAAAATCCATGGGGCCCGGCAGAACAGGCTTCATGATTCGATATAAGTTCAAAACCGGGGAGTACCGGGCAGCTTGATAGGCTAACTACCGTGTTCGTTAGGGGACTGATCAACAACCACACGGCCCAGCAGCCAACTAGCCTGTGGCGTCTTTTCAGGGCCTACCCGCCGCCCCACGTGAAGCGTCATCGCTTGCGGGACATTGGTTCATAGGAAGGCAAGGATCGACTGAGTTGATTGTGGTTCGTGGGTGGGAAGTTCAGGAGGTGAAGATCACGTCAGGGGTTAAACTTGGCTTTAATTTGAGAATGTTTTTCCCCGGAGATGTTGAAAGGATTCAGCCAAGACGTTGTTAAACAAAATTAAGCATGAAACATGGGCGTTCATTCAGGCCCGCCACCCACGGATCGGGGGGTTTGTTGATGGCCTTAAGGGCAAGGCATGAGTCACGTGTGTTTCAAGTCGGAGCACGGCCACGGGAACTGAGCCACTGAGTCACTGAGCCACACTGGGACGGGTTGTCAAACTGTCGATCGACTTTGTATCTGAGCTTATACATACACAGTAAGATGTACAACAAAAACAAAAAAAGATTCAGAGAAATGAAATTAAATACAACTCAAGCGTCACTCATCCATCATATACAGACATTCAACACGTTACACTGCAGGCTCAAGGACCAGCATTGGCCTCGGTAGCCATTCGCGACCTTCTCCGCTCCCACACCAATACGGGAGTGATAGTCAACACAACAGCAGTACAAAGGATAGCAGCCTGTGTTCCAAAAACCAAGCCGGTCCCATTCCGCTGAATCCATGCAGGTTGGAAATATCCCACCGCAAATCCGCCGCACGTGCGCCACATGTTCAAAATGGCTGAGACACAAGTCGCCTGTTGCGGGAATGTTTCCAATGCATAGGATGAGATGGCGCTATTCGAATGATATCAGTGACGAGTCCCAAAAATAAAAGGCCAATTGAGATCGAAGCTGTCAACTTACACAACGGTGGCTACCATGCCAATATTCACCATGGCCCAGCCTACGGCTACTCCTATCCAGTGCTTGCCGAAGTGCATCGTTAGTCCATAGGTCATTAAGCCGCAGGCCATGCTTCCCATGGGGAGCCAAACGCCATGAAGGCGCAGCTCGGTTCGCCATGATGAGCTGTGGCGTTTGAATATCCAGCCGTTGAAGAAGTGGCCGCATGCCCAACCTGAAGAATGGTCAGAATCTAACACTGGAAGCGGGGCATTGTGAAGCTACCTACCACATAAAGCTCCGATGACACCTGCGAATCGCATCGATGATGCCTCGATCGTGTCAAACGAGTACGGGGGGCTATGCAGGAAGGCATCGATTGTGGTTGTGATGCCTGAGAGATTAGCAGGTGAAAAGAACAATTGGGAGGTACTAGCTACTTACCAATTGGCCAGGTAAAGGTCACCATGGTTGCAATACCTACGGAGCCTGATCAGTAAGAGTCGTCGCAAGTTGAATTAGCCACGCTCACCGGTCATCAACAGCGGGAACTTGAACACATAAGCTACAACTGTGCGACACCAATATACCAAGGTTTTTCCTATGGGGAGATTGGTGTTGCCAACACCGAAATAAGATGCCAGGCGTGACTGACTGGGCATCTTTCGCCCAGGGGCATAGTACGTCTCATACCCAAAGAGAATCACCATGAGCGTCGACACGCCATAGATGGCTGTCAAAACACCAAATGAAGTGCGCCAGTCTGTCCCTGCGCCGATATAACCTGCTATCGCGGGACCAAGGAAAGGCCCGACCAGGAATGTGGTACCCCTATACTCAATCAGTGCTACTCTAGCTAGGCTGGAGGGAGGCAATTTACCAAATGTTGATCATCCGCGGCCATTCTGATGTTGGTTCAGCGAGAAGACTTTACAAGAACACCCGAAAGAACTGACCAGCCGAGGTATACATATCATGAATGATCGGAAGACCAATGACCTGAGGCACCGTCCCGAACAGACCCTGCAAAGAGCGGAACGCCGTGAAGGTAGCCCAGTCATTAGAGAGGGTGGCGCCCAGCACCATGAACATGGTAATCACTTGGGGCCATAGCCAGATCGGCAAGCTGCAGCTGTCAGCCTGATAGCCACGTTGCGGGAAGAGCAAAATAGCCAAAATAAGATGAAAAAAGCAAAATCAATCACTCACCGACCATATGCCTCAATAAGCGGCACAGCAAATACGCCTCCAAATCCCTGCAGCAGAATGCCATAATTCATACTCGTCGCCGAATGAGTAATTGAGATCTTCCAGTCCATGGCCTGCTCCGTGACCAGCGTGCCACCCCAAACCATTGCCCTGGAAGATTTGAGTCAGCATACATTCATACACATCTGTCACAGCTGACGGGCACGATGGGTTTTACGATCGACCGGGCCAATACATACCCATCTGCCAGCAGCGAGCTGCTCATCAGTGACACAAAGAGCAGGGTCTTCCGCGCCGAGGACCAGTTTCTCGGGTCCAGTCGGTCGTTGGACTCAACCCCCGAATCGGTATGGGATTTCTTCCATTCCTGCGTTTCGCGCGAGGAAGATGGACTGGCTGCCTCCATCTCGTGCATGGTGTAGAACGGGATGGGCTTCTCCATGATAGACATAGTACTATGGAGTACACTTCTCGTTCTAGTATCTGGCTCTGTATAATGTTTATTCCCGAAATAATGGACTTAAGCCAGGTAAGGAGGTGGAGGAATGAAGATCTTTTTCTTTCTTTTCTGTGTGACGGCCTCCAAGGGTTTTATGCATGGGCGTTCCGATATGACATATGGGGCATTCTCGCGTGGCTTTTGCTGCGGTCGTGAGATTCTGGAATTTGGTTTCAGGTGGGAGACGATGGCGTCGGAGAGATCAGAGATGATCCATCACCATTTTGGGGTTTGATCTAAGATTCTGGCCCTGATTTGGGGATTCGGATGTATCACATCGAGGTGGATCTGACGATTGATCCACGATCCTGGTTCTTTTCTACTCTTTGTGGGTTTACTGAGATAAGCATTCTCTTTTGCTTCTCTTCTATTTGCTATCTTACCGTTCACTTGAATATTGGTCAGTTCATGCGGAATTGACGTATCTCCTGTCTCTTCGTATGTGATCCATCCCTTGCGCATGACCCCGTCACATATGTCCAATGGCCTTGGATGAAGCGTATTAATCCTGTTCTATTAGTGATCAGTATATTTCTCTAACATGCTAGTCTTCTCACTCGGTAGATAGACTAGAATTTTAACCGGTCGGATTCCACTTTCGTGCATGTCTTCACTTATAACTCCATTGGGGAAGAATATACTCCGTACAAATACATCATTTCCCCGTATCTCCCCTCAGAACCTAAGTAACTCTTTCATCCAAGACAATGCCCTTTCTCGCCCGTCTAGCCAGCCTGCTGGGCCTCTCCTCCCCGGCTCCCGTTACGCCCCCAGGCGCCGCCCTGGCAGCAACCGTCACAGTGGTACGTATGACGAACCCGTCGGTCGAGTTCTCGTCTAATTCCATCGCAGCCTGCATCCTTGGGGTTTGTCCCGGTCGCAATTCACTTTGATCTGTTCAATATCCTCGTGGCCCATGGTGGGCCAGCAACGCCTGACGAAGTGTCGGCAACATGCAATGCGCACATCAAGGCACGTGGAAGAGATGAGCCTGAGCTGAGTATGTGTTTTGAATATGGCGGGCGATTGTAAAACTGACTGGTGTTATAGGTACAAAGTTGGCCTGTATGCACTGCCATGTGGACTTGTACCTGTATAACGCTAATATACTCTTGCAGCTGACACGCTTTACATCATGTCTGGACTGGGTCTGATCGAGCGCGTGGCCGAGGACAGCTTCACTGCAAATGCCATCACAAAACACATGGTCGCCATGCCTTCTGCCCAGCATGGCGCCCTCCACTTGTGAGTTGCCTGCAGTAAACCCCTTGGGGGAATTCTAGAACAATTGTCTCCACTTGGCACATGCACTAACTTCACCAGCACAACCGAAGGCTTAATGGCTGGTGCATTCTTAATGAAGAAGCTCCAGGATACGGGCTTTGCGTATCCCTTCGCCGATTCAGATGGCCCCTTGCAATATGCCTATCGGCTTATGGGTCAATCTGAACTGGCAGACCAACACACGTACTCAATTATGGAGAAACAGGGCCGCATGGACAGTTTCAATCAGTTCATGGTCGGCAAGTTTCTCAAATTTGGGACATTTCCCGAACGCGTCAAATCCATGGGCTATGACTTGGATGGGGCTTTGAATGGTGACTTTGCTGAGGACTCTGCTGCCATGGTGGATATTGGCGGCGGTCGTGGCGAGCTCCTTCTGGAGATCAAGGCTGTCTACCCGCATCTTGCAGGGGGTCTAATCGTTCAAGAGTTTAACGCAGGCATCAATGATGTGCCCGGTGTGCGTCTAATGAAGTGGAACTACAAGGAATCGGCCGAGCAACCGGTTCGTGGAGCGTGCGTTTACTCGCTGCAGCACATCTTGCATAACTTGCCTGATTTGGATGCTGTCTCGTTACTGCAGAAGATCTCTCGAGCCATGGGACCTGGTTCACGGGTTTTGATCATTGAATATGCTAAAAACATGACTTATACTTCGCTTCATGCCAGTATGATTGCCTTATATGGAGGGCGAGAACGGAGCGCGACGGAGTGGCGGCAACTGGCGAGTTTGACGGGGCTTGAGGTGACCTTTGAGAATTATGTTAGGGCTGGAGAGAGTTTGGTGGAGATGAGGAAGATCGACAGAAATAGTTAGAATTGGAAGTGATCACCTAGTAGTACCTGTACGGAGTACGCAGTACATAATTGTGGACAATCAATGATACATCTACTTTCACACTCATCACATCCATGATCCACTTTCCTCTTCCTCACTTCTTATCCCCCTCTTCCCCATCTAATAGCCCCAGGCACCCAAGCCCCATCAGAATTGACAGATTTTCAACTAAATACAAGATCTATTCAGACCCAATTAAGTTCAATGTGGCTCAGGACTTGACTTATCTCAACCTTAGCAACCTTCCATTGTCTTTTTTTTGGCTTTATCCTCTATCCCTTGCATCCCTTGCAGCAATATGCATGGCGAGGTGCATGTATGCATCCTCCACCCACTGGAATGTCGCCAATGTCACGGAATCCACATGGCTTAAGCAATGAGAGCCTTGTCGCGCCCTGCCAGTCTCATCGAAAATTCTGTTGATCAGAAGATCCGATTTTCAGTACATGCGGATTGGCCCCGCGAGTTCTAGTCTCGTCACATCTGGACATGAGCCCCAATCCTGGCAGGGGCTTATTACGGCTCCATATCATTCCTTTTTCTCGGTAGGACGATTGCTTCCTCGCCTATGATTCCCCGCTTCTCTGTCCCTGATTGACACATGCATCCCTTGTTCCATCCCGAACCACCCTCGCGGGACCCGATTACTTGACGCGCCGCAAATGCCAGGAAGAGACTCTGCAGGGTTGTGACCTGTACATCGGTTCGCGGGGTTTTGGTCGTGATCATCATCTTAGGGAACGTTCAAGCTCAGCTTCTGAACCTTCGTCTGTAGTCTAGTGGTCCTGTCTCTGATTTTGCTTCTGATATATCTTATCTACCCCACGCGATCACTCTGGCCTCGTCGCGTTCATGCTGACGAGGACTATTTGAATTGGCCTCTGCCCTGTAATCAAACTGGCAGATCATTCGACTGAGCTTGACATTCATACGTCTGGTTCTTGCGTCTCGAGCTCATCATGGACATTCCAAGACCCGCTGAGGGGGATGTTGATATTGGTATGCCTACCTCTCGAGTCTCGAAGACCAAGACTGTTCTGGATTGGCACTGACGTCTGACAGGCACTGGCACGTTTCAGGCCTGCTGGGTATGCTATCATATTCTTGGCTATGCGAGCCCATCGGTATCTGTGCATGTGCTCATCTTCCCATAGGTTCTCACAGCCATTGTTGGTGTAGCTTTATTATTCCGCTATGGCATCAAGATCTGGGTGCGATGGGCGTTGCCGCAGGTCACCGCGCCGGGACGAATCTGGGGTATAGAAGACTTGTTCTTCCTTGTTGCTTGGGGCTTTGATATTGCCCATATGGTTTTCATCCAATTAAGGTGAATGTGAACACCTAGACCATACTACCATGTCAGCTACTGACTTGGCTAGTGCGAATTGGGGCCTGGGGAGGCATTTCTTCTACTTAACCCCCGAGGAACGTTTCAACGCTATGAAATGGGATTTCATATCCCAGCCAATGGCTGTGGCTTCAGCTATGGTCTCACGCACAGGCATGATGTGGTTTCTTTTGACCTGCTTTGCGGCTAGCGACAAGAAGATTCGCCGCTCGATCATTGTCTGTGCTGTTGTTCAAATCGTTGCCAATATGGTAACTATTGTCCAAATTATAGTCCAATGCGGACCGAACCCATATCGGACTGTCAGTCTCACACTTTCTGGTGGCTGATGTATGCTGATTCCTGTGACAGTCCAATCGCGTAGATTACTTCCACTATATGTGGACACCACTTCCTGAAGACGGTTCCGTCAAGTGCCAATCACCGACCGTCCAAACGACCGTTGGCTTTGTGCAAGGAGGTATGTGATGCGATATAGAGCAGTGAACTCGGCCCGAGGAACTAACCCTCGCAGGATTCAACACCGTCATCGATTACTTCCTTGCTGCCCTCGCCGCTGTAGAGCTCTGGCAGTTCTTTCTACGAACCCTCCACCGTAACCCAGGCCTGTCATTCTGGTCCCAGTTCTGCAAGATTAGTGACACCGTCCGATCACGCCGAATCTGGCAGACCATCACTCTCTGTGGCCCGCTTCTGCTCTCCGGTTGTGCTTCTATAGTGAAGACATATGTGAGTGAACACACTTTCTCCGGCACCTACAGACCCGCTAATGGCAACCATTCAGAAACTCAAGTCCCTTGGGGATCGGCAGGACTTTACTTACAACATCGTGACCTTCGTTCTCTGGGTGAAGTAAGCGACTATACTCCAGAACCTAACCATCATTTATACTAACAATTATCAGAATCGAAAACTACAGCATCCTTCTCGCCTCCTGCGCCCCCGTCGCCCGCCTCTTCCTCCGTGCCTTTGTCGATCACAGACGCGAAGGTCGCAGCCAAGGCTACTGGTCACGCTCCCGCTCCTCGGATCGACACAAACACAGCACGGAGCTAAAATGCCGTGCCAATGCTGAAGACAATTGGTTGGATTCCTCGACAAACAATACTTATATGCATGATGAAGAGAACCCGGCGACACAGTGGAATGGGCATGAACACGAGCGCTCCCATAGTCGGGTGTCCAAGGCGGAGATGCCGGAGCATCTGGATGATGGGTGTGTTACTGTTAAGACGGATATTGTGGTGCAGATTAATGATGGGAGGCCCAGGTCGACTTCTTCTGGCGGGACAAGACTACTGCCAGATGGAGGGGAGTCGAATTCCGCGGGGTATCGTTAGTTTTTATATGGTGTTATTTGAGAGGACCATGGTAGATATCTAGAGCTCCAGGTATATAATAACGGGGAATCCCTCCTGTTCTTTGACCGACCTCAAGAACAAAAATACAATGAGGATCTGTTTATATATCTCTCCCAGCGAGGCCATCGAAAAAAAATCCAATGAAGGAAGTCCAAATACTTGCAGTTCTGACTCTGATCATTGTCATAATAGCGCCTGATTTCTGCAAGCCCTAATCCGCAGGACCAGAGCCCTGGAGAGCAAGAGCAAGACTTAAGTCTTAAAGGACACATGCAGCGCATAGAAGGAAAGATGTGTATATCCAACCATAAATTGTACATAAGGCCTTTATGGGCTGCTCCTTCCATCAAACAGTTTCCTGGTCTAGCGGTTATGATTTTCCGTTAACAAATGCGATTCGCATGTGTTCCGGAAAGGTTCTGGGTTCGATTCCCAGGGAAACTATTTTTTGTTCTTTCTCTGATTCATATGCGGTCAATTGAAGGAGTGAGATCCTTTCTTTTTGTTTTTGGCCATTAAATCCTGGAATTTGAGGTAGTAGTATCATGGTCTAATCCAAAGATAGTCTTGGATGAAATAGCTGGAAACCTGGATAGCTAATAAGCTACCACACGGCACACACACACACACCCACACGGCCACACCCCACAACTTGATTGGATCTGTGACGACTGACGAGCCAGAGAGCCTAGCGCTGAATTCCTCTAGCCCTTCACAGGATCCACTACACAGTAGAGAAGGCAACAAAAACAAAAAGGAAATGCTCACACTCGGAATCGAACCGAGGATCTCATCATTACTAGTGATGCGCTTTACCGCTAAGCCATGCGAGCTGTTGATGTAGAAACCATGGATAGTAAGCCTCATTAATAAAAGAAGAGAACCAAGATAAACTACTGTGCAGGCTGAGTGAGATTTCAAACTGGTCGAGACTGATCGAGTTCAATGAAACCGAGAAAGTGGACCCACTTTGCATTTCATCCGAATACCTCAAGATTGTGGAATTGATCGAAGACATAGACAGAGACTGAGAAACCGTGGCTTTTTAACCGATTTAGATATCAAACTAACGGTCAGCAATCCCGATCACCCACCCGACAACCTCGTTAACTTCTCGGAAGGTTCACTGATTCCAGTCCGATGACATAACCATCACGTGCCTCTATCTAAATCCCCAGACCGCGCCTGTCAACAGCTTCATTCTCCAATGATGCCCACCGGAAGACCCGCCTTCCCTTACCGGCGAGGTTCCAATGCCTCCGAAGACGATTTCTTCGATATCGCCGACGAGCCCTTCTTTTCAATATTCAAGCGCCAGCTACGACATATCCGAACATGGGTTGTAGTGGCCCTTATCGTCGTGTTTATCTTGTGGCAACGACGTGAACGGCCTCCGCCACCGCCCTTACCACATATCCACTACGACGAGGTCGACTGGTCGCGCTATGCATATACCCAGTATGCGACCAACGAAGTCTACTTGTGCAACTGCCTGATGGTCTTTGAGGCCCTGCATAGACTCGGCAGCAAGGCGGATCGCGTGCTGTTCTACCCAGAGGAGTGGGACCTCATCGTTGAGGATGATGTAGATCGCGTCAGCCAGCTGCTGCTGGAGGCTAAGCTCAGGTATAAGGTGATGCTGATCCCGATCAAGATCGAGGGTATCCAGGATACATCTGGTGAGTTTGAGGAGCCCGCCGATCTTGAACCACACCACTGATATATTATCCTGTTCAATAGGCGCCGGCTCTCAGGCCTCATGGGATACAAGCACCGCCAAGCTCATGGCATTCGGCGAGCACGAATACGATCGTGTCATCCACCTCGACTCCGACGTAATCCTTCTCCAAACAATGGACGAGCTCTTTTTCCTCCCACCCACCACAGTCGCCATGCCACGCGCCTACTGGCTCCTGCCGGAAAAGACGCTATCGTCGCTACTAGTGGTCATTCAACCCTCTCTCCGAGAATACCTGGCCTTGACCGACATCACCTCTCTCGCCAAGAATAATCAGGTCGATATGAACTTGACTGAACACCGGTACGACATGGAGCTATTGAACAGGAGGTACGGCGACTCCGCGATGGTTCTTCCACACCGACAGTACGGTCTGTTGACAGGGGAGTTCCGGAAGAAGGACCATCGCAATTTCCTGGGAAACGAGGATGAAGTCTGGGATCCGGACCATGTCCTGGCGCAAGCGAAATTCGTCCACTTTTCTGATTGGCCTTTGCCGAAGCCGTGGATCATGTGGCCGCAAGATCAGTTGGCTGCGGAGCAGCCCAAGTGTGACAATAATCCTGGTACGCCGCAGGAGAGTGGGTGTCGGGATCGGGAGATCTGGAAGATGATTTATGATAAATATCGGAGGCAACGAAAGGTATGTGTGGAAGTTGACGTGAGGGGTGGATTGAACCAGTTGCTAACCTTTTATAGGACGTCTGCAAGCTGCTCAGTTACCCGGCGCCGGTTTAATGGAGAAACAAATGCTCGGTTTTTTTGTACAATATACATTATGGCGTTTAGTCGATATTCGCATCCTAGTTCTGTATAGTGAAGCCAATAATGAATGATTATGATAACTCGGAATACAATGACGTTGCTGTATCAGAAGTTCCAACGCAGATGGGATATCTCGACAAAGTAGTACAGAAAAAACACCGATGCAATCACACAATCACAATGAAGATTCAAGCATACCCCATCCCCCTCCGCCACCAATTCCAAACTCCCCTCCTGGCCATGATCCCCCCAAACTCCTTCACACTCTCCACCTCATCCAAACCCACTGCCAGCTGCAGAACCCCATCCCCTTCCTTCTGTTGTCCATCCCCATCCACTTTGTGATCTCGATCCTCCTCCACAATGCCCGGCCTCGTCACCAGCTGAAAATCCTTATAGCGTAACCTCCGCACCACGTCGACCCAACTCTCCACCCGCTCCTTCTGGCCTTCGACGTACATGATGCCCGGACAGCCGCCGGACCGGAGGAGGACGGAGCATTGGTGGGTGTCGGCGGCACGTTTGAGGGCGGCGACCTTTTTACGAGAGGTTATGTGATGAGTGCGGATTAGAGCGTTGTAGAGTGTTTGCATTTTGTGGTGGGCAGAGGGTGGTGCAGTGCAGTTGGAGAGATGGGGCGGGAGCTCGAGGCGCTAAACTGGATCGGGGAGATCGAGGATGTAATGTACCAGACCATAGTAGTATTATGCTGTAGTGGCCTACATGCTATGTGCCTCTTGATGACTTTATGGAGAAATGACCATTGACTGCAGACCTGCAGAGATCAATGATCATTTTCTTAGGCTCCTTGTGAGCTCATCAACTCTATATTTTGGAATTTGCATGGTGCTTCGTTGCGTACTGTGTGGACTTCCAAGTTCCCAGGGCGGTCACCTCTTTTTATGTAACATTCTGCCAGTCAAAAACTTTAGCGTTTTCCACGTTTTTGAATAGGCGGTGTGTGAAAGGCGAAACACGTGGGTCAGGAGTTAAAACTATGTCCAGTTACTGTATCAGAGCATGAATCATCTTATATTTTCTGAGCCTAGACGTTAACTACACAGTACTGTAACCAAAATGAGACAACCTGTATTTGCTTGGCATAGTCCGTACTTCTGGCAATCGATCTACATGTGAAATTTCTCCGATTCTGGGCCTGCAGGAGTCGAGGCGTGCGGGGGTGACACCGTGCACTTTTCTATTACTCCGTAGATGTTCATTCATTATTTTCAGAGGCAATTAGATACTGTTGTGAATAAATACAGAAGCCCTACAAAGTCTTCAGAGTCACGCTGCACGCAGTATGTATCTCTATTTACTCCACTTTTTTGTTCAGTGGACTGTGGAGTGATTTTCTCGTCTTGGCTTCCAATTTTCGTTAAACTTCCGACTCGCCGACTCCACAGAAACTTCGTTTTCTCAAACGAACTGCCACTTCGAGTGCCACTTGAGTGAACCGAATCCTCGTGGCCAATGGTAATCGCATGTACATCAGATATCTCCTGTGACCCACCAGGCAATCTTCAACTTGACGATCCATAGGACTGGCCGATGACCGTTAAATCCAATGGAGGGAGCCGTGGCTGTTTATTGTAGCCTGTTCTGCTGTATTTATTATTAATTTCTCCTCTTTATAAAGGATTTCCCAAGATCGTCAGTTTTGCTCATGAGATGAATGCAGTATCTTGCTTGTCATAGCCAACCATCGAAGGGTCAATATGCCCGCGCCTCTAAATCCCCACCCAAAGCAATGCTCTTCCTTTGCGTCTCCAGAAACACACAGCAACGAGCAGAGAGTGCAGGTCTCGCATGGAGACGAGGATGCTCTGGCTGATATTCATCGCACATTAACCGAGAAGAGCCTCGCGCATCCCAAGTATTCAGAGCCGCATTCTTCCTTCGACAGATTCCTCGAGGAACAGGTCCGGGACAAGAAACCCGCCAACCTCGGTGTCTGTTTTCAATCACTCTCGACCTGGGGCGACGCGGACAGCCATGCAGATATAAAGACCCTTGGCACAGCCCTATGGCGGACATTCACTCTGCAGGATATCTATGAGTGGACCATCCAGCCATGGCTCACGAAGAAGAAAGCCGAGGATGGGCGTCCGCTTATCCGGGATATTTCTGGAGTCGTGGACAGCGGGGAGATTATGCTGTAAGTGGGATCGCAGGTTTTTCTCCGAGAGTTTACACTAATCGAAATATATAGCGTCCTTGGCCGTCCCGGCGCCGGCTGCTCGACATTTCTCCGCACTATTGCCGGTCACCATTCTTCCTTTTTGGGAGTGACAGGCTCAATCGACTACTCCGGTCTCAGCCCGGAGGAAGTTCGCGCTCAGTACCGCGGCGCTGTGGCATACGTGCCCGAAGACGATGTGCATTTCCCGACTCTGACGGTGCGCCAAACGCTGGAGTTTGCTCTCCAAAGTAAAACCCCCAAGCGGTACCGGGAGAGGATTCCCCGGTATCTTGAGATTTATGGACGGGTATTTGGCATGTCACACACCATGAACACGTTAGTGGGCAATGAGTACATACGCGGAGTGTCCGGTGGCGAGCGCAAGCGCATCTCCATTATCGAGTCTCTCGCAACAGATTCATCTGTCGCATGCTGGGATAACTCAACGAGAGGGCTGGATGCTTCGTCTGCCCTCGATTATGCACGGAGTCTGCGCATTATGACAGATACCTGCGGAAAAGCGACCCTGCTTACATTGTACCAGGCGTCAGATGCCATCTATGAGCTGGTGGATAAGGTCTTGCTCATTGATGAAGGGCGCATGCTATATCAAGGGCCTGCCGATGAAGCAAAGCGTTACTTTGAAGATCTAGGATACGAATGCACCGATATGCAAACTACCTCAGACTTCCTTACGAGCATCACACTGCCTGAAAGGCGGCGGTTCCGTGCTGGATGGGAAAACCGCGCGCCGAAGGGCCCACTCGAACTTGAAGCAGCTTTCCGCCAGAGTGCTGCCTACACCAAGATCCAGGCTTCTGTGGAGCACTACGAAGATCAGAAGCTCGCTAGGTCTTCGGGTGCCTCGCTAACAGAGTCTGAATGCGGCAGCGTGGAGGAATTCAAGAAGACTGTGCAGAGTGATAAGTCGCGCTTTGTATCTTCCAAGTCGCCGTACACAATTTCTCTCTTCCGACAGGTCGTTCTTTGCGCGAAGCGTCAGGTCTGGCAGTTGAAGGGCCATCTGAGCCCGTTGTATATCAAACTGATTTCCTGCGTGGTCTATGGCTTGCTGATTGGATCCATGTTCTACGATCAACCCCAGACGACCGAGGGCATGTACTCTCGTGGAGGTGTGCTCTTCTACTCTTCCATTCTGCTTGCCTGGCTGCAGATGTCAGAGTTGGAGGAAGCCATGCAAGGTCGAGATATCTTGAGCCGGCAAAAAAGTTCGCCTTTGTAAGGCCCAGTGCTGTCTGTCTGGCTCGAGTCCTCACAGATATGGTCGTAACTACGCTTCTGACATCGTTGTATCTGATCGTCATGTACTTCCTGTCTGGTCTACGAACTGAGGTGAGTATCTCCAAACCTTGCTACCAGGACAGATACTAATTGTCCAGGCCGGCCCATTCTTCATTGACTTCCTCTTCATCTACATGAGCACCATGTGCCTTACAGCGCAATTCCGTGTCTTTGCCGCCTTATCGCACAACTTTGAAGTCGCCCTGCGTTATTGCGGAGTTTCCGTCATGGTCTGCATCGTGTTCGGCGGTTACGTCCTCTCCGTTGACAAGATGATTCAAGATGTTCCCTGGGTGGGATGGCTGGCGTACACAACGCCCGCCTTATATACCTACGAATCGATCATGGCGGCAGAATTCCACAACTTGAACTTCACTTGTGCTCCCGGATCCATCATCCCATCCGGAGCGGACTATACGGATATCGCATACCAGACATGTGCCTATGCTGGTAGTCAGATTGGGAGTACGGTCGTGAACGGCGATGATTACTTGGCCGTGAAATTCGGGTTCTACTACAGCAACGTCTGGCGCAATTTCGGCATCATGTGTCTCTTCACTGTTGCGTATATTGCGATTACCTGTTGGCTCAGCGAGGTGCTTGAATGGGAGCTAGACAGTGCTGGACCCATTCAATATAAAAGGTCCCAGAAGCTGTTCCAACGAAAAAAAATGTTCAGTCTGATGAGGAGAAATCGCCCGTCTCCGTTCATTCCAATGCGCCACCAGCTGTCCATGAAGCCAAGCAAGAGCAGACTCTCGCAGCTACCGAGTCTACCTTCTCCTGGTCTGACCTGGAGCTTGATGTGCAAATTGGCAAGGAAAGTCGAAAGTTGTTGAATGGCGTTTGTGGATACTGCAAGCCAGGGTCTCTCACAGCTCTCGTTGGTGCTTCAGGAGCCGGCAAATCCACATGTAAGATCCCAATGAGTCTAAGTTGGTGATTGACCACTAACAAATTATAGTGTTGACCGCACTCACCCAGAGGGAGAGCCCTGGCACCTTATCTGGCACCCTCTTCGTGGACAATCGACCAATCGACCAGTCGTTCAACCGGCAGATCGGATATTGCCAGCAGATGGACATACACGATGAAAGCAGCACAATCAGAGAAGCATTCGAATTCTCTGCAATGCTACGACAAGGCCACGAGATCCCAACGGCAGAGAAGTTGGCATACGTGGACACGGTGATTCATACATTGGACTTGGTCGAACTGCAAAATGCAGTAATCTGGTCTTTGGATATCGAGAAGAAGAAGCGTGTGACCATTGGAGTGGAGCTTTGCGCCCGACCCAACATGCTGCTTTTCCTCGACGAACCGACAAGTGGACTTGACAGTCAGGGTGCAACCAGTATCGTCGCTCTCCTCCGACGTCTGGCCGATCAGGGGTTGGCTGTTCTTTGCACTATTCACCAGGCCAACCAGCAACAATTTGAAGAGGTACGCATATTCCATGCCTCGATCACGAAGCATACTAACAGAAACAGTTTGACCGCGTTCTAGCCCTCAGTCCCGGCGGAAGCACCTACTACTTTGGTCCAGTAGGCGAATCCGGCCGCGCAATCTTCAGTTATTTCGCAGGACACGGTGTTATCCCAGAAAAGGTTACCAACGCAGCCGACTTCCTCATCGAAGTAGTCGTCGGCGGTATGAAAGCCTCGGGGAACCAAACGAACTGGGCAGCCATCTGGCGCGACTCAGACGAATGCACCCAAGTCACCAGCGAAATTACCGCCATTCGCTCCGACAAGAATTCCCGCTCGCCTTTCCTGCCCCCGACTCTCCCACCTCTCAGCCAACAAATCAAACTCCTCACTCAGAGGACATGTCGCCAGTTCTGGCGCACCGCTGAGTACCCTTACTCGCGACTTTACTCTTCCTTTCTCCACGCTCTCATCAACGGGCTCACCTATCTGCAGATCGGGAATAGTGCTACGGATCTCCAGTCGAAGGCCTTCTCCTGCTTCCTTGTTCTGATGCTCGTTCCTGAGTTCATCAATGCCATCTCCATGAGATTCATTATGAACCGCGATATTTGGTTGGCCAGAGAAGGGCCCAGCGGTGTCTATGGTTGGGTTTCATTCTGCACTGCCCAGATTGTATCCGAGATCCCTTATTCAGTCGTTGGTGGTGTGGTATTCTTCCTTCTATACTACTTCATGGTCGGACTACCGCTCGGCTTTGCAGCTGGATATTGTTTCCTAATGTTTTTCCTGTTCTTCCTATTCGCGACTTCTTGGGGACAGTGGATCGCTGCTTTGAGGTGGGTTCTCTCTATCGCCTTCCTTTGCTTTTAACAGAATAACCTAACATATACTGTCTAGCTCCGACTCAATGATCGCTGCCACACTCATGCCCTTCTTCATCATCATGTGCGAGCTCTTCAACGGTATTCTCCGCCCACAGAGCCAAATGCCCGCCTTCTGGAAGTATACTATGTACTACGTTACACCGTTCACGTACTGGATCGGCGGTGTACTTGCGTCTGTCTTACGGGGTACCTCTGTCATCTGCTCGCAGTCGGAATTGACGATCTTCGAGAGTCCCGCCAACGCCACTTGTCGTGAGTATGCCGGTGCATGGCTTGACGCCAAGAGTGTTGGGTATCTCTCCAACCCGGAGGAGATGGGACAGTGTGGATATTGTGAATACAGCGTCGGTGATGATGTGAGTTTCCAGCCCTGTCCTTTTGTATTACCTGAGACTGATGCTAATGTCGATCTGCAGTACTTGGATGGCATTGCGCTGGATTCTTCGAAGATCTGGCCCTATTTCGGTATATTCCTGGCTTTCACCTTTACGAATTATTTGATGATTTACCTGCTGGTTTATGTTCGATCTGTTATGAAGCCGGTATGGCGGTCGAAGTAAGAGTGACTGATTGGCTTTTGTTGCATACTCCTGGAGTGTATATAGCCCGGCATAGCGTTGGCGTAACTGCTCAAATTCAAAAGTGGTTGTTAATCATTATACGACTTTATATACGCATCCTTGTACCATTTCACGAATGACACAGAAATAGCCGTCGAAATAGTCGTCTCGTTTCTTAACGCTGTCACAGGTCACGTGGCATAACATCAAGGGGCAACTCCCGGAGGAAATGACAGCATTGGGATCTTGTTCGTATACAAGACAGATGCACGTTCATGAAATATCTCATGATGTGTAACTTAATATATAATGTGTTAGGTGGCATCCACGTGAGTCACGTTGGCACATGCGGACATCGGCGCACTCGGAGATAACTCCGGAGTTACCAAAAGCGGTATCTCCGGACACGGACGTTCACGACCCAGTAAGTTAACACCTCCTCTCACGATGTTTCTTACATATATGCCATTTAAACCGTCTCGTGGAGACTCTTGGAATTGATCTATCACCTACTGCCTGTCGTACAGACACTTGTCCCTCAAGACTCGGTGAAATTGTCGGAAAAGGGCCTCGAGTCCGACAAAAGATAAACGTCTCACCCATGCTTAGCGCCATTGCCAGGCGACACTAACAAAGAAAATCCATCGAAATGTCTCAACAACTTTTCAAAATGGACGCTCAACACGATCAGGTCTCTTCGGAACATGAAGAGACAGAAGATCAATCTCACGCGCCACAGCGCCGGCGTCGTCCACCCCTGTCTTGTACAGTCTGTCGCAAGCGCAAATTAAAGTGCGATCGCGCTCAGCCCTGCGGGCAATGCGTGCGCTCAAAGACCACAGCCCAATGTGTTTTTGTTGGATCGCAGCCAGGCCCTATATCAGACTCACAGCGACGAATGTCTCCCCCGCAATTACCGACTGGTCGTGGGGCAGACGATCAATCGGGCCGGAAAAGCGGGATCTTTGTCTTTGATTCAAAATTGGGGCCGACTTCCACCTCGAATCGCGTTTCAAAGCGTGGTCGCTCCGATGAACTGCATGAGCTCCGGAGTCGGCTACGTATGCTGGAGAACTCTCTCGGCAAGTCGTCTCAACTCACACCCGAGACGTCTGTTTGCGATGTCCTCTCCGAAGTGGACACGGCGAATAGCTCAGAGAATGTCGGTGTCGATGATCGGGTGCGATTCTTGCCTGATACGAGCTTCCGCGGGAAGAAGGCGAAGACCCGCTATTTCGGTCGCAGTCATTATACAACTACGGTCTCCTTTGTGAGTGTTTCTTCATTATGGTGACCATGAGACAGATGTGCTAATTAGATATAGTTCCAAGATATTGGTGCCTTCATGCGGCGTGGTCGTCGTCGGGGAGAAGGAAAGGACAAAGAGTACACTGATATGAAGAAGTTCAAGACCGAGTTGTGGTCGCGCGAGACTCAAGCTCATCAACGCGAGTTCCGTGAGCAGGCCTTCAAACTCAAAGGAATGGTCCCCCAAAAAGTAGTTGCAGACCATTTGCTTCAACTATATCTCGACACTTTTGAGATGACATATCGGGTCTTGCACACGCCAACTTTCTTGAAACAATATGACGAATACTGGAATGAGAGCCAGCCAACTGACATGAGCTTCGTTGCTCAATTGCTCGCCATCATGGCTGCTGGGAGTTGCTTCTACGTCCCACCCCCAGGTCAAGATAATCGAGATATTTTCCAAAAACCTGCCATGAAGTGGATAATGGCTGTTCAGTCTTACATTTCATGCACATTTGTGAGTCCGGAAATCGACTTCCGGATGCTCCAGACCCAAACACTTCTTCTGGTAGCTCGTCTCGGGGTTGCCAGTGACGGAGATGTAGCTTGGGCCTCGGCTGGGTCATTGATTCGATCTGCGACGACAATGGGACTGCACCGTGACCCGACCCGGTTCCCAAAAGCTCGACCGTTTTATTCGGAGCTGCGTCGTCGTTTATGGGCGACTATCGTCGAGCTAGATCTCAAGATCTCCCTTGACCGTGGTGTACCACCCTCAGTCGACCTAGACGAATGTGACTGCGATGCACCATCCAATTGGAACGATGCAGACTTGTTCCCTGAGATGGAAAGCGATCCTGCTCCGTTGAGCACTGCTCTCTATACCCAAAACTTTTATCATACCCTCCTCACCAAGACCCTCCCCCTGCGCTATCGAATCGCCAAGAAGATCAATAGCCTCCGGTTCGACCTATCTTACGATGACGCTCTACGGATGGGCGATGAGCTCTCTCGCGCCACGCAACATACCTCTTCCTTATTCGACGATAACGCACACAGTTGCGCTTCAGACCAATCAGAACGCCATCGATTCGCCCAATCTCTCCACCTATTCATCATGCGCAAGTTCCTCCTCGCCCTCCACCGCCCCTTCTCGCTCAGCGTTGTGCGTCTGCCCAAATGCTCCTACTCTCGCAAAATATGTCTGGAAGAGTCCCTCGGCATCTTATCTCAAATGGAACTCTCTCCTCAGACAGAGAACATCCCCTATCCGCACATCACGCAGCTGGGTAGCGGTATGTTCCGCGATGAGACCTTCCACGCTGCAGTCACGGTATGCGTGGAGCTCTCCCTCCAAGCTAACGAGATGAGAACGTCCGCCACATCCGGCATGGACGGCGTTAACTCTAGCGTTCTCATGAGCATGATCCAGTCTCAGCAGGGGGTGATGATGCAGGCTGTCGAGCGAACGGCCGATAACTTTGGGAGACGTATTGGTGCTGGCGGAAAGGGGTGCAAGCCTTTCTACTTCTTGAATATTATTCTTGCTTCCGTCAAGTCGCGCGTCAAGGGGGAGGATCCTTTGTCCAATATTGAGGCTGCGTCGAAGAGATCTATTCGGGTTTGCAAGGGTATCCTGGATGGCCTTACATACGAGCAGTCGAAGAGCACTGCGGATAATGGGTTTGTACAGGTTGGTAGCCTCTTCGGCAGCTTTGTATCGGTCCCGGCTAACAGTCTTCAGACTCCTGTTCCTTCTAGCGCTACACCGGCTTCTGCCACACCAAGTGATGTTGATCCTATGTCACTATTGTCGAACGATTTCAGTGATTTTACGGTGAGTCTCTCTAATTCGGAACATGTTGAGCACTGTGCTGACCTTTTACAGCCAATGGACATGGGAGGATGGTTTGAGGGTCTGGATTACACTGGCACTGAGCTGTGGGACTGGAATGCCGATTTGTCGGCTAGTCTTCTTCCAACTTACGCACCAGCTACCTAGTTGTATCAAGGGCAGTAGGGGTTCTACGATAATGCACGTATCAGCCACTGGGTGGACCTCTAATGTAAAACATCTTTACTTTTCTATGTACGTTATTCACCCATTTCTACTAGGCGAGCAAGGCAGGAAGAAGAAGCATTTCAAGAACGTGACAAATGGCATGAAGCATCAGTTCCAACCGAGTTTTTTCCTCCTCGTCCCGGGCTATCATTGTTCTGGCTTCCGCCACCTCTATCTCCGCTCGATGCCAGCGCAATCTAGCTGCCAACAGTCGACGTAGCACTTATCTGCTACCCGAGTTGGGTCTGACTCCACACGTAGAATGCTACGGCCACTGTATAAGACGTGGCTTATTCGAAGATTCTTGGTCATTTACATAGAACCCGCATTTCACGTTCGATCTTAGTCCTCATTGGAGTAATACGACTCCAACTACCCCAACCATGCACGCCTCTTAATGCTACCTGGCTCGGACGACTGCCTTACCTTATCTTTGTACCTTGAGAATGTCATTATGTTGGGGTCTCTCGTGTATCACATGCAGCCCTGAAAAATCCCGAGGCTGTTGGGAAGAGTCAGTCGACATTGAGAATATCATGTCAACGTTTGCACCAGTATCTGATGACAATGCCTTTTCTATCACTCCATCAAAAGCCTCCATTCTTTCATACCTCTGGGAGAACCTTGATCAAGATGTGCCAGGATGGTATCCCTGCAATGCTATTTTTCGATGTCTTGGGGACAATCGTTGAATGGAGATGTTGCATCGCCAACGAACTGAATGCCGCAGCACAAAGGGTCCTGCAAGACCAAGCTCGAGATCTGAGTGCAGATGTGCGAAAGCGTGTCTCTGATATGTCTACTTCGAGCTGGCAGGAGATCTCGAAGGAGTGGCATGGCGCATATATGACCTTCGGGAACACTTACGATTCATCCAAGCCCTTTGTCTCTGTAGATGAACACAATCGCATCTCTTTGGAGAAAATCCTCAACAGACGACTTCTCCGGGGCTTATTTAACGAGCACGAGCTCAATGACTTGACCCTCGCTTGGCATCGACTAAACGCATACCCTGACAGTGTGCCAGGTATTTCGTTGCTGAACACTAAATTCTCGACGTCTACATTGTCCAATGGAAACGTGAGACTTCTCGAAGAGCTCCAAGAGCACAATTATTTGCCTTTCAAGCATGTCACCAGCGCGGAGCATTTAGGTGCTTACAAGCCGTCGCCAGAGGCCTATCATGGTTCTGCTCGGAGATTCGGTCTCAAGAGCTCGCAATGTTGTCTCATTGCAGCACATCTTGAGGACCTGCAGGCCGCCAAAAGGTGTGGGTTTCAGACAATATATCTCGAGAGACACATGGAGGAAGCCTGGGATAGTGAAGGCGTTGCACGAGCAAGAGAAGAGGGCATCGTCGATCATTGGGTCACAGTTGGAGGATCCGGTCTGATCGAAGTTGCTCGACATTTTGGGATCGAAAGTGGATTGTTAATTACCACCTTATCATGATCAACTAAAACCAGCAATTTCAAAAGAGAGCGATAAGTTGGTTAGTATGGTCTAAATAAAAAAAACATAAAAAAGAAATGTGCATCATCCGTGAATCGAACACGGGCCTCGTCGATGGCAACGACGAATTCTACCACTAGACCAATGATGCTAGTTCATGTATAACAGCAAGGATTAAAGTTACAAGAGGCCATAATACATACATGGGATGCTCTGATGTTGATTCTATTATTCTGATTCTATTTTATGAATTATATTTGAAAGAATTTGTATAGACAAGGGAGAGAGGATATCGAGCAGACCGTCACGTTGATTGCTGCATAGTTCCTGGGGTAGGGGTCGGTAGGGCCCTGGGTGCACTATGACAAGGCGTACTGCACAACCATACAGGTCCACTGCGGCTGGTTATGACGTTGAGATAGACATGTGCATATCCTCAGGCCAGAAAGTCAACTTTGAGACAATGGAAGTGGACAAAAGCACGATCGGCATGAGCTCATCCCTCGGGCCCTCGGGGTTGGGGAACGCCGATCGATCGTACTTATAAAGAGCGCCCGGGGAGAGCGCGCAGGGAGAAAACAGCGATTCTTTGAATATAATTTACAAGTTCGTATATATCACATATGTCGTGAGTAGTCGTTGCTTTCTACGAAGTACTTTAGAGGGAAAAAATGACTAACCCCTACAGTGCTCTGTTGTCTATTCTCGGCCTTCGTGCCGCCCCTGGCCAGGTCCCAGCAAACCACGCAGCTGGCTTTTTGGTGGTAAACTGGGCCTTCGCGTTCGGTATTATGAGTACACGCGCCACGAAGATACGCCTGGGCCTCGATCACAACGTTAGTCCGCGTGAAGACTTGAGCAAGTACGGCGAGGCCGCTGTGCAGTCGGGCAAGATCAGTCGTCGCACCCTGGACAGGCTGAAGCGACAGGAGGCGGCACATGCCAATGCGCAGGAGGGATATTCTTTGTTCGTTGCTGCGAGTATGTAAAACTTCCTTTCCTCACGGGTTGACGTCTTCGACCTTGAATGGGAGGTTGAAGCCCTGTGCTGACTGGTCTAGTCCTCGTGTCTCTGTATGCCGGCCTCCCCAATGAGACCATCAATACTGTCGGTGCTTGGTACTCGGTTTCGCGTGTTGCATACAGCTTGCTGTACACCTATATCGAGTTCCACCATTTGAGCTATCTGCGCTCGGTGGCTTGGTGGTCAGGCAACATTAGCTGCATCTATGCACTGGTACAGGCCAGTAAGAAACTGTGAGTTCGACTTTGCATATTGTCTCGTCTTCGAATATTACGTCGAGATAAATGAATGCGTTATGCGACCATATTTTCACATAGAATGAGTACAAGTTCAAGCTTAATCAGCAGCTCTAGAAAGACAGACCAATCGGAGCAAACAGAGATTAGTATTTTGTATACTGTGTAAACTCCCAAGGCAGAGTATTAATCCTGCTAGTCCAAGCTCGAGTTTCTCACACGGACAATGACATGGAGTCACATGGCCCACGTCGACTCGCTTCACTGAGCATCACTCATCGATTCATTACCTGACTTTTTTTCCTACTGCCATTCAAAGAAACGCAGCTGAGGGCGAAGGGTGAAGGCTGAGTAAGTACTTCGTATAGTTATGAGATGCGAGAAAGGAGCCTAACTACCAAAAAGAGGAAAAGTAAACAATGATGAATAACCGCATCACGTGATTGATGGATATCACATATCACCACAAGTCACAACACGGGGTAAGACTCACTGAGGTAACACTCACCGCGCCTGTTGGTGACATAACCTCCGTCTTACGGTCTTTCTCTACGGCCGACAACAGTTCTCGAGATTACAAGCTGCGCTCGAAGCAGTTAGGGGAAAGGCCGAAGCAGGTCGAAGAGAGACAGAAACAGGTTGAAGATGAAATCAGACGGGAGAAAGAGAGACGGGAACAAGCCGAAGACGAGGCCAGGCGGGAGAACAGAGTCGGGAACAAGCCGAAGAGCTCATCTGACCCACTACTTTTGTGGAGTTCTTGCGCCATTCCCACAACCTCCTCTCTCGACCCTTGAGAGTTGGGACACCATCTCGCTCGACTACCAGGAAAATACCCCTTCCTACATACTGGGAAATATTGCCCGATACGATTAGAACCCTGGAACATCTGCTCGACACAACTGTCGGAGATCTACCGGTCCGTCTCTGGCTATCTTCAGCTGACACCAGGAGGGACGCCACATCTATTTACTTCACTGGATGAGCTGGAAGGATTTGGTCGAGAGTTTTCTGAAACGCCTATAAGCAGCGAGCGAGACCTCGAGGCCTATGAGCGATTCGCCGTGGAGAAGCATGTCCGCGACATCATTTCCGAGTTGTGCAAAATACCCGCTGCTCGCGACGAGTTTGGCCTCGGCGATGGAATCCAGTTCAGAAAAAATCATACGAATTCCTTAAACGAGAACGAAGCTATTGAAGCGGATGCAAGCCAACCGCCCAGTGTACACCGGCCAAGACCTGATCAGTTTTGCATCCATCGTATCGACGGCAACACTAACACGCTTCTAACGACTGTCGAGTATAAACCGCCACACAAGCTTCCTGTCGCGACCCTTCGTATGGGGCTCCGACCGATGGACTTATGGAAGGAGATGGTCGGATCAAACAAAGTACTGACAAAGCAGGAAGAAAAGTTGAAAGATAAGGCAGAGCGACTTGTCTGCTCTGCGCTTGTCCAGGAATACCACGTGATGATTCAGGAAGGGCTCGAATATTCCTATGTGACAAATGGGATTGCTCGAGTCCTACTCCGTGTTCCATGCGACGACCCTGGCACGCTGTACTACTTTCTTTGTGACCCCAATAGCGAATTGAACCCGGAAGTTGAATATACTTCTCAGCTACGGAAGACTTCTGTTGCGAGGACACTGTGTCTGTGTTTGATGGCTTTTCGCTCGGCCGCGCGTGGCCAGGAATGGCGAAATTCGACACGACTAGACCTTCCCATTTGGAAGACCAGCTCTGACCACACTCGTTCTCAGATTCCCAAATTAGGACTGCGGCAGACCCTTCTCCACCCAGAGAGTACCAACCCGGTGTATCCGAGTCCGGAATCCGGTTTATCTTATCTGCCATCGTCTCCGCCGGGTTCTCCAGCAGCAGCAGCTCGCCGAGTACCTACAAGGTCTCAGGCGGGCCGCGCACCGTCAGGTGTTCTACCACGTCCCTCGCAGTCGCCAAACTCATCGGGCTCCGATTCGAACCAAGCAACAAGCCGCAAGCGGGGCCTCATCCATGTCACGTCATCCCCGTCTACCCAACGAGCAGGTCGTCAACGGGACAAGGGAAGTAATCAAGGCGACCAGGCCCGACATCACAATGCACAATTTTGCACTCAACGATGTTTACTCGGATTGCAGTCTGGCGGTATCCTAGACGACTGCTGTCCAAATGTGATGCTTCATCGTCGAACCAAGGACGATCTCCGACATCCGATAGCCTCGGGAGATTTGCTGGGTTTATTTAAAGCACAATTGGACGAGAACATTGACCGCTGCACACCTCTCGGGGGTTGTGGCGGATACGGTGCGCCGTTCAAACTTACCTGCGTCGAATACGGCTACACTGTCATCGGAAAAGGAACCACGTCTGGGCTGTGGAAAGAAGTCTCCGGCGAAGCGCAGGTATACCACATTCTGCGAAAGGTCCAAGGGTTGGCCGTGCCTGTCTTCCTGGGTACCATTGACCTGGCAAAAATCTACTTTCTTCACGGAGCTGGAGAGATTCGTCATATGCTCGTGATGGGCTGGGGAGGAGAAAGCACGACATCGATGGAGCTGGCGCCCTGGCTCCGGCACGAAATTCGCAAAACAAACAGAGAAATCAAAGCCTTGGGAATCATTCACGACGATCTTTCGCGTGACAATATTTTATGGAATAAAGAACTTGGCCGGGCATTGATCATCGACTTTCATCGGTCCACTTTGAAATGTCGACCGACTTTGCAGCGATCGGTTAAACGACGACTATTTCCAGAGGCAGAAGATCCCAAACGTCTTCGTGTGACGTGACGCAGTGTGCATAATTGTTGTAGTTCATTATGCCTGATATTGAAGGATACCCTGATGAGAAGCCAAGAAATGAAGTGATAATATTCCAGCTTTCGGAGGAGCTCAAGATGTTTGATCAAGTATGATTGGTGGAAGAACACAATTCCCCAGGACCCCAGATTAGCTCGGGGGAATGAAATCCGGCCAGAACAACGAAGTCACGTGCAGAAACTGTTATGCTCTTGGCATAATGCGGAGAATTGATTCCACCCTCAGTCTATTCAATATTGACTCAATCGATACAGTTATTGGGTAGGCCCTGTCGATCACAATGGTCTGGTCGAAATCACTTGATCTGACAGGCGGAGAAATGTCTTTCCCTTAGCCATTGTGACGCGTGAAGTTCCCCAGTTTTCTTTAAAAATCCGGGGAAAGACACAATGTACAGCTTTAGAAGGAGTTTTGTTTGTGCTGGGGATATTCCGGGGTACTTTATAAATTAGCCGTTGTCTCTGTTGGAGGTTCTAATCTCGACGCTGGAGCAATTGAGCTCATTGACCCAGCTACAACCAGCTCCAACCAGCAACGATGAAGTTTCTCGCTATCGGTGCTCTCCTACTCAGCACAGTAGGTGCTATTGCTACAGAGCACATCATCCATGGCGCACAGATTATCCCGGCTACGGACAAGGCGGGATTGAAGAAGATTGGAGCTCATGGACACCACAAGCACCCGGACCGTCGGACTGTGACAATTCGCTCATCGACGAGTGACACCGACGATATCTCCGATGATTTCCTCTGGGGTATCAAGGCTGCCAACCATGGCGGTAGACTTCTTTTGAAGAAGGGCAAGAAGTATGTCATCGGCAAGAAGCTCGATCTGAGTTTCTTGGATAATATTGAGGTGCAGCTTGAGGGTGAATTGATGGTGCGTCCCTGAGGAAGTGAAGGCCCGAGCCTGACTGACATAGACAGTTCACCGATGATATCGACTACTGGCAAGCAAACCATTTCTACTATCCTTTCCAGAAGTCTATCACCTTCTGGGTCTGGGGTGGTCAGGATATCAAGATCTTTGGCAAGGGTACTCTGAATGGTAATGGCCAGGAGTGGTACAATGCCTTTGCTGGTCGGGAAATTCTGGTATGACTCGGTCCACAGGGATGTTGATTCAAGCTAATTGCTGCTCAGGACGATGAAAACACATTCTATCGACCCATTCTGTTTCTGACCGACAACGCTACCCGCGTCTCTGTCGAGGGCATCACACAACTTAACTCTCCTTGCTGGACCAACTTTTTCGTGCGCACGAATGATATCTCATTTGACGATGTTTATATCAATGCCTTCTCAACTAATGCATCGGTAAGTGGCGCTCTGGGTATATCGCAGATTTTGTCTAACCGCCCGCGCATAGGCCTTGCCCAAGAACACCGACGGCTTTGACTCCTTGAACGTGGATGGCCTTAGCGTGACCAACACCCGCATCGATATTGGCGATGACTGCTTCTCGCCTAAGCCTAACACGACGAACATCTTCGTGCAGAATCTGTGGTGCAACAACACCCACGGTGTCAGCATGGGCAGCATTGGGCAGTACCCCGGAGTCGAGGACTTCATCGAGCATGCCTGGATTGAGAATGTGACTCTCCTGAACGGACAGGTTAGAACTTCCACTTCGATTCAGGCTTTGAGACGCACGATTCTAATGTCAAGCAGAATGGCGCCCGTCTGAAGGCCTGGGCCGGACCGAATGTCGGCTTTGGCCGCATCAACAACATCACGTACAAGGACATCCGAATTGGGAACACCGATGCGCCGATCGTGTTGGACCAGTGCTACTTCGACATCAACTCCACCACATGCGCGGAATATCCGTCATCGGTCAACTTCACCAACATTACCTTTGAGAACATCTACGGTACCTCGTCGGGCAAGAATGGCAAGGTTATCGCTGACCTTACCTGCTCGCCCAATGCCGTGTGTTCGGGTATTCAACTGTCGGATATTGATATCAGCAGCCCGGCTGGTAGCCCTTCGACTGTTATCTGCGATGGAATTCATGGCGATGTTGGTGTTGAGTGCCAGCCCAGCTCGTCTTGATGGGGATATAACGGGAATGTCTGCAGACATTGAATGTGGAGTTACAGTCACATTAGACAGTAGATGGGAGAATGAAGTCCAATGTTCAGTTCAGATTCAAATATCCAAGTGGTCTCATATTGCTTGCATTTCCTCATCAAACATAGCCAATCATCCTATAAATACTCCTTGCATAAAATCCAACGCTGTACAAACCCTACATTTCAATGATACAATTCAATTTACCACTCGTCAACCCTCCGCATCCTCAGATGCATCCCTTCGACAGGCTTAATCGTCACAGCCCCAGAAATATGAATCTCCTGCTTCGGATCCTGCATCTCAAATGCAAACCGACCGACAACACCAGCAAGAGCGCACCGCAGCTCCGCACGCGCAAAATCCTTGCCAATGCAAGACCGCTGTCCATGCAGGAATGTGATCTGGGCATAATTTGTCGATGCCCCGCCGTTATTGTTTGGGACGCGGTTTCCGTTCTTGTCCGTGTCAATCCATCGCTCTGGCAGGAAGTCCTCGCCGTTATCGCCCCAGAATAGTGGAATTCTGTTGATTGCCCAGGGGCATATCACAAGGCGTGTCCCCTTCGGAATGTACTTGCCGGCTACCACTGTATTGCGGACGGCTTCGCGGATCGTGGTTGGTACTGTTGGGTAGAGGCGGAGGACCTCCTGACAGACGCCGTTTAGCAATGGGAGAGATTCGAGGTCTTGGTGTGTGATTGGGCTGTCACCAGAGGGAATCTTGGCTCGGATCTCCTCGCGGAGTCGGTTCTGATACTCTGGGTGCAGGTGAAGGAGATAGCAGGCCCAGGTCAAGGCGCTGGCGGTGGTCTCGTGCTGTGTGAACGTTAGTCAAGTTGGATCTACCAGGTTCACTGCAATACTTACTCCAGCAGCCAAGAAGGTCAACATCTGGTCTACCAATTCTGCGTCCGTGAAATCACCACCAAGCATCATGGTGCCCAGAATATCGGCTTCCAGATCCTGCGCTGAGGCCTTGGACTCAGCGAGACTGATACGCTTCTCGCGTACAATCTCATCGCATATACTGCGCAGATAGGCCGTCTCGACATTGAGGACTGTATTCATCCGCCACGGTACACGCCTGGCCATCCATTGCGGCAGCGCAAAGTTCATCACCAAGAATGCCAGTTTCTCCTTGGTTGGTTCGAGGATCCTCGCAAAACTCTCGGCTACCTTATTTTCCTTGTTGTGTAGAGAGCCAAAGTCGCGCCCCATTGCTATCGGTCCGATGATGTCGAGCGTAAGTCGGCTACACGGCTGTTAGCATGCGTAGTCAATTACGCTCACGGTGAACGTACCTCGCCCATTCGCTCATCTCAATCTTGCCCTCTTGTTCTTCTGGCTTCGTTCCTTCCATTGGGGAATTCTTCATTTCATTCTCTAGTTCATCCAGCAATTGGCCCGTCTTATTCCACATCAGTGAATACATGGACCGTATGTTCTTGATGTTAAACGCGGGCGTGAGTGCCTTGCGCTGCTTCTTGTGGGCTGCACCTTCCGATGTGATCATCCCAAAGCCGATGATCCGGGCGAGGAAGTTGCGTGCGCGCCATGGCTTCTCAAAGTCATATGTGTTTGTGCTCATGATATCTAACAGAGCCTGGTGGTTTGTCGGGAGCAGGTAGCTCTGATTGAACATGTCGCGGATGTGAAGGAGTCCTTCATTCGGAATCGTCTTCATCCAGTGCAGGGGTTTGGTTCCCCTGGGTGAGTCGAATACCATCTCTGAGTGCGAGCCCTGGACGAGTCAGTCTTGTGCTGTTTCATTTTTCATTTTTCAATTTTTTGACTGGGATGTTTCGCCTACCTGTATCTTGGGCAGATGCCGCAATGGGTTGAGCATGAACGGCCATATTATCAACCCGTATACGGCATTCAGGAGGAAGTTTACCCCCAGTACGCCTAGGCAGACTGTTTGAAAGGCCGTGTCTTCAAAGACAGTGCGTTGGAGGACATAGGCTTCTACCAGGGAGAAAGCGGCCACAGCGGGGAGACCGTCACCGAGGGCCATATTGTGATCAGATATTCAGAATATTGAAGACTGAACTGGTTAAACACAGTACAAAGCCTTAGGCCCATCCGATGAAATATGTATTCATTTATCAGGAGAGGTCTGAGATCCCCCCACAGGGATCGGCGTTTTCGTTCCTGTTGGGGCGACCAACGCGAGACCTCGGCAGTCATTTTGTTGAATTTCAGATGTTAACCTCGAGATTGTTCATATCCATTGGTTTGTTATAATATTGACATGAGATTGACATGAGATTGACATGAGATTGACATGAGATGGTAACTATTCAGTGATGCCTGCAGTCTGTCACTTAGCGGAATAGTTCCAAGGTAGGACCAGTGGTGTGTATATCGATCACCGTAGAGCATACTGCGTATGTCGGTGGTTGTAGTGTGTATTTTGTACAAGGCCCGTACACAGCAGGAACTCCATAACTACTTGCGCTGCATTGTTAGTTTACTGTGTTATGCAGTCGAATGTTCTTCCCTCGTGGAGTCCCCGTGATCTCATGCATTTCTGCGGGGTCGCCAAGAGACCAGTTGACATGTGAAATCGAAAGCAGCAGGTGATCGTCAGGACTCAGGACGAAATGCATCACTTCGTCGATCACTTTTGAAGTTGGAGAAATTTTCATTCGCATTGGTCTCCATTTTAGCAATGAAGCTTGATTCAAAGCCTCGGCTTGACACTTGAACATACAGATATAATAATATACCCCGATCTCATCATCCCACCAATTTTACCCTCCGATCAATCTCAACTTCATCTCTCACGCAATGTCGGCCCTCGAACTCGTCACCCAGTACGCTCAGGTAGCGTTGACCCACCTCCCCGAACCCGCCCAACAATTCCTCCGCAACTCCGCAACGCAAAAGACCCTGGGTGCTATCGCCGCACTTGGTCTGGTCCGCGCGACAAATCGCTTCATCTCACAACGCGCTCTCCAGAACTGGACGAGCAATGATCCATGGAATCCCGCCCGTGAGCTGATCCTCTTGACAGGCGGCTGCAGTGGCATCGGCAAGCAGGTCATGGAAGACCTCGCACGCGCCGGCCTGCGTGTTATCATCCTCGATATCAATGAGCCAAACTTTGATTTGCCTGCCAATGTATTTTTCTACAAGGCGAACATCACCGACTCCGGGGATATTGCAGAGGTAGCAAAGGCCATCCGTGCCAACCACGGTGAGCCCACCGTGTTGGTGAACAACGCGGGTGTCGGCCATGACGGCACTATCCTCGAGGAGCCCGAGGCCAAGATTCGTCAGACTTTCGAGGTGAACACTCTCTCGCATTTCCTGATGGTCAAGGAATTCTTGCCGGCTATGATCAAGGCCAACCACGGTCACATTGTGACTGTGGCCAGTATGGCTAGCTTCGTCGCACTCGGTGAGATGGTGGATTACTGCTGTTCCAAGGCTAGTGCGCTTGCTTTCCACGAGGGACTGCGCCAGGAACTGCGCCACTGGTATCACGCACCCAAGGTGCGCACAAGGTAAGGAAGGGAATGCTCCGGTCAAGTGTTCTCCATAGCTAATTCGGTTTTAGTGTTATCCACCCCCTGTGGGTGCGAACCCCTATGATCCACCTTCTCACCGAGAATGAGGCACAATTCAATCAGCCTATTATGACCCCCCAAGTGGTCTCAGACGCGATCTGCAAGCAGATTGTGTCTCAAACCAGTGGCCAGGTTATCTTGCCTGCTCGTCAGTCGGCGGCTAGTCTCGTGCGTGCTATGCCTACCTGGTTACAGGAGAGTGTGCGCACTTATGCGTCTGGTTCATTGAAGAGAATGCGGGATGCGCAGGCGGCGCTCGTTAAGGCGCAGTAGATAACATCGTTCTTGAATTGAATGATTTGAGATACCTCTGGATTTGGTTACGTCGGGAATGAATGTATATAGTATTAGGGTTTAGCAATATCACCAGCTGGTTCATGGACTTGCGTTCTCTGAGGATAAACAAGTATATTTCAGTGTACGGTGTTGAAATTTTCTGTTTCTCATGCATGTTGCGGGCAAAATATCCTCAACACCTGCTCCAGCTAGAGCTGGCACTACTAGGTACTTATAATATACCGCTGAATTCACGCAAGTCTCTGAAATATATTGTATTTCCATGGTATTTACTCGATGTAAAGATATGTCGTTCAAGGTCTACTCGCACATATTCTCCGACATACAGTGTCGTGTGTCACATCCCAACCATAGACTTCATCAAACCATATTCTCAGCCAGATACGCCTCAATGCGCTTCCCCTGCTCCGTCTTCGTAGGATCACCAAGCTCCAAATTCGAGAACGGCGCCACATGGCACTCACGACGTCCAATAAACAACTCCGCATTCTCATAACCCTCCTTCAACTTCGCCGTGAAATCCTTGATAATCGGCAACATGATCTCATTGCTACCGCCGGTGATCAAAATCGATTTCACGGGGAACCTAGAGAACCACTCCTTCGGTGCGGTGGACAGATCCGTGTAGTAGTCTCGCTTTCTACCACCGATGTAGGCCGTCGCCCACGGTCCCGCAACCGCAGTCGTGATGATGTCGCCGCCATGGTAGACTTCCATCTCAGGGAACTCCGTGTCCATCAGTGTCCACGGGGCGATCATCACCGCGCCGCCAAGCTGACCCTCGACAGGTAGCGGCTTGATCTCCGGATGAGTATGGGCCATGTGGGAGAGAACGCCGCCGACGAGGTTCCCGCCTGCCGAGTCGCCGCCCAGGAAGACCGAGGAGGGGTCGCGGTTAGGTTGCGACAAGATATACCGCACGCTGTTCACTGCTTGTCGGAGTTGTGTCGGGTATGTCGCGACTGGCGCGAGGGTGTATGTGATGCCGAACACGGCGACGCTTTTCCCGGAGATTTCCAGGTCGCGCACGAGCTGCGCATAGAATTTCCAGTACCCCGAGTGGGCGGGCAGTCCGAAGCCACCTCCTGCACAGGGGGGAAATTAGTGTGATGGTGATAACTGCAGGTTGGGGAACATACCGTGGAACCAGACAATCACATTGTCGGCATTGGGATCACCGTGCCAATGGCCCAATCCGCCATCACCGACTTGGATGGTTTGCGGTTTTTGGCCCGTCTTCTTCTTGTACCTCTCATAGATCTGGTCGGAGGAGGGCAGAATGTACTGCATTTGACGCGGACTCAGGCGCTTAGTTGCCTGGCGGAAAAGCGCATATCCCGCATGCAAGAGCAGACTGGCTGCTTGGCGCTCAGTGCGCCGGATGCCAGTGAGGATCGCAAAGAAGACGGCGACGACAATGGAGCCCACTGCTGGCAGCAGGTCCAGTTTCTCCCAGAGAGTGAGTGTGACTTTAGCTAGAGACATTTTGGCTATCGAGTTTCATCACTTTTTGGAGGGGCCATGGCTGATAAGTTCTATCGCGGCCAAGCGCGAAGTGGATCTTCGCAAAGCTCGCCCGTTGTAGTAAAGATGAGCAGGGGGCCGAGGTCTTGATTAGGAGGAATCCCTCGGTTTTCTGGGAATTGCATATGTCATTGTCATCTCTCATACTGTGTACTGCATACATACTGTGTACAATGATATCGTGGAAAGACCAACCGGATCATCTGGAGTAGATCTACTAGATCTATGTAAGTGGTACTTCTAATTGAGGGTTCTCAGTATGTTCATGCTTGTCACTGTACTTGTAACTATCGTCTAGTCTGGTCACGATAACTATACGGAGTACGTAGTTACGGAGACACCTAAACACCTAAATATAGATGTAAGAAGTCGTGACAATATCCAGCACGTTCCAACTTCCAACGTTCGTCATGATCCCCGCATGAATTAACGTACTGTTTACCCAAAGTGTTCCTCAAGATCCACCGCCGATCATCACCTGAAGACAAGAGAAAATGTTGAAAGTCAACCGAGGCATGTGAACTGTCTGCTTAAATGACCCGATCGCCAATCTTCAGTTCGACTTCACAAAATCCCAACATGAATGGAACTAAAGAGACTCGTTACGACGTAATTATCGTCGGCGCTGGCATCTCCGGCATCAACGCCGCTTATCGTCTTCAAGAACAATGCCCTGGCTACAGCTATGCTATCCTCGAAGCTCGCAACGATCTCGGTGGTACCTGGGATCTCTTCAGGTACCCTGGAATTCGCTCCGACTCCGACCTCTTCACCTTTGGCTTTCAGTTCAATCCCTGGTCTCACGATAATCCCATTGCTGCGGGCAGTGATATCAAGGAATATGTGCGCTCCACCGCGGCCAAATTTGGCATCGACAAGAACATCCTTTTCAACCATCGCCTGTCGTCTAGCGACTGGTCCTCCGAGGAGAATGTCTGGTCGCTGAATGTCACCACCGACGGGAACGAGCAGACCTTCACCGCCCGTTACATAATTTTCGGCACGGGCTATTACAATTACAAGGAGCCCCTGAAGGCCGAGATCCCCGGTCTTGACAACTTCCAGGGTCAGATCGTGCACCCGCAGTTCTGGCCGGAAGATCTCCAGTATAAGGACAAGAAGGTCGTGATCATCGGTTCCGGCGCCACCGCCATCACTCTCCTCCCGAATCTGGCCCAACATGCCGCCCGTGTGACGATGCTCCAGCGGAGCCCGACTTACATCCTCTCTCTCCCCAACCGCACAAGCAGTCGCTGGCTGTCATACATCCTGCCCAACAAGTTGTATACCAGGGTGCAGCGCCTGATCTGGATTTACACCTCGCGCATCTTCTTCCTGTTCTGCCAGCGCTTCCCGAACTTCTCCCGCTGGATCCTCCAGTTGGGGGTGCGCAAGCAGCTGCCCAAGCATATCCCTCACGACCCGCATTTCAAGCCCAGGTACAACCCCTGGGACCAGCGATTGTGTGTCTGCCCGGATGGGGATCTATTCCGCAGCCTCAGGCAAGGGAAGGCCGATGTCAAGACCGATACTATTCGCCAGGTCACGAAGAATGGCATTATCTTGAACTCGGGTGAACAGCTGGACGCGGATATCATTATTACTGCTACGGGACTACGCTTGCAAATCGCCGGTGGCTCGGTGCTGTCGGTCGATGGGAACAAGATCGATGTCGGTGACAAGTATCTGTGGAATGGGGTCATGCTGCAGGATCTGCCTAATGCTGCTTTCGTCATTGGGTACACCAATGCGTCGTGGACTCTGGGTGCGGATGCCACGGCACAGTTTGTCTGCCGTTTGTTGAAGAAGCTGGAGTCGCGGAAGCTGATCGCTGCTGTTCCTCGCTTGAAGGAGAAGGACGCGGCCACGATTCAGGAGCGTCGACTGTTGAACCTCAACTCGACCTATGTCTCTATTGCCGAACGTGTGTTGCCCAAGGCTGCCGATCGGGGTCCATGGCAGCCACGTGAACACTACATGAAGGACATTAAGTTTGCTCTGGGTGGTGATCATGACACCGGGCTGGAATTTGTACAAGGGCCCAGTCTACAACTGCGACCCAAGCTTGAATGATTGATCGTTATGTATATGTGATACCGCTTTCTTTTTGTTTTGTGAATTCGAACTTTGTAATATGCCGTTCAGCGAGATCTTCAATACACAGTATATCATTATGGTGTGGGACTATACCACGTATCTTGCATTCCTTCCGCTCCTGACTCAAGAATATACAGCGCATCTAGGTACCCTTGCTATCCATCATGTCATGCAGTCATGCTCATCTGTTGCATCAGATCCTTGCATCAATGTCCTTTGTCGGCAGGGTCCGCGCACACGCTGAGATTCCCAAAGTACCACCCGTGGTCAGGACTCGGCCAGATGGGGGACGACGGGGCTGTACCCTCGTTGCCTTCTTTGCTGTTTATCCCTTCGATACGCTTCACCACGGCTGTGGTGACCTGCTGGCCAGTTTCTTGGTCAATCCAGTATTCAGGTGAAGGCTGGCTCCAGTCGAAGATAATTCCCGTGGGCGGGATCTTCGGAACAAGGTCTGCGGCGTGCGTGACTCGATACACACTGTCTGGTGGTTGTTGGCTGGTGATAAATTCGGCCAGCTTCTTGTTTCCTGGTTTGGGGCTTCCGAACGTCCACTACTCAATTTATCCCTGGTTAGCTGGCCGACTTTCCAATCTCGTCATGGCTGTCCAACTGACCATATCCAGAGTGAAGTGTTTCCGCAGAGAAGCTCCTGCCAGGGTCGCAACCGCCGCGCCTAGACTGTGTCCGACGACACTCAACCGATAGTCTTGGTATTCCTGCGTGGCCTGCTTCAGTTTTGAAGTGGCCTGATCTTCCACAGCTTGCCAGTATTCCAAGAACCCCTCATGGGCCAGACAGCCCTCGCAGATGTCTATCTTACTGAGATTAATCTTGAAGTCTATCTCGGAGTCGTGCTTGGATATTGTTCCACGAAAGGCTAAGACGATGAGCTGCCGTGTATGGTCTAAGGCAATATAGCCCGTTGGTCCAGTTGTGCTATGGAAGATGTCGATGACGGTGGTGTTATCGGCTTCAACAAATTCGCAGTTACCGAAATCGCAGGTCACGCTTTGGCCGGTGTGGTTGATGTTTTGATCGCATGCGGACACAGCGGCGAACTGGGAGAACAAAGTGAATCTCTCCAAAAGTTCCGATGAGATTTCTGACGGAGAATGGTTAGGTACTGCGTTACGGTATGCGGTTCAGACTCACCTCGGCGCGCTAGTGGGACAGGCGTAGCTACAGCAGTCACGCTGAGTGAGAGCACCGCTAGTATAAGGCGCATGATTGGCCGGACCATGTCGGACTATAAGAGCGAGAGTATATTGTAAGTGTGATTATTTGTTCCCCGAAAGGTGTGAGTGGTTAATAAAGGAATAGCCGAACGGTTCGCCCTCATCGGAGACGGCCGATACGCAGACCAATATCTATATTACAAGCAGGCTGAGCAAATACTGGGCCGCGTAGCGTTGCAGTGCATTTGCATACATAGGGCAAGGCCGCATAGCATCCATTCCCCCGGGATCGGGCACGTCGCTTGGTATGGGAGACTTGTGACCGAGAGTTCGTGCATCTGAATGTCAGAGTGGTGAGTTCTTAGCACAATTTGTACCTGCAGTATTCCTCGAGGGCCCTTACATGGTTCGATGACGTGTTGATAATGTGGAAGCCGGTGCATCCTGGAGTTTTGCATTTTCTATGGCTTCGTTCTTGGCTTTCATTAGACAAAAGGGTTGACTCGAGATAGATCAGACGACCGGTGGAAATTATGTAAATCTGTCTCGCAACCCCGCTTCGGCCATCCGTGATGCACCAATACCCGCGATTTATATGGGGCCAACGACAAGATATGTCTTCTAATTGAGTAAACACGTTGATGCGGGGCATGTGTGAGACAATGTTGCCATTCCAGCCGGTGCTTATGCCATATTCGATGTCGACATCAATAGACAAGTGAGCGCTAAGGGCCTGATAAACGGTGTAGGTATGCGTCTTCTTGATGGCTAGATATTAAAAGCTATTGAATGGAATGTTCACAAATCATGGATGTTTTTAAGCCCATTGATCGCGCTACGTACAGCTGAGTTTGTGGTCAACGAGATTGAGCCGTCTGTGAACCAACCTTGAGGAATTAAAATTTTGTCATAGAGTTAAACACCAGATCAGATGCGGCACGTGTAGCAGTGGGATTACTGGAGCAAACTGGATATAGCCTTGCCAGTTGGTCGGAAACTCGCCAGTTGGCTGGAAGCTTGCCAGTTGGTCGAAGGTTTGCCAGTTGGTCGAAAGCTTGCCAGTTGGCGAAAACTCCCCAACCACGCGTCTGGAACTCCGCTTCACGTCAGGACATTGGAGAGTATACGTGATTACCAGCTTATCCCTCTTATAAACCAACCGAAGCGGATATTGACGAAGCGGATATTGACAACTGCGCAGAAGATCTTTTGATATTTTATCTTGAAAGGTACATATCAGTTCCAAAATTTTGAATGGTCTGTCTGATTAATTTCCCAGATTTATTGTGCCACTGACAAATTATGTACACAAGTTGCAGTATAGTTAACCAAAATAAACTTTAAGCTTCAGATCGATCGAAAGCTAATCACAGCCGCCGATGAGCATGTGGTCGGTCTGGCCCAGGAACGGTGGAACTTCACATACCTGGTGATGTCACAGATCGATGTCATCACCAATCTGCTGGACCGGCTGATAAGAATCTTTGACAACACCTACCGGACTGCCATGCAATTCGCTACAATCCGCTACACAGTCGCTCAAAATAAACCCTTTTCTCGCCCCATTCACTACGTTTCTATACCTCTCCTAAGCGCCATGCCCCCAAAGGACAACTACACAGACCCAGAGCTTCGCAGTGAAATCAAAGAAGAGATTCACAACAGCGACAAAGGCGGAAAACCAGGCCAATGGTCGGCGCGCAAGGTACTTACCAGTAATACACACTCTCAATTCCTGGTCATGGACACTAACCCGATGACAGGCCCAAATGATGGCATCCGAGTATAAGAAGCGAGGTGGTGGCTACAAGACCTCCAAGGAAGAAGGCCAGACAGAGTCGCAGAAACACCTCGAGAACTGGACCAAAGAAGAATGGCAGACGAAGGAGGGCTCCGGAACAGCCCGGCAGGAGGATGACTCCCGCAAACGGTATTTGCCCAAGAAGGCGTGGGAAGAGCTGGGTGAAGGGGAGAAAGAAGAAACAGACAAAAAGAAGCTCGACGAATCCAAAGAGGGGAAGCAGTTTGTTGGGAATACCGAGTCAGCGAAACAGGCGAGAAGGAGAGCTAGCTCTGAGGTGAAGGATGGCGGCGAAGAATCTCGTGACCGGGATGCAGAGAAGGATGAAGAAGGGGATAAAAACAAGGAGGGGGAAGACGAAGCGGGTGACATGGAAGAGGACAATAACAAAGTGAACGAGAAGGAAAATGGTGTTGGGAAGGATACCAGAAAGGACGACAAGGAGGACAAGGAGAACGAGAAGAACAAGTATAACGCACAGGAAGAGGAGGAGGAGGAGCAGCAGCAGGAAGATCTAGGCAAGGAAAAGGAGGAAAGGGAAAACGAGCATGAGAAAAATCCAGGTACCACGAAGAGAGCCGCAGGAGCTAAACGCAACGCGAAGCAAGACAAGGGACCAAACAAGAAACAGAAGGACAGCGAAAGGATGAAAAGCTTGAGGAAGAGAGACTAAGAGTCACCGTATGTTAGAGTGGAAATGAGGTGATAATTCATGGAAGAACGGTGTAGGAGATGTTCTCATGCCCAGCTGGCAGATGGACGATTCATCCTTGGGGATATCAGAACTACACTTCTACACAGGCACTAGAAATACTCCACTACATACTACAAGAGACTCCAAGGTCTCTTCAAATGAGCAGCCTGATTCCAGAAATTGGGTTGAATATTGATTTCCAATGGTGTATCCGTGCCCTTGAAAGGGGATCTGTTGATCTTCAGGTTCACCGCATCATTTCTTACATTACTCATCCTTATGTATTTCAAAAAGACCTCTCTACTTACGCTCCTCGTCGACATCCACCTGAGCGTTGTAGTTGCTGTCGGGCAACATGTTCATCTGGTCCTCCTCGGCGTCCAACTTGTAGTTGGTTAACCAGAATCCAGCGCCACCAAGGAAGGCGAGAAGAGCAACCAAAGTGTAGTTCCAAACCAGGAGGGGGTCCGTCGCGAGAGGGACCAGGGCCTGTCCGAGCGCAGCCGAGAAGGCGTTCATCATCATGCAGACGGCCTGTACGAGGGAACGCATGTTCTTTGGCGCCTTGGTGTAAGCGTACTCGAGAGAGGTGACGGAGGCAAGAATCTCCGAAATACCACCCAGAATGTATGTCAGAGCCTGGATCCAAACGGAGATGTCGGAGTATTTGCCCTCCTCCTCCAGACATCTGTTGGCGTCGGAACCGCAAGGTCCCAACTTGTAGATGTAGTGTTGAGTGACAGCGGCGACGACCATGCCGAGGGCGGCCATCCAGAAGCCGGCGGTGATCCTTCGCAAAGGAGAGAACTTGATGCCCATCTTGCGCAGGCCAGGGTAGACGAGCCGATCAAAGATGGGAATGAAGATAATAAGAGCAATGGGGTTCAGGTTATTGATGATATCGTTGGGAACACCTCCAAGTCTCATGGTAGCGGCCTGGGAAGTCAAGTTGTTCAGCATCTGGTTGTAAGCGAGCCCTAAGACAGTCAGTATGTAAAAGAGAGTGGTCGCTGCCAGGGGAAAACTTCACATACAGTACAGGGGGTACCACAAGAACACCCGGCAAGCAAGCAGTCCACGTCGAACTTCATCAACCCACGCATCGTCAAAATCCATCCACACCGGCTTGTTGGCCCCAAGAGCAGTGGGCTTGACAGCCGCCCACCTGTCGGTCTGGGATGATTTGCCGAACCTAAAGATGATATGGTCAGCATTTCATTTTTCTGTCGCCATTGGTAGACTGTAGCTTACCATCGCACGGGGTTCAAAGACCAGTGTCCCTTCATGGCCAGCATCGACAGTCTGAATGCCTTGGTGTAGGTGTTTCCAGTGGGAGGGGTCAAATGGTATCTCTTCTTGCATAGAAGCAGAACGGCGGGGCAGAGACAGAACATGGCAGTGGGGAGGAGGTAGGACAACCAGAAGCCGACATAACGCTCAGCGTAGGCCATGCAGATCTGACCGACGAAGGAACCAATGTTGACCATCATGTAGAAGTACATGTAGATTCGGGCAACGGTAGCAGCCGGGTCAACGATCACACGTTCACCAGTCTCGAGTGTTCTGATAAAAGGCTTGTCCTCGCGGTATTGCTCTGCAATCAGGGGGGAGATATTGGCTTTGAAACCACCGGTTCCCATACCCATGATGATCAGTCCAATGGAGAAGCATCCGGCTGCTCCGTTGGGGTTCTGAATAACCTTAGGAATGGCAGAGATAATCAGAATCGTGTGACCGAGAAGCGCGAAACCAATAGCAGTGAGGATGGTGCGGAATCGTCCCCAGTACTGGTCAGCGATAACGGCACCGAGAAGGGGCATGAAGTAAGACCAGAAAGAGTTGACTGGAACAATATATCAGTAGGGAGATAAATCGCAAAGCGGCTGGTCATAGCACTTACACAAAGTCAATCCAGTAGAGGCCTGTTGGCCCAAACCCAGAGCTCCCGGTGAACCATTGCTCCAGTCAGAGGTGCCTGCAACGAGAGCTCCAGTGGTGGATCCATCTGGCAAAGGTCGCTGGAGGAAATTGACGACTATTTTGGATTAGCCTATTTAGATTATCGCTAAGAGATAGGCGCTTCATACAAACGGCGGTGGTTCCGTAGTACGAGAAACGCTCGCACAGTTCCACAAAGGCAACGGTGTATGCCGACCAGGGAACCTTGTCGGAAATACGACGAAGTGTATTCAGCTCCTCATCAGTAGGATAGACCCGATCGAGAGCCTCATCATAAGATCCGTCGGTGCCGCTGGTCACAGTCACTGGGTCCAGCTTCTCATCCAGACCAATATCATGGGTGGCGGCGTGGGACTTGGCCACTTCAGCCAAATCGAGGGGATCGGAGGCATTCATCGTGATGTTTTTGTGGGTTCAGATCTATGAAAGATGAAACTCCCAGAAACGCACGAAGAAGGAAGAAGAAAAAAAAAGCAAGTGGGAGAGGGCGAGGTTAAGCAATTATATGGACATGGCGCGCTTGTCAGCATAGCTGTCAGTTAGCGAGACTCCATGACTTGCTAATCTCCACCCTGCCCGTTCCTTAGTTCATCTCTCACTTTTGCCTTCTGGAAAGCCGAAGGAAAACCGGGGCACTGTCTGTATCTGGACATGGCGGACGCCTAACATATCACGAAAAACCGTCAATAGCCGGGAGACCCTGCCTCTAGCACTCCCAGGATCAACTCTGTGGGATCTGTGCACAGTGGCGTTTCAATCAAGTTCCAATCCTATCAATCGATATAATCTGCTTCGGCAGTATCCGACTGGTCGCGTGTTTGATAGACAGTTGGGGGCGATAAACACGCGCCGGTAGCCACGGTAGCTTTGGTCGAAAAGAGTTTAAGATCCTGGAAGGCTAATAATTGCCAAGCCTTGCCTCGTCCAATCCGACAGTTACAGCGGGCTTGGCATTCCTAGAGGCCCCACTTCCGAGATCCTTGGCCCATGCTTCCTCGAGTTTATGCCGAGTTTGTCCCCGCGCCATGCGGCTTGGCTGGCAACCTACACTGTAACCCTGTCTACTTGGCTATCCTGGGCATCTGAACATCCTATCACAGTTGTCGACGGCTGATAACCGAGGTGAGATATGTACACGGAGAAGTGCTGAAAAAGGGCACATGGCCTCGATCCACAAATGGGCCTTCCTCCATACTCCTGTCAATTATACTCGGCAAGGATTGCACCTCTACGCACCTCCCTAATCTGATTAGAGGCAAAATTGCCACTTCGGGTCTGGGGAAAAAGTGAGACATGTCCAAATGCCATGGCCATGTGATGATAACCCAGATTTCTTACCCCCTATCTATTAGTGTTTACCCAACTTTCATTCAATAATGAATTGGCAAAGCTTGGGCCGACGGTCTCCCGGAGGTGTCGACCTTGTACGGGCTTATGATTGTGGCTGATTAGAATTCCCGCCCGGCGGACGGATAATTGGGTGATATCTTTTGATTGACTACTCCGTACATTTCATCCCCTGTCTTCACGCGATTGGACCTCCCGATTACGCCTTACATTTCCCTCTAGCCCGTAGAGGACATGATCCGACATCCCAGGGATAACCATATCAAATGTCTCCTTCACCACTGTATACTGATAGTATCCGCACCGAGCGATCGGTTGGGTCTTTCGAATGTCCAGTTTTCCATCCGTCAAAACCTCGTCTTTGATGTGAATGGCGATCACCCGGCCGATCACCACATCCACTGTACCCATGGGGGGTTGCCAGGAAGTCGGACGGTGGAATGATACTCGCACTCGAACTTCACTGGGGACTCTTGAACCATCGGGACGTTCATCAACGTCGCAGCTTCCTTGGTCACGTTGGCACGCTCGAATTCATCCACCCCATAGGGAACCTGTTCGGCGGATATATTCACCGCTTCGCGCAGGTCCCATGTCGCCAGGTTCCAAACGAACTTGCCAGTTTCCTCTGCATTGACCACCGTATCCTTGCGTGTGCCATCGACCGTCTGATTGGATGAGAACATCACGTAGGGCGGGTCGAAGGTTAAGTTATTAAACTGCGAGTACGGTGCCAAGTTGGCCTGGCCAGCCTTGTTTTGGGTGGATATCCATCCGATCGGACGGGGGACGACGCACGCCTGCATTCTTGTCAGTTGTCAAGGCCCGATATTCTATGTACAAATCAATGGTCGCAAACTAACCTTGAAAGGATCGTGGGGAAGATCGTGGTCTGTAATTCCTGGTTGGTAAAACATCTTGATTCTCGTGGCAATTCTTTGTTGTGCTTACCCCTCTTATAGCGTTGGTTTCATAGCCGAGTGTTTCTACCGAGAATATTATTCCGGACTTACCCCATACTACCCCATACTACCCCATACTAGCCATTACCTTTCTCCATTCACCTGCATGTTATGCATGGAGACACAAATAGTATTCCAAACTTCGAGATTCCACAAGCTGCGCAGCCACATAGCTAAGCCATCACACACCACGCCACATATTGGTGGCTTGAATCCTAAAAACAACCACCACCTAATAGTTATTGGGATTTTAATTTTTGGAGATGCAGCAATCTGCCTATTACAGTATTCATGCGTCCCATCCAGATCCTCAATGACGCACTCTCATCCCGCAGAGTATTTGAGTCTTGTCGACTGTCGACCATCACTGCCAATGTACCTAACGGGAGCGACTTGCCCGGTACTCAGTTGACCATCTACCAAGCATGTTTCTCCCCAGGTTCGACAGGCTGCGCCGTTATCAAGTGGTAAAGAAAATTGCCGCGAGACAGTATGTCGAGAGGCATCAAAGCTCGGACTTTAGATCAGGAAGCAAGCCGATTAGGTTTAGCGCGCCAACAATCTGGAGACTCGCAGAACTTTGGATCATGTGATACAGTCTGAGGTCTCAGGGGTAACAACGTGGATAGGAGTAGGACAATCAGACACACTCCTCTAGACCTCCTCCTTGTTTTCCTCTCCTATTATCTATAGTCCCGCTGCTCCCAGTTGCCTACCTGGGTCCTGGTTGAAGGCTCGCCGACAGATACGCGAACTCCCTTTTCACTAGTCATCAATGCATATCCTCCACTGTGTCTCCCCGATGACAGGCATGAATAGTTCTTTCGGTCCACCGTGCAGACTTCCTACAGAAATACGGGCTTGTGGTAGAGGGATCTGACACATCAAGTTGCGAGAAATACAGAAGGGACAGTTTTCATTCAATGGCATATAATGTGTTAGAACTCCTAAACCCATGGCCCATGGGTGGTTGCCACCCGTCGTTGCTCGGCTTCAGTGTCTCGGACTCGGGATCCCGGACTTAGCTATTATTGAGTTCGGGCCGGTCCACAACGGGAACGTTGGCGGAGGAAGCGATTAGGACTTCACTTCTGAGAAAACATATTCTCCACTGCGAAACCAGACTGAGTATCAACAAGGCAAGTCTTACTATGTTCTTGAAGGCTGCATTCGACATAAAGAATAGGCCTCCGAATGGACGGAATCCACGGGATAGTACATTTGAGTTGCATGTTACCTCCGAGTCTCAGTGGTCGCGACATGTATGGAGTAGTATGTTTTGATAAAGACGCGACCTCGTCCAGCGCAAAACGTACTAGTTCGGTTCATCCGGGCTGTGACCTCAACTGATCAAGGATTTAGGATCAGCCCCGAGCGGCACCCTCTGCACTCGGCTTCCCCAGACAGGCAGGGATATGCCACCGAAAAGAAGCTTCAGCTCGTCCACGGGTTTGATGTGGATCATCCGAAAATGGGCTGAACCTTGACACAACCTTGGAGGATACTATTTGTCAAACCCCCTTGCGTCAAGTCAAAGTCTGTGTGCACATTCCTCCGACTTGCATTCCTCCATTTCGTGCCAACTTTCTCGAGTGTATCCGTAGCCTTACTATCCAACCACAAGACTCACAGGTCAAATGATCATGCTCATTCCCTGTTCATGCCCCGCTCATGCCCCGCCCGCTCATGCTGGTGGCCCTGCAGGTTATCGATAGCTTTGCACCAGCTAACGACCGCATGACCGGTGTGCGGGCTGAACTCTTTGTCTTGCAATGCCACTCAGGCATAGTAAGTGCACGATCAGTAGGGAATATAACAAAGCACAAGTCCTTCAAAATCGTGTTCGTCTTTCTGAAACCTATCCATCCAGGCTTTATATTTGGAGCTAAGGGTGGGGAAAAGATACATTCTGGATACTCCCTTGTTGCCCACTCGACACGAGGATTGCAAGGCAAGGGCCGACGGCAACTTTCTCGTGGCTTGAAACCGTTTTCTGTCCACTTCATGCAAAGGCGTCATGATGCCTTCCCCGTTGAGGCTGGTCTTGTTGCTTACTTTGCCAGTGGTTCTGGCAGCTCCAGCGCCACACAAACGAGCTGCTAATCCGATCGTGATCATTCCCAACCCAGAGGCCACCGTCGTCGGCTTCTCGAGCCCGAACAAGGTTGACAACTTCAATGGCATACCCTTCGCACTGGCTCCGACCGGATCGCTTCGGTTGAAACCACCCCGGCCAATCCAAACCTCGCTCGGCAATTTCCAGGCTACTTCCGTTGCCAAGTCCTGCCCGCAGTTCCTTTTCAGTACCGACACAAAGGAAATTCCGAGCTCTGTACTCGGGAAGCTGGCAGTTATTCCCATTTTTCAAACAATCACCCATGCAAGTGAAGACTGTTTGACTTTGGATGTATGCCGTCCGTCGGGGACCAACGCCGACGCAAAGCTACCGGTGGTGGTGTGGATCTACGGCGGTGGATTTGAGCAGGGCTCCACGGCGAAGTACGATGGCTCAAGCTTTGTAGCGAGTTCTGTAAAGCTACAAATGCCAGTCATATTTGTTGCCATGAACTATCGCCTTGGTGGGTTTGGATTTCTTCCGGGTGCAGAGGTTCTTAAGGATGGCTCAGCCAACCTCGGGCTCTTGGATCAACGGCTGGCCTTGAAGTGGGTTGCAGACAACATAGCAGCATTTGGAGGCGATCCTTCGAAGGTCACGATTTGGGGCGAGTCCGCCGGAGCCATCTCCGTTTTTGATCAGATGGCTTTATATGATGGCGATAACACATACAATGGGGCCCCACTCTTCCGCAGTGCGATCATGAACTCCGGTAGCATTGTGCCTGCCAATGATGTTGACGGCACGAAAGGACAAGCGGTCTATGACACCGTGGTGGAGAATGGTGGCTGCACTGGGGCGAGTGATACCCTCGCGTGTCTACGTGGGCTGGACTACACCAAGTTCCTTAGTGCTGCCAACTCCGTCCCAGGTATCCTGGGCTATAACTCCGTCGCCGAGTCATACTTGCCCCGCCCGGATGGCATGGTCTTGACCGAATCAGCAGAGCAACTCGTCATGAAGGGAAAATATGCGCCGGTTCCATTCATCATCGGTGACCAGGAAGACGAAGGGACTATCTTCGCTCTGTATCAGAATAACCTGACGACAACCGACCACATCGTCGACTATCTGCAGAGTCTATATTTCTTCGATGCCTCGCGACAGCAGATTGCAGATCTTGTCGCGACATATCAAGACATTCAAGAAGATGGCTCCCCGTTCCGCACAGGGTCATTGTACAACTGGTACCCACAATACAAACGACTTGCGGCCATTTTGGGAGACCTCTCGTTTACCCTCACACGCCGTATCTTCTTGAACTACGCCCAGGACGCAAAACCTGATGTTCCCTTTTGGTCTTACCTCTCGTCCTATGAGCATAACGTCCCCTTTCTGGGAACATACCATGGATCTGATATCGCTCGAGTGCTCTACGGCGTCCTGCCAGACTATGCATCTCAGTCCCTGCACTCATATTATTTGTCATTTGTGTATGAGCAGGACCCGAACGCAAAGGCTGACAAGTACATGAATTGGCCCCAATGGGCTGACAACCACTCATTGATGAATTTCTTCGATGATCATGGCACCTTGTTGCGAGATGACTTCCGTCGGGATAGTTACGATTATATGATGGAAAACCTTGCTTCCCTACATATCTGAGTGGGAATGGGTGGAAAAGGGGAAATTGAGCTGGAAGGGAACCTGGAAGTTCACGAATTATGTCTGCATGAATGACGTTAATATAGCATACCTTAGCTAGCATTTCTATATACAATTTTTATAGGTGTTCCAACCTAGATAGTGACCAATGATATTTCCAGCGCTAAATGTTCTCACCCAAATGCCCAGGTGCTTTCCCTAGCTACTACATGGGACAGTATGGGTCACAAAAACCGATATCCAAGTCGCGGTCGCAGTAGCTGAAGTACTTCCAACACATGGAATTTCCATGGGAGTGTCCGCGATGGAACCGTGGAAGTGGGGTGGATACGGTGGGATCCCAAACAGTGCAAACATGCCGAAGCACATGACCTGCATAAGTTTTTGTCGAAACGACGTTGCTAACTTGCTCCTTGGTCCTTGCCAAGACAGGCCATGTGATCGGACTTATTCCCTGAAGTGTTCCCTGCTGCGGAACGGCACTAATATGTTCCGGAGAAGACAAGTGGAAGAGAATCTCCATCCACCAAATTATTATTATTCCCTTCTGTACGGAGTAGAAATAACAGTATGGTGTGGGTAAGTTGAAAGGCATAGATATCTGATTTCTTGGCCGCTTTAGGGAGTTAAAATAGGAAAGGCGTAGTGGAATTGTGGGAACTTGATGGAATCGACTCCCATGGGACGAACTACCGTGTAATGGGAGTGAAACTCCTATTCCCGTGGGATCTGTCAAGGCCTAGGTTGAAGACTTGAAGTTGGGGCGGTGGCTCTTGTTGTGGCAAGGCTTAGCCGCATAGACCACTGTTGCCGACGGTCGAGGTGAGCACAAGTACACGTGGCTGTCCAGATGCCATTGGTACGGCGATGTTGCCGTTGGAATCCACCGTGATGGATGTGCAGGTGTACAACTCGGTCAATTTGGCACCAGACGAGTACCCGCTCCCACCCAGTGACAATGTGTAGGATGATCCGGAAGACCCGGCGTTGGAGAGCACGGTAATGACCGGTGAGTTGGATCCCTTCTTCATGGCCAGAGTGTGATTATCTTGGTAGAAGGGGACATTCTGAGAAGATGTTAGTTAATTTCCGTCCTAGTATGTCTGCCTGAATACTGACCTTGTAGGTAATGTAGCTAGAGTCTGCGGAGACCGCCAGTTTGCGGATTTTGTTCGTAGTCGCAATATGCTTGTACAACTCTGCCGTGGTAGAATACTCAGAGAGCCAGACGGCCTCACGATTATATGGGTCGTTGCCACCACTGTAGTGTTGCTCCTGACCAGCGTACACGATGGGGATACCGTCAGACAGGAACAGGAACGAGATTACATTCTTGGCCTGTGAATAGTCGCCCGTGTAGCTATGAGAAAACCAGAGTGAGCGTCGGGAATACGGGTATCATGGAAGTACTGTTCACCTTGGGAATCGTGCGTTATCGTGATTCTCGATGAAGTTTCCAAGCAATGTTGAATCTTTGCAACCGGATTTGACAGTGTTGATCATGTTGTAAAGGTTGCTAATGCTGCCACTGGATGATTGGAATGCATTCAGCAGCGGATAGTAACTGCATAGTTAGCATCATGCTTCACATTACGATGAATGGAAGCAATCTCACATCGGATAATTCAAGACGCCGTCCATGTAGTTCTGATAGTCGCAGGTGTAAGATGGATTTCCATCGAAAACTTCTCCAACAGAATAGACGCCTGCAGCGGCATTGAAGTCGGGCCAGAAAGACTTTTGGACATGCTTCACGGTATCGATGCGCAGTCCGTCAACTGAAAAACATCACTGGTCAGCTTAGCTCTTTGAGAATTGAGGAGCCCAGCTTACTCGAGTACTTAGACACCAGCTCAGAGACCCAATTGTTCCAAAGATCCTTCACATCAGTGCGATATGTGTCCAGGTCCGGCAGGGACACGGTGTTATCACCCAGCCAGCAATTCTCAACGTTAGACTGGTCATTGTAGTCACTGATCGAACAGTAGGAGTGGAAGTATGAAGAAGAGTTGAAGGGTGAGAAAACGCTGTAATCCACACTACTTCCGGCGCCAGCATACCCCTATTGATATTATCGTGTTAGAAACAGCCTAGAAACAGCATTGAACAGGCTTCCAGCACAACCTACCATATGATTCGCTACAACATCAACCATCAGATACATTCCTCGAGCGTGTAGCGCAGCTGAGAGTGCCTTCAGGTCATCGGATGTGCCCAAGTGTGGGTCGACATTGTATCTAGTACAGTGTGTGAGCAACCTCCCGACATGTGGAATGTGAAAAGCCTACATATCTTGTTGCCAATACCCATGGAAAGCCTCGCCCACACCAGTGTTCTGCGATAACTGCTTTGTCACGGGAGTAATCCAGATGGCAGTAAATCCCATTCCCTGGATATAATCCAACTGAGACGAAAGTTAGGATACAGAGCTAATACCGTGCTAGGTTCGAATAGGCATTTGAGGGCATACATGGTTGATGATACCGCGCCAAGTACCACCGCAATAGATCTATATTCATGGTTAGTCTTGACCAGGAGGGTGAAAAGGGGCACATACTCTTTCACCGACGTCGCAGCCCGCACTTGTCGAGTTATCCGATCGTCCAAATCGATCTGTCAACAGGAAATATATCGACTGTGGGCGCCATTCAGCGGGTGACAAGGCCGTCACTATCTGCCCCAGCAGCAAGACTGCAGTCAGAAACAGATACCTCATTGTGGCAGGCAGGAAAGGCGAGATATGTAATAATAGTGAGATTTGAGTCTTTGAATACTCTCACAGACCCCGCAGTCAGCTCTTCAATTTATATCCTCAACCTTGTACATTGTCCATCTTAATAAAAATTGCAACAACAACAACAACCACCAAGGCGAAAGCTCCCGATCTGGTAAAGACAGCGACCCCGGGCCGAGACACCCATTCACAGGCGTCGATAAAGTGGAGATCTTACCGTCATCAGGGCAATAAACTCGGTCCAGTCGCAAGTAGTCTCCAGACAAGTCTGTCAGCACCGGAGTAGCCCCTGATGTGTCAGGAATGAGCTCTTCGGGGTTAATCCGAGTTGCTGATTGGTTGTTGTCGCCCGTCGACAGGGGACGGGGATTCGGCGGACTGGGATGTCGGGGATAAAGAGGCAAAAGTCAACTTTCAAGAGTAGATCGTTGCTGTTGAGTCGATCGGGCAGAGTTCGGTCTTTCATGTGTCTCGGGAGATATGCGATGCACCTCCGCACTGAAGACAGTAATGATGCACCTCATCCTTGACAAAATCAGAGAACAAGCTGACTATTTAGACGAAAGTCATTAGTCACTTTTCACCGGACGATGGCGCAGAACCGAAATGGCGATGTCCGTTTGGCAGACCGCGCAGACACAGACCGATTTCCAGGCAAATGAATTGGATCTCGGCATTCGCGACCGAGTGAATTTCCCGCGCGAGATGCGTCTACTGTGTAGTCACCTGCATACACCTGCACCAGATCACCTGATTTACGTATAAAACCCACGTTTGTCCCCGATGGAACTCACACCAACTCATCTTCTATCCCCGCGATGGCTCGTTTTTGGATTGCGCTTTGGGCGCTGACACTCGGCCATGTTGTGATCGCATCACCGCAGGGCCAACTTCCCCTGGCTCCTCGTTCTACAGGCGCCTTGGATGCATGGCTGGCATCTGAGACCACTGTAGCAAGACAGGGCATTCTGGATAATATCGGATCGGCTGGTTTTCATGCGAAGAGTGCAAAGGCAGGCGTCGTCGTCGCTAGTCCGAGTACTTCCAATCCGGATTGTAAGAAGAGTTCAGCTGGTGGTCGAGGTGGTCACTGACCAGCAGTATAGATTATTATACCTGGACTCGCGACTCTGCTCTGGTATTCAAGGCCTTGATTGACATGTTCAAGAACGGCGATACGGATTTGCTGAGTTTTATAGAAGAATTTATTAACTCGCAGGCTCATCTTCAGACTGTGTCCAATCCATCGGGCGGACTGTCCGGTGGGAGTGGATTGGCTGAGCCCAAGTTCAACGCCGATGAAACTGCTTTCACCGGCTCTTGGGGTCGACCTCAGCGCGATGGACCAGCCCTACGAGCCACCGCGTTGATTTCATTTGGACAGTGGCTAATTGTAGGCATCCAGGATGTGATCGTCGGACATTGCTGATTGGCGTAGGAAAATGGATACACCAGTTATGCCACCAGTATTGTCTGGCCTGTCGTGCGGAACGATCTTTCGTATGTTGCCCAGTACTGGAATCAGACTGGATTCGGTAAGTGAACTTGGACCCACACTTGAACAACTCCTGATGAATTCAGACCTCTGGGAAGAAGTGTCTGGCTCTTCGTTCTTCACCATCGCGGCTCAGCACCGCGCCCTGGTAGAGGGAAGCGCGTTCGCCACGGCAGTGGGTTCATCATGTCCTTACTGCGACTCCCAGGCACCACAAGTACGGTGCTTCCTTCAGTCCTTCTGGACTGGGTCTTACATCCTGGCCAACTTTGGCGGCGGTCGCAGTGGAAAAGACGCAAACACAATACTCGGCAGCATTCACACTTTCGATCCCGAAGCCGGGTGCGATGACACCACATTCCAGCCCTGCTCAGCACGAGCACTCGCTAACCACAAGGCCGTGACCGATTCCTTCCGGTCGGTCTACAGTATCAACTTAGGTATAGGCGCTGGCAAGGCCGTGTCCGTCGGTCGATACTCAGAGGACTCATACTATAGCGGTAACCCTTGGTACCTGTGCACCTTGGCGGCAGCCGAGCAACTGTACGATGCTATTTATACGTGGAACCGTATTGGTTCTTTGACGATCACTTCAGTGTCTTTAGGCTTCTTCAAGGATCTATATAGTGCCGCTGCTGTTGGTACCTACCCCTCATCCAGTCCAGCATACAGCGCAATTGTTAGCGCTGTCAAGATATACGCCGATGGATACGTCGGCATTGTGGTATGTATCTTTATTCTACCAAGACATAGGGAACCTGCCACTGATATACACCCAGCAAAGATATTCTCTATCCGATGGGGCCATGTCCGAACAGTTCTCCAAGTCGGATGGCTCGCAACTGTCAGCCAAAGACCTGACTTGGTCCTACGCAGCGCTTCTTACCGCCAACGAGCGTCGAAATGCCATCGTCCCAGCACCGTGGGGGAGACAGCTGCCAGCAGTGTTCCAGCCCAGTGTAGTGCTACTTCTGCCATTGGAACTTTCAGCAGCGCGACCAACACTGCCTGGCCCGCCACATTGACTAGCAGATCAGGAGGCGGAAGCACTACCAAGACAACTACTACCACATCTACTATGACGACGACGACAGACATACCATGCACAGCGCCTACTAGTGTCGCAGTGACATTCGACGTCATTGCCACTACCGTCTTCGGCGAGAATGTCAAGCTTACTGGATCCATCTCCCAGCTTGGCGCCTGGGATACGACTAAGGCTATCGCTCTGAGTGCTTCGTCCTACACGACCAGCAATCACTTGTGGTTTGTAACTGTCACACTGCCTGCTGGAAGTACCTTCACCTATAAGTACATTCGAGTGAAGAGTGACGGCACTGTTCAATGGGAGAGTGACCCAAACCTGTTGTACACTGTGCCTACAACCTGTGGCACCACGGCTGCCACGTTAAGCGATATTTGGAGGTGATGGGCATAGGGAATGGAGTGGAAAATGTCGGGATCGGAAATGTTCGATTACCTCAGGGCTCAGGCTAGCTCTAGGTCAAGAGCTCTGTTACCTTTTCCACATCTCTCGGGTTCTGTTGTCTTTTCATCGATTGGTCGTTAGAATAGTCGTTTATATAGTCATGATGCAGATGTCTGGTCATTAGCATTTTGTATCTAGTTTGTTGCATCTGTCATCAACTAATCAATTGGGTTAGGTCGCCCTGATGTCTTGACTGCCACATATCTGCATAACTGCATGTTAGGCCTGAGAACTCCTAGCCTGGGGCTCTTTCTTGTTACCAGTGCCACTGTCATCTGCGGACATAGGCAAGGTATTGTGGCAATTTATGTTAATTCTTCAATCTTAACGTGGTCTACTCGCAGTCTATTGGGTTGATTGATGGTAGACTGGTAGTACTAAGTCACTCGTAAACCGCTCTGCTCACTAATTCGTCAAATAATCGAGCCGTAAAACTAACTATGTCTATGGATAAAGACATCTACGGTGAATTTCATGACGATGAAATAAGCTGATCATTAGTTATTAAGCTTATTTCCTATGAGGCTCACTGAGGCTGGCCTGGCTGGCATTCAAATATGGGATCAAAGTCCCCAAAAGGATAACACCATGCATAAGGAAGGAAAGCCTTAAAGATGGCATCTCGTCACCTCGTGCCATCCATCATCTTCAAATCTTGACAATGCCCGCTGCCCCGGCAGCCTCTGATCATCCACAGGATGCAATACTCATTACTCGCAGACAGGAGGTACAGGAGGCCGCACTAGCTGTTGGCAATACCTAAAGGCGGTGTGGGACAGAAGGCCCTGCGGCCCCTGCCGTCGCCCTCTCCCCAACTGTTTCATCGCGGCATCTGCATGGCCGACAACTTGGCCACATTGAATTACTCCGTATCTGTGCCTTTGAGCTTACCCACAGTCCCACATCCTCCTGAGTCCTGACTTCACCCGACCTCACGTTATGACTTATGTAAACTGATATCTTATCTCATGTCGGAGCCTGCCCATAGAGGTGGCGCGGTTCTCAGGGTTTTTCACAACATCTCGATTCGGCCAACATGGGATAAACATGGAGCTAATAGTTAGGATAGTATAGAAAATATTTCTCATTCGACTTATCGCCACTATTTCATTTAGGCTTTGGCCTCGGCTTCCCCGTCCGCAGCAACCGCCTTTTGTCGACGGAAATAATATTGAGCACAAAGCAAGAATGCCAGAACCCACGATGCACCGGCGATCGAGCAGATGGCAGTGAGGCCATGCAAGTATTTCGGTGCGTCAGACGTACGGAAAATTTGCGAGCCTGCGATACCAGCACAGTTGGCGGCCATGACAACCAGTGCCATAGCAACGCTTCGTTCTTGGGGTGTACGGCAGTAGAACGATAGCCAGCCGACATTGAGAATGCTACTGGGGCGTTAGTGTATGTGAGAACGTGAGGACGTTTTGGACTCACTGCATGCTACAATAGGCGATGTTCGCGACTGCAATGACTCCGTACCGATGCCATTGTGTGGCGTGGGGGTTACTGGCGCGGAGACACGCGTAGGATATGACATTCCAGGTGATCGCCAAGAGCACAAATGGTCCACGGTGTCTCGTCTTATCGCTATTGGGAGTCAGCCTTTGGTTTCTTGCAATCATCGCACAATGCGACCAGACACTTACGCAGCCACAGACAGAATGATCAGCCAGATCATGCTGCAGTACACTGGAACCGAGGCCAATGCATTGGCCCTGACGGCATCGAAGCCCAATCCTTTGATCATGGTGGGTGTGTATTGGGTCAACCCTGAGAAGCCAGACATCGAAACCAAAGTCAAGAACACATGCTGGAGGATACGCGGCTGCTTCACCGTCTGCCAGATGTCTGACTTGGTGATCTGAATATGGCCCGTAGCCTTGGCTGGGTCATCCAGAAGAACACGATTGCGAATGATATGTGACTGGCGCTCGGTGAAATAGTTCCAACGCCCCAGGGCAATCAATGGATGGCCATCTCCAGCCGAAGGTGGCACGAACAGAGTGAAGAAAATGCCGATGGCCAGGGTAATCAAACCTTCGACTAGTTATGGGTGTAATTAGATCGGTCCGGCTAGTCGTCTCTTCCCCGATTCTCGGAATTTGAACTTACCCAGAAATACCCATCTCCATCCCTCTAACCCATGTGTGTCGTGCAGCTTGAGCAGACCGGCCGAGATCAAGCTGGATGTAGCGGATGCAAACATCTGCCCATAGAAGAACAAACTCACCCGTAGACTAGTCTCGTCCTTCTTGTACCAGGTTGACAAATAGTACAATGCACCTGATGTGCGTTAGTATTCCTTGTTGGGACCAGTAGGCGAGATGACCGCACCTGGAATAAAGCCGCCTTCACAAAGTCCCAGCAGAATTCTCGTAACCAGGTATGCGGGATATGACTTGACAAAGGCCTGGAAAGTCGCGACTAATCCCCAAGCGAACAATTGGCCTGATAACCACTTTCGTGGTCCGATTCGCTGGAGAATGATGTTAGATGGGATCTCAGAAAGGACGATGCCAGCCGAGAGCAGCTGGGATCCAATATTGATTTGATTTGTGGTGATATTGAGGTCTTTTGTGATCGTCGATGTCAAGACAGCGCTTATATTGCCCCGGTCCATCTGCAAAGCAAAGAAAGCCGCAGCGAGGATAGGAAGCAGAATGAAGTCGACCCTGGCACGCACATCGTCAATGTTTCGCTCACAGTGAACACCCGACTACAGCGACTTACCTCCTCCGAACGCCTGATTCCTCGCTATCCCAGTCCTTGACGATGGCATCGTCAAGTTCACTAGAGCGCGTGCTGATGGTCTGCTCGCTGGCCTTGTGTTTCTCATCTAAGATGCCTTTCTCCATTTTTTGCATCTAATAGACCCTACAATAGGGCATCAAAGGATCAGTGTAATGAGTGAATATCGGTTCCTTGAGCTTCTGTGGGCACAATCTTATTCTTCGCGGCCTCCCAGCTATTCTTATAGGAGAAAAGAGAAAAGCAGAAACAAAAGAAAACAAAGCTTATGATATAAAAGCTCAAGCTTGCTGCAATCTCCAGCTAGCACGACATTAGCCGTCAAGTCTTGTCGCGACACGGTGGGGAGATATGGCGACATCACGGCTTATATGACGAGAGCGTCCCATTTGCGGAGTCTCAAAGTGATCGTGGGGGCTCTTTGGCCTCTTTGGCCTTTTCAGTTGATTACTGGCTTTCGGCAGTATTGAGCATCTATAGGTGGATCTATTCGGGTGTTCCCTGTCACATTCGGGTTATACTTCCACATAATCACTGTTTCAGTGTCCCTACAATGCAGTCTCTGAACCTTAGAATGTGGTTTAATACTAGAATAAGTCATACCTAGGTACCATGTTTTATCTACATTCTATCTACAATCTATCGGGCTTCACACCCATATTTCCCAAGAGACGCCATGCCGACTAGTCAAAGGTACCTGTGGTCCTTCGGCGGCAACGATATATCCCGCATCACACCAGCTAAAGGAAACCCGGGGCTGTGCACCATAGAACCCATCATACTCTTCATCTAGTGCGTCCAGGAGAGTATCAACTGGGTCTAATGGGTGAAGAACATCCCAAGGCTGGATGCAAGTCACTCCTTGGCAGGACTTGAGGACCATGAGAAGGGCATCAAGTCGATTGATAGCCTGAGTTAAACTGCGACCGAGGATTTGGGGCTCATCTCCATTGGCCTGAGAGGTAGTTTGGTACAGATTGTTCAACTGGTACGGATCCGTCTGGAGGATGATTAGTTGTTGCACGAGGTATATTGTGAGTAGTGTTTACTTACTAGTAGATCATAAAACTCATGTTCGTTATTGCACCAGACCGAGTAGTACAGGTTGTAACCCCGGCCTAGTAGACGAACGGATTTGTAGGTGTTATTCGGGATGAAGGCTGAGCCTCCAGGACCTGTAAGTTGGAAATTAATATCAATGCCTCTATATCTCGAAGCTGGCAATGTCTTTTAAACTTACCAATACCGCTAAAAGCACCTTCGGCAACAGCGGAGCCCCAATATTCTACTGTGACATGTTCATGCCGCTCACCATCAAGCCCAGGCGTAACAGGAATTGGGGCACCATCGAAATCATCCCGTGCCGGAATTCCAGCAAGATAGAAAAGCGTCGGCGCGAGATCAACATGGGTCGTCACCGCATCCTGCACATGACCCTTGGCAACATCCGGTCCCCGAATGAATAGGGGAACGCGAATATCCTCCTCGAACCCACAAGTCTTTCCGGGGGCAGTCGGTGTTGGCCGATATGGAATCCATTATCCGAAGTATAGATGATGTAGGTGTTATCCATTTGACCACTCGCTTCGAGTCGAGTAATTAGGGAGTCAACTAGTTCATCTACGCCCTGTAGGGCGCGCAGACGTGAGCGATAAAAGTGATCGTTGTAGTCGACCGTTGATTGGTTCAGCAGGGGCAGATCATGAACCCAGCTGACTCCACTCGGCTGCATCGAAACTATCAGTCAGAGATGCCAAGGCAAACGGAAGATATTTCACCAATGATCGCGCTTACCTGGTTCGGATTGAAATTTGCCGCGCGGGGCACCTTGATATCTTGGAAGTAATGCTCGTGTCGTTTGAGAGGGATAGGCGCCGACATATAAATATTGCCAGATGAAATATCTCCAGGGTCCACATTTGAATGCGGTGCGACAGGGGAAACGGCCAGGAAGAATGGCCTCTCGCCGTCCAAGGCATCATCGAGAAAACCAAGAGCCTTCCCCGTGATCACATCGATGGTGTGTTCACCCTCATGGCTTACGGGCGGGTCATGATTCCGCTGGTAGGTTGAATTGAGGTATGAATAAGTGTAGGGATCAAGGAGGAAATCCGATCCATTGAAGCCATTGACGTGGGGGCTGTCATAGTTATAGATGGTATGGGAATTGAACATTTTACCCGTGTAGTAGGTATCGTAGCCCGCATTTTGTAGCCAAACAGGAAGGAAATTCTCATTGAAGCCGCGCTCGACAAACTTGGGATATCCCCCGTACGGGGGGTTTACGTCGGTTACATTGGTGTTGTGTGCCTGGCGACCGGTCCATAAACTCACACGCGAGGGACAACATAGTGCCGTAGTGACAAAATGGTTGCGGAAGAAAGTTCCCTGTTCGCGAAGGTGCTTTGATATGAACGGAGTGTAGGATGTGGAGTTGAGCTGGAGGTCTTGGTCGTCGGTAATGATGAAAAGGATATTTGGTTGGCGTGATAGTGCCTGGCTGTGTTTGAGTACTGACTGAACTGGAGATTGTAGGTTGGATTGAATACTCAGGGCGGCTCCTTCAACGGCGATGAGGCCGGCGACCACCGCGATCAACTTCATTGTGAGTTAAAGAACTATCTTCGATCACAACAGTACCTAGCTAAAGTAGTTATGTTATACTGTGTACTGCATGCTCGGAACATTTAGCCGTTATCCCGTTGGAGCTCGGCTAATGTGGAGCTTAGAGTTGTGGAGTCTCACGGTTGAGAATGATGCCATCAATGGGTCCAATGGCGATCGGAGAGGGGAAAAGCTTTCTTGAGCACGTTAAAGATCTGAATAGATTTTCAATACGGAATCATCTTTCTAACAAGGTTGGTACCACGTAGTACAAGATAAGGGAGACTTTGATCTCACTTCTTGTCTTACAGTCTTTCTTTATTTTCACTCATTCTTATTCCTAAGAGTAAGAAACGAAGGTACATGTACTCGGTGGCCAGAAGTATAGAAGTGGGTCCATTGCGTACCATTGCGTGCTCTACAATCTGGATGAGCACACTTTAAAACACATTACCTTCTGCTTGGGATATCCCGTCGGAGACGGATGCTTCCGTCCCTGAATCACTATTATCGTGGTAGTGAGATTTGAGTCAATACTAGGGCTAAAGGTAAATTTGTCGTGACACAGTATCTCTTGCATATACCTTGGTCTTCCTCCACGGCTGACCGGTAGCTGACACGAGAATTCTGAGTCTTCTCTGCTCGCCCGCAATGACCCATACAGAAAATACGCAGGCTGAGCCGGCGATGCATGCAAAGGGTGTCATCGGGGCGCATTCTGTTTCTGGTGATATTGGACACATGCGAGATGAAGAAAGTCCTTTGCTTCCGCGACCTGATGCAGAGTCAAAGAAGGCCTTGAAGAGTGTTGGGACGATTATCGCTGTACTTTTACTGGGTAAGTTCAATTACAAAGTCAGAAGCAAAAAGAAAACAAAGAAACGGCCGGAGAGTTAATATGCGAATACAGGCGAATTTATTTCCAATGCCGATGCGACACTTGTGATGGCGGCAGCAGGCCGCATCTCGTCAGAGTTCAATCGACTGCGCGATGCCAGTTGGCTCTCCACGGGTTATACATTGGGTGTTTGTGCTGCCCAGCCCATGGTGAGTGAGCGCATACCGAAGAGAGCAGATCGCAGTGCCTGATAGACCGTTTAGTATGGAAAATTGAGCGACATATATGGCCGTAAGCCGATGCTGCTGCTCTCATACCTATTGTTCACGACTGGCTGTATTATGAGGTTAAGAATGATCTTCATGAAACCAATGAAGTATGATGCTAACGACAAATAGTGGCATCGGATCCAAGATGCCGCTGGTTATTCTTGGTCGCGCAATTAGCGGAACGGGTGGCGCCGGAATCATGACCATCAGCTCAATTATCATCACAGACATCGTGCCCAAGCGTGAGGTTGCTACGTGGAGAGCATATGTGAACATTGCCATGACACTGGGACGCAGTCTAGGAGGTCCCATAGGTGGATGGCTGAGCGATACCATCGGATGGAGATGGTACATGCCCAGATCCAATGGCCTTTGAGTGATTGCTAACCGCGTGCAGGCTTTTCATTCTTCAAGCCCCGTTTCTCGCCCTAGCTGCAGTTCTAGTGGTTGTTAAGCTACATGTTGGCGAGAGCAAAGTCTCCGACGCTGAAGAAAATAAACTTGGCAAGGTTGATTTCTTAGGAACCGCGCTGCTGGGTTCATCCATTATCGCTATGACTACGCTCCTCGACCAAGGCGGAAAATTGTTCCCATGGAATTCATGGCCCACAGCCCTCTTTGCAAGTGGTGGAATCTCAATTCTAGTGGCATTTGTTCTGGTTGAAGCCTTTGTAGCCCGCGAGCCAATCTTCAACCTCCGCATCCTCCGTCGAACGAATGTACCGACAGCCTACTTTATCGGTGCCCTCCAAATAACCGCCCAGCTAGGAATGATGTTCTCAGTCCCATTGTACTTCCAAGTCACCCAGCGAGCATCGACCACAGCAGCGGGTGTTCATCTCGTGCCTGCAGTGATTGGAAACACCATGGGCGGTCTGCTAGCTGGGATGTTTATCCGTCGAACAGGCCAGTTCAAGATTCTGCTTGTGGTCGCCGGACTTGTGGCCTCAATATCTTACGTTCTTCTCTATCTTTGCTGGAACGGTAACACTGGTTTCAGGGAGTCACTTTTTATCCTCCCCGGTGGGCTCGGAACAGGTATCGCCGCTGCCTCGTCATTCATTGCCATGTCCGCTATGCTCCCTCCCGAGGAAGTAGCCATGGCGACTGCAGGATACATGCTCATCACCGGATTTTCTATGACGGCTGGTGTGACAATCTCTAACTCTGTTCTGGGCATGGAATTCCAGCGGCAGTTGCGGCAAAATCTTCACGGGCCTGGCTCTGGCAAGGTGAAACTTCTCCGACCTGCTTTTGAATGATAGAATTCAATAGGGCTAACTTGCATAGATTATCGAACGCGCAATGGCTGATACGAACTACATCAAGCACCTGAGTGGTCAAGTGCACGAGATTGTGGTAGCTTGCTATGTTTCGGGGCTTAAGCATACATATTGTGAGTTACGATTCCTTCATGGATGCATCAACCACCTCATGCTAATGTCATATAGTGGTTTCCCTGGCTTGTTCACTTCTGGCGTCGTTCAGTGGGCTATTCATTGTACGCCATCAGATTTAGACAGGAGTAGTTCTCATTGTTCTACCTGCATTAATCTTCTTGCTTTAAGTTGCTTATCAACAGGTTAACATGACTTTCACTCAGAACCCTACTGTACTAAATCACTATGTACTTATACTGCGCAAGCTAGCTAATCCTCCAGCATAGAAGAAGCCACAGGGTCAGCCACACCTGCCAAGCCGCACTCGCCCCAATACAAGCTGGTGATAATTGCCCACCTCCACATATCGGATATACTTGCCGCAGCTACAACAACATAAATTATGCGTCGATTCCCCTTCAGGACCTGTCTCCCGTTTTTCGGAGTCGATGGGCTGTCAAGGTGTCACCATGTGCCCCCAAGGCAACTCCACTGCCTCTCCGGTACTGCCCGCGTCAAACTGCCAAAGAAGGTACCTCAGAGGAACACAGTCTACGGCAGACGAGGAATCATTACGTCGCCTAATAAATCACATCATGTGATGTCAAAGCGTGAGATGAATCAAGAAGCTTCTTTTAATAAGAAAGTATTCAACTTATCCTTGGCTCTGTCGAATAGCCGCATGAACGATGCGACGGAGCTGCGGTGCATGGTCCTGAATGTTGATGGCTCCGTTCAGTATTCCGAAGTCCGCGGAACGAGAGAAGATGTGGCCAAGCGGTATGGACTAGATGGCCGAGACCTGCGGAATGTCGATCTTGTCTCCGAGGGAATTCCACATATATTGGTCCGCCCAACGACAATCTTCATCAGCATGTTCACACTGCGGCTTCTTGTCTGCACAGATGGTGTGCTTCTTTTCCTTCTCCCACTAGAAGACAGTCACGTTAAGGTGCAAGACGTCTTTATGACCGACCTCAAGGGTAGGCTCAGCCCCCGTCCGGGAAGCGGTATGTTCAGCAAACTGCCATTTGAACTCCGAGCCGTGGATGCAGCACTTGCTTCTGTTATCGCCACTCTTGAAGCGGAACATGTTCTCATTCGTCGAGAGGTTGCCGACAGTTTGCATGATTCCACGAGAGAAGACGTCGTTCATTCGGTTCTCCGCGGGTTGCAGGATCACAGGAAAAGACTGGTGGCTATCGAACAACGCGCCCGCCAGTTTCGCTCCGCCTTACGGGAAATTCTCGAGAATGACGATGATATGGCGTTGATGTACTTATCAGATCGGCTGGCGGGTAAGCCGCATGTTGTAGAAGATCACCAAGAAGTTGAGTATCTCCTAGAGGGATACTACAAGAACACGGATGCGATCGCGGAGTCTGCAAGCGCATTGCTGGGCGACGTGGAACGTACAACAGAGACAATTCAGTCTATTTTGGATGTGCGGCGAAATCAGATTCTGATCTTTGAGGCTCAACTCGAAATCTGTATGTTGGGATTTGCTGTGTCAACATTTGTGGCGGGTTTGTTTGGGATGAACGTGGCAAACTTCTTTGAAGAGAGTACTTCAGCATTTGCAATTCTCGTTGCTGCATGTGTGATGGGAACTGTTGTTATTGCAAGGTATGGTATGTGGAAACTGAATAGATACCGCAAACTTCGCTTTTAGGGCCTGCATGCTGCTTGTCGAATGCATATTTCTTGGGTTTCACGTACGGGGATATGGCCCGGTCTGCTCTCATTTCACTCTCGAAGTCGTATTGCAGCTGGCCGTCAACAAGCACCAATTCCCTAGATTCCAACCCAATCTTATCGGCCACAGGAACTGGATATAGATGTTCGACGATGGGAATGCGATCCTCCACAGGATTTCGGCATTTGCCCGTGTATGCAAACTAAGACTCCGAGGATTCATTCCCAAGCCGATTGACGACGACGGGCGTATGTCACCCAAAGACACGTGGTACAGCCAAGGCGACAAGGTCGATCAGTTGACTTCGTTGGGGAATTATTACAGTCCTTGCATGGAGGGGATTCCTAATAATGCACATCCAGACTCATTTGACATTGACGCGTGGAGCCCTCTGGACTATCACGAGCCATCTCTCGGGTCCGGGTACTGGAATTGAGGAATATGGTAGTCGAAGCAAACCAAAAGTGAATCATCACCGTGATTGAAAATAGAATGGCAGGCAAGCGATAAAGTAATTAGATCCAATATTGACAATTTGCCTAATAACATAGATCATCGACTTGGTTTTCCAACAAAGTCACCAATTCGGGAAGGGCTCCAGAGCAAGGCTATCTCCACGTTATATTGAACGAGTTCCGAGCCCCCTGGTTGAGAATCTGGGAATAGAAGAGGAAAGCAAATGCCAAAATGGCCAAGAATATACACGAACCAAAATTACAGATGGTTGGTCTTAGAGGATAAAATTATAGAGCGATCATTCCAACACCCGCCAGAACCGCGGTGGCAATGTAAGCTGCCACCTGGAAAGATCCAAAGGATGTGCTGGGGTGGATGCTGATAACACCAGCGCTGGACGAGGTAGCCGAGGTCGAGGCGTCATCTGAGGAAGAGCTAGAGCGACCCTTGCCGTCGCCCTCGGTGGTGACAGTTCCGACCCCGGCGGCCCCGGCCTCCTTCATCTGCGCCGCGCAGGAACCGGTAGCCTTGGACACGGATTTGACGGTGGCCGAGCCAGCAAAGTCACAAGCATCTGCAGCGCGGTCCTGCTCAATGTAGTATTTGTTCAGAGCAAAGGCAAGTTTCTCCTTGGTCGAACACATGCTGTAAGCGCCATACTCGCCAGTGGTCGCATTGGCTTCCAGACCGCTGCAGTCGGTGTAGCCGCAGACGGTGCTGAATAGTTTGGCATATCGCTTGGAGTCGAGGGATTCGGACACCACGCAAGCGGAGGCATCGTACATGCACTCACACAGACCGGCGTCGGCGACGGGGGGCAGGGGGGACGCCTCAGCACCCCACTTGGAGTTTACGGTAGGGCAGCTGCGCAGAGCAGCCAAGGTCGGTGTGTAGGAGGCCTTCTTGGTGCCAGTAGGGTTCACTTTGGCGATCTGGCTGGAATAATACTTGAAGTCGGGTAGAGTCTTGACACTGGTGCTGTCGATGACGGAGACGAGTCCTGTAAATTCGGGATCAGTCAATTGCTCACATTACTTCCCAAGACCTGATTCTTACCGTAGTCGTTGGCCTCCTGGAAGTACATGTACACGATACCACCGGACCAAACTTCAGCCATGGGGTCCTCATAAAGAGCCTTGACATCGGTAAAGGTGCGGGGTTTCACCTCGTTGCAGCCATACTCGGCGAAGAAGACAGGAACGGAGTAGTTGGCGAATTCTTCCGTACGGTCCTTATACCCAGATCTGGCGTAAGTGGAGGAGGAGCCGCACCACGAGTAGATATTGTATCCCCAGAAATCAATTGCCTCGTCGGTATCCTCGCAGTCGAAATAGTCAGCCATGTTCGCACGGATGCTGCTCACATCAGCGGTAGCATATCCGACACCCATCGGGCGATAGCCCTTCTTTTTGATATGCCTCTTCGTGTCGCGAACAGCGGCTTTGACAAAGGCGCTAGCATCAGAAGTAGCGATGTTGTTAGAAACCTCGTTTCCGGCAAAGAACCCAATGACGTTGCTGTATTGGGACAGTTCATCGACCACATCGGTGTATCGCTGGAAGAGTTCGGTGTTCCAGAAGGGATCGTCGCGATCGATCGACAGTTTCGGCTCGGATAGATCGGAGATCACGTAAATACCAGCATCCTGCAAAAGCTTCATGCAAGCCGAGTGGTCAGCCGTGGGGTTGATGGCATAGGTACGAATCACGTTGGTGCGCAGCTCCTGCAGAATGGGGACATCACGGGCACAAGCCTCGGCATCGGCCAAAGGGTCCTTGTAGCTATTGCTATCGGTAGACTCCTCTGTGAGATGTTAGTAGAGGAATCGACCGGATAGTCGTAATAACGTACGCTGATAGGCGATTCCTCGCATGTAGCTGTGCTGGTCAGTGGGTTGCTCAATCATCACGAAATAGCGCATCGACTCACAATTGGGTATCGTTGCTGGAGTAAAAGAACTTGGTGCCCTATTCACCAAGACTTAGTACTCAGAAGACTCTCATGTTACTCAACGAAACCGTACCTTGATAACAATAGGGTCGAGATCAGCAACAGCAGCCCCCAGCAGGGTTGCCAGCGCTATCGCGGAAAACTTCATGGCGAGTATGTTGCGGAGCTGAATCCCAAAAAGAGAAGAAGCTGAAAAGCGAATGAACGAGTGAACGGGCAGTTGGAACAACTACAGTCGAAATGACCGGCGTAATGGGCGAGGAATATAAAAGAGTGACTTCAAGACGTTAATAGAGAGCGCGGGACAGGGAAAGAGGACATCGAGGCTATCAAACCATTAATCCCTCCCCTGAAATCAAAGGAGGTTGTCTATAGCCGACCTGACCACGGCCTTGGGCCTTGGCCCTTGGCGAAGTGGTGAAGTTGATCTATGCAAATTTAGACTTTGCGCTAAAGCCAAATCGACTACGCCCAAACCAATCAGAAGGCGTCCCCCCGTCAAAATTAGCACGCTAGACTGAGCCAAATCTTGGTACTTCGAAAGTGATTGGTCCGGTCGTTTAGGACATCAAACTGCATCATTCTTCAAGGAACCTCCAACTCACTTGTACTATTACTATGTTCCAGACATCTTCATCCTCTATGAAAGAAGAGGCAGTATGTATTCCAACAAAATACGTAAAGGGGAAACTGAAAACTGAAATGGTGAAAATGCCTCGTTAGGCTGACGCGAGGTGTGGGGCCTCTTGGCTTCTGGGCGCCGGCAATGGGCGGATGCCTTCATCCCAACTTTTCCTTTTCTTCTAGCAAAGCATCCCTAGCATGTCTATTTGGCAACTGAAAGGTATACAGTGTAGTCTGTCTGCGGCATTTCCTAGCACAAGGACGGAGTAAGGTGGCCAAACAAAACTGTTTGGACTCCTGCTTTGTGCTGGAGTCGGTGTGGAGCGGCAGAACGCCCACATGGTTTGCTATTTAGTCTCTCAGTTCGTAGGATAGAAATCCAACTCTCTTCGCTTCCTTCCTGGTCTCCATCTCAACAAAAACCAAGACAATCTTCCATCTTCTCGATTGCTCCACGTGGAGACCCACCGAGATAGCCGTGGCCCGTGGGAGCGGTTGGTCTTCTTCTCTGATTACACTTCAAAATAGTAAAACGGGCCAGCCTGATGAGTTCCCGGTATACGTTTTGTCGCACAATTGTGGATTACGTAGCACCAGATATATCCGATGTGCCCGAGGTCAACGTTCCAAGGTTGTATGTTGTAGCTCAGACCATCGTGATCGGCTGTGAGACGATCTACTAGGTTCCATGTAGATCCCGGGCATGGGGCTCTGTCCATTGACCATTCCTTCAGTCGACTAGGTAATGGTACAACATGATGCAATTGAGGCACTTCCCGCTCATTTAGACTAAGGATTTGGCACACTCGGCCCCTCGGAGCTACGGTACTTGGAATGGATCTAGTATCTCAATTTGACAGCGCATTTCAAAATTTGACATCTTCAGTAGTAACTCCAGGATACATAACATGGTACAAGTAATTATACATCAACCCACCCGTGCTAGAATTCAAATAGGCATCAACGAGCGTTCCTTCGTTTCATTCTAATAATTCATTCGAGTTCAAACTGATTCCTCAAAACCGTTGTTGTTTGCGATGTGCCTCGATGGCTGCATCGAATGATCGGATGGTATCTAGCGGGCGCTCAAGACGATTTCGCGTGGGGTTGGAGAGATCGGGATCGGCTGGTATGGAATTAGGATGCAATGCATATCAAACATTCCAAAATACGATCACTTACTGATGAGCTTCCCCTCTCGGTCTCTATGCTGCATATCTCGGAGGGAAAATGTATCCTGGGCTCCTGGTTGGAGGTTCACAGCCGCTGCTAACAGTCAATTTGTGTCATCGAAACAGCCATGATTGGCATAGGTACGCACTGGGCTCTTGTTCATAAAGGGCCATGTTAGGGTCGGCCTTGGTTTGGAGAGAAGTCTTGGGGCTGTGTTGCGACTTGACCGAGCCGGAGCGCTCGCTAGAGGCCGTCGAAGAAGGCATGATTGGAGATGAAAAATGAGGTCGAAGTTTTGTATAGATTGAGAAAGAGTATGGGTTTATCAATGAGATGATTCTGAAAAATATTCCTACAACAAGATATGGTGACTGGCGGGATGTAGGAGACGACCCATCCTATATAAGAGGACCCCACCCCCTGTCACTTGTCATTTTCGGCCATCGTTCAAGAATAGATATCCTTCTCAGAACGCCAAACTTTGACATCACGCAAGCTGTGGCGACACTTGGGCTCATGATTGGGCTCATGATTGGACCGATCTCGATCGGCACCCTTGGCTGATTCGCAGGGGACAATACCATTTCCGTATGACGTTTAGGGATCCATTGGTGACATTCTCAAAGGCCAGTGAGACCCATCTGAATGTGCAGCAGAATGCTTAGCATGTGTTGTGACCAATCTGGGTGGATGAGCGTTTCCGGGGCCACGCAAGCTCCGGTGGCGAGACCCCTGGGTCCCATCAGGTACCCGCAACGATCCTCAGGTACCCCAGTCAATGTTACGATATCCAGCAATAACGCATTGTATGCGGAGTATGTAGATAGAAGGATATTCGCTGCATCTGATGTGAATAGAAATGATTTACAACGTACAGAAAAACAGGTCAATTACAGGTACAAATTGTGTGACGAGTGACGACTGTGCCTTTGGTGGGGACGATCGCCGGTTTCAACAATGTGACAGGAATGCCCCAGCACTCTCTCTCCAGGAACAATCGATCATACGCCGTAAGAGGGCCAATCACGATCGATTGAAGTCTAAATCTCACATGGCGCTGTAGGACAAATATACTGTACAAGGCTATTGTACACTGGCAGTCCGTGCAGTGTGGGAGGCCGAAACTGGTGGTCGCCGGATTTGAAACACTGCGCTTCTGCACTTAGCCCCAGCATTCCAGAGATCGAAATTCTTCTCGGTTCCTTTCGTGTCAGTCCGGATCGACAGTCTCTACCACAGTGGGCCCAGACTCCATGTGGGCTGGAATAATGTCGCTCCCCGTCACGGCGATTTGAAGAGTGGATGCAACGCTACGATGCACGATAGGGTTCTCCATTGCACATGATCACATCCCCGTGACAGCCCAAATTGTCGAAAAACACGGTCGCTTTTGGTTCGTTGATTTTTTCCAAAGTCTGACCATTTCCGTGTCGATCGCAGCTGCTGGAACTTAGCCATTGGACCACTGGCGCCTAGGCCAAATCATGCCACAACCTGAGGCTCATGCGTGCTAGAGGCAAAACAAGCACGAAGCTGCACGATGTTACCTATCACGTGCATTAGTGAATTTTCGACTCAATATCAGCTACATGGAGACAGACCATCAGTGGTATGGGTTGGTCAACCCTTTTCTGGCATTCCCATTGATAACGCAATTCGATCATGCCAAAGCTTTCCGCTGCTCTGTTGACGTGGGCCCATTAGGTGCAGTCGAGACCTCTCTTGGGTTAGACGAGCGAGTTGGTCGGTATCCTTTACGACCTCCCACTCATTATGATTGGGGCCGAGTGTCAACCACGGCGATACTGATTTCTGTCTGGTTTGATCGGCCGACAGAACAACAGATAACTGTCGGAGAAGCGCGAGCCCTGAGCGAACACCCTCAACTGAGAATCTTACCGAGTCGTCCTTGATCCAACTGGGTATTAACCCAAAGAATTCCCGACTCTCTTTTTCATTCCCTTCGAGGTCGGCCTTTATGCCTGCCAGCATTTGGGTCTCCACGTCGCTCAGAATCTCTCGACTCTTGTTGACTGCGCATATCAGATTCTCTCTCTCTGCTTCAGCGGCTCGCGAGGAGCCCACCAGAACTTTCGTCTTGACAAGATATCCAGGACACTGTGCTATCTCATTGAATGCAAAGTCCATCAGCTGACCCAGCCGACAGCTCCTGCCGCGTCGCTCTTCGTCCTCCAGGACCTGTGGAAGAATTGACCTCCACTCCTCGGTCTCCAAGAAGCATGGCTCGCCTCGAGTGAATGCCTCGAACACTAGGAGTCCCCGGAACGATAGAAGAAGGGTACGGCCAAACCCCCTCGTATGGCCCTTTGCGCCCCTCAGCTGGAAGAGATGAGATATCCCACGCGAATGCAACAACCATGACTTATCCGCTGTCGCATTCATCAGCTCATAGACGCCCAAGAGGATTGCGGCCCCAAGGGTAGCATCTGTGCTAGCAGCGGCAGAGCTCTTGAGGCTTTGAACTAGATGGCGTAACCCGCGGCCATACATCTCTTGGCTGGTAAGGATCTGTTCTTGCTTGCCACTTGCTTTTCCCAGCTGGAAGGCCCCCAAGCTACGAACTCCCCAGTCCAACGCTTTTCCCGTGCATTGCTCACCATGAACGATATCGAACCAGGGAAGTTCCACACGGGTGCTGTAGCTGTAATATATGTTGGGGAATACTGTATCCACAAAATCACAAAAGCCTTTTCGGTATTGTTGATCTAGTGCCCGGGCCATCAATCCTGGCACTAAGACCTCATCCATCGACGGGCGGGGGATCGACGTGCTGTGCTGTGTTTGTTGTGCAGTGACCAGTGTCATGTCTGATCTTGAAGATTGGTTCGGGGGAACTACAGCTTGCGACGGCGTGTGTTGGCTTGAGGTAGCAAAGCGGTGATAAAATTTGCGATCCTTATTGTATCCAGGACACGGCTGTCCTCTCCTCTGGCATGACTGACATTCTGGATGGGTTTCATCGCACTATACATGGGGTTAGCGCACGTCCTAAGCCAAGGCATAGTTCAAGGTCTCCCCCCTACTTTGACTCGCCGTCGGAGACACGCCAAGCAGCCCTTGCTGCGAGGTACACCAACCATCGAGGACTGTTAATTGTCGACCAGCGGTTGTTCTGGTAGTTGCTGCAAAGGCTTGAGGCACGGAACAAGAAACATGGCGAGAATACGAGGTTATTTAGGGGCCCCGCAGCTCACCATACCCCAACGGAGGCAGGGATTTCCCCGTTGCGCATTGGGCGCCTCGTGTACTCCCGAGGTCCCTTCCTTGGCACAAAGTGAAGCTTTGCAAAAGACAAGTCGTAGCCGCTAACCAGCGCATTTGAAAGTCATTATCCTGGCGGATAGTCACCCTTATCACGTTGGTTAGCGCGAGAGTGAAATAGTAAAAGATGGAAAAAATATGAAGGGAATAGGGGGCGCTGACATCAGCCACTACCATACTGGCCTCTATTGGTAGCGGTGGCGAGTAGCCATCAGATCAGCGGCCAATTGAAAATTGTCCTCAAATCCTCAATTGCTGTTTTGCTCCAAGCTCATTGAAATGATCGAGTAGGTATTACTGTACTTCGCTTTTGATTTTGTCCTCCTGATACGCTCTCTACGGTAATATCAAGATATTGCCTTCACAAAAGTCTACCAGCCCCTCGACTCTAAAACAGACCGATCTGGGTCGTTGGTTTGGGTGTAACCTTGAAGACAATCATCTCAAGGTATGAGTTGAGTATGTGGTGGAATGGAAATCTATCGGGTCTCTCACTGCTTGCTTTGTGTCGCTAATCCCTGAAGCCTAGTTGCTGCCTACTCAAAAGGGTACAAGAGTCCGCTGCCTATTCCAAGACTCTCATTTGCTGTCCAATCATAGAACAGTTGAACATATCTCAAGAAGTACTATCGCCAACCCTTACCCCCCAAAGTGATTATGAGAACCTTGGCAGGCTCGACGAATGTGCCCAATACAGGCGCAATTTGACCACCACTGGTGCCAACATAAAGTGACTGTCGGCCTTTGCTCAGGCGAATCGAGCTTGGGCCTGGCATTTCGGTCGAGATTTGGCCGCCCGCCACGAGTGCGATTTGGCCCAGAGGAGTGATCCGCACGACCGAGTTTTGGGGGCCTGTGGGAATATACGCAGTACCGTCCTCAGTAACCTCGATGTTGTCAGGCAAGAACCCACTAGCGACGACTTCAAAGTCTCCGATTGGATTAGCGTCTAAGTCCACCTTGACCCGACAATACTTCATCTGAGTCGTGCTGGTATAGTGGACATAATCGTCGAGCACCGTCAGACTGTTGACTCCTAGGGGTAGGCTCTGGCCCTTTGCCGGAAGCATGGTAGTATCGTTCAGAGCGACTGTATAGTCTCCAGTCTTGGTGTTGACCTTCCAGATGACTCCTTTGGGGCTATCGGCAATCAACACTAAGTTGGACGCTCTCGAGAAAGTGGCCATTCCATTTGGAGCGACAGTCTCTGGCAAGGCGGCGATCTCGGAGGCCGATGGATTTTCAGACTGCCGCTCTTCGGCGCTGGATGGGATATTGGTGAAGTCCAACTTTTGAAGAGAGAATGAGCCCGCAGCAGGCTGGAAGGTTTTGGTGGAGAAATTGCCCACGATAACCGCGAAGACATCGTTTTCAATTTCACTGATTCCGAAGCAGCTCGTGACGTTGGGGAATGAGTAGACGAGGGTCGCATTTCCGCTAGTGGTGTTGACCAGCCAGACCTCGGGAGTATCCAAGCGCGTCAAAAGCAGGTTGCCATCTGATCTGACGACCAGGTTGTCGATCCATGAGCCGTTGTTAGGGAATTGAAAGAGTGTCTCAACATGAACATCAGGCTCCTGGTTTGTGAAAGGGGGAGTAACCTCGAGTTCTGCGGTATTGTAGAACATAGGCCAAGAAGCCAAAACCACTGGAAGGGCGGCCAGGCCGCTCAGCCAGGTGATGGGAAAGCGCATGGTGAAAACAAAAAGCACTTCGTCTGGCAAGAGCCCAAGGGTGGGGAGGTTCTGGCTAGCTATATGCTGCCACACCAGCGAGCGTCATGCCCCAAGGACTTTGCAAATGCCCGGCAAATACATCCGCTCTCCTGATTCCGCCAATGATGCAGGGAATCTCCATCCCTTGACCTTGCTGTGTTGATGTGGGTTTTATCCCTACATTCTCGTTCTGACATGCATTCCACGGGCAGGTGTATCCAATCCAACATTAACAAGAATGAGAGCAAACATCACGCCATATTGGTATTCATTTTGGACCGTATAATTAGAAATGGGAAATGGGGTGTAGGTTGCAGTGAATACGATATACTGTGTACGCCGTTGAAGTACACAATCTGTACCAGGTCACTACCTCGTCAAACCTGTTATTCTTATTCGGTGTGTGCCAAAGAAGACGGAAGGCCATCGAAGTAGATACGGCCTTCCAATGGATGTAGGTGGGAGATAGGCAGAAAACCTCGAACAAGAAAGCAACAAGGCGGACGTCCCGGTACAGACATTTTCGCCATCTGAGGAGCAATTGAATCGTTAGTAGGCCACAACATACATGAAAAGCCCCAGTATTATATTATCGTGGAAATATCGAGATCCGCCTTATCATGTTCAGGGCAGATCAAGGCTCACTACCCTAATTGTGCGTGTTCCTCGTTATCACAGGCAGGTGTTCGTCTGTACTAGAGGCCCAGCCCTAAGCCATCAGATCCTCTATCATGCTGCAATACCATCCGTCATTTACCCATTCTCGATCAAGCATGCGGCCTAACTGGAACCTTGAAGTTGTGCACCAGTGAGGTGAAGGTCCTGACTCTGAAGTGGTCATTTAATGCACTGTCGTACTACCCAGCTAGTACACGGGCACGGGTGTAGCCATCGAACGAGAGAATTAAGCTCAATGCCGGCGATTGATATACCAAGATGACGAATGTTTTCGTCGCTAATGGAGCCACATGTCTCCGTACTGTGTAGGTACCTTACGTATTGTAGTGGGAGGACTGCGCCGCCTTTATGAGTGATACGGTGATACCTCAGGCTCCGATGTTAGACAAGACCTTCGTAGCTAAGCTCATCCTCCTGGCTAACCGCTAAAGGGCTTTCACCTTGCAAAAACCGGGGTAGACCGACTTAGAACATTGAGCGATCACCCTGGTAGCAGGCAGTTGGTCTTCCTCTCAGCCCCCCATATAGCCGACTACCGGGCTTGGCATCTGCTGGAGATCGGCAACTCGACCGAGGCCCCCCCGTGCGGAGTATTTGGGGTGATTCGGAGACTCACAGTCTCAAACCCCATTGTGTTATATTACAGGGCAGCTGGCAACCTCCACAGTTCACACCCAGGATAGGTCGACTCGAATGCCGTCTTGACAATGAGATTGTTCCTCTCGCGTGCTTCCCGGCCCCTAGCCCTGTCGGGGACAGTTTCACCTGCAAAAAGACCATACATTGCATCGCGTGGTTATTCTAGTACACCTCCCGAGGAACATAGGCCTCTGCCACTTGCCGGTGTCACTGTTGTCAGTCTAGAGCAAGCCATTGCCGCGCCCTTTTGTACACGACAGCTTGCCGACCTGGGAGCTCGAGTTATCAAGGTTGAACGACCGGTTGTCGGAGATTTTGCGCGCAACTACGATACACGAGTTCGTGGACTCGCGTCGCATTTTGTTTGGACAAATCGATCTAAGGAGAGTCTGGCGCTGGACCTCAAACGCGAAAAGGACCATGCCGTCCTAATGAAGCTACTTGAAAAGGCCGACGTGCTCGTTCAGAACTTGGCCCCCGGTGCCAGTGCACGATTGGGCCTCTCTCACGAAGCATTGAAAGAGAAGCATCCCGGTCTGATCGTCTGTGATATCTCTGGGTATGGGCAAGACGGTCCATACCGCGACAAAAAAAGCCTACGACCTTCTCATCCAAAGTGAGGCAGGAATGCTTTCTGTCACAGGCACCGAAAAAGAGCCAGCAAAAGTTGGTATCTCCATCGCCGATATTTCTGCCGGAATGTACGCCTACAGCAACATTCTCTCAGCTCTGTTGCAGCGTGGGAAGGACGGCAAAGGTTGTCAGATCGACATTTCCATGCTGGAAAGTATGGTCGAATGGATGGGCTTCCCGATGTACTACGCATATGATAACGCCCCTGGTCCGGTACCAGCAGGTGCTTCCCATGCGGCCATCTACCCATATGGGCCTTTTGAAACAGGGGATGGACAATCCGTCATGCTGGGCATTCAAAATGAACGAGAATGGGTCAATTTCTGCAACGATGTCCTCTCTCGGTCGGAGCTGGCCACCGATCCTCGGTTCTCAAACAACTCACAGCGAAGTCAAAATCGGGATGAGCTCAAGGCTATCGTCCATGAGGTCTTCTCGGATTTCACGGCAGAAGAAACGGTCGCTCGGTTGGACAAGGCTTCGATTGCCAACGCGAGTGTCAATGACATGAAGAATCTCTGGGGACATGCACAGCTTCAAGCGAGGGACCGGTGGACAAACATTCAGACACCGATTGGCGCTGTTCCGGCTCTTTTGCCTCCTGGATCAAGCAAATCAGTCGAGAAGGGTGGGTATGGCGCTCAAATGGGCTCAGTCCCGGCGGTGGGAGAGCACAATGAGGCCATTCTTGCGGAGCTCGGCCTATCCGATTGATCTCGTGTACATTCCATGAACTGATACAGTATATATACGGAGTAATGGACAGATACCTATCAAGCCACAATTGAATGGTTGGAGTCAAGTAACAAAGGTAGGATAGTCATTGAATCTGCACCATTACAAAAATCGATACAAAAACTCGAGGTTCTGGGGGTTCAGATAGTCCGGATTTGATAATGAGCCCGCAAGACCCATAACATCATCACCCTCCATATTGAACAGTTCGTACCAGTCCATATTGACTGGGGCCTCATCGATAGAATTTTGCAAAGGGGCTGTGTTGGCTGACAGCAACGGATTGCCCGCCGTGTTGGGGGAGAGGAGTTGATATGTGCCAGTAGCAGGCGTTACGAGTGAGGCCTCTTCGTAGTCATGGCCGCCAGTTCTCTGCGATGCCGATGGTACAGTGTTGTCAGCTAATCGGAGATCGCGAGCAGTACGATCATCCAAGCACCGAAAGAAAAGATCCAGCACCCAGTTCTCCAGATCCCATGATTTCTGTAGTTCTTTCAAGCCCAGGAGACATAACTTTGCCCTGTGTTCTGCTAGCTTACGGGCAGTGCCTATCACCCGACCGAAATGTATGGTGAGTATACATAATGAGGAGAATGTGTGAGTAATCCTGCAGCTTTAGCTTTAGTTCAAGTGGAGTATCGTTGGAGAGACCTACAAGTGGACTGATCCATGTTGGACCAGATTTTCTGAGAGCATGTCCTCTAATATACGGGTGCTTCGTGTTGCAGCATCAAGAGCGACATTGCCTTCTAGGTCCGACGATTGACCAGAGGGCTGTAAGAAAAGCGGTCGATATAAAAGTATGTATAAGTTACTGCTTACTTGTTAGCCCAGGAACATCCTAACAAACACCACCGACGGAGAATTGCATACTTATAAGCCATATGAAGCATGCCCACAAGAAACATAGCATCTCTGTTCATTGGTATCTGGAAATGAAGTTCTTTCGGGAGTTGCGATTCCCAGTCCACCAAGCGTCGATGAAGCATCGGTCGGGCTGGATTATCCAATTTTGACCGACCGGGTAGATATTGGCTGGAGACAATTTCCCGCACTGTAAGATGAAGTTGTTAGTGAGAAACAAAAGAGGATTGCATCCCAGAAGATCGTACATAGTCTGGCCAATTGGGCCATTCCAATAACATATGAGACGTGAACTTCTGGTGGAGCTCGGAATATTTTAGAAGGCCCCGTTTGCTCGCCTTCCTCAAAGTCCGCGGGCTCGAGATCAGCTATCTGGCAATCTTCATCGCGTATTCTCGGTGGCAGTCCAAGAGCTGCCGATGTCTGTTGATCACGGACCTGAGAGAATATTAGATTGCATGTTCCATATTGACAAGTGGGAGACGGAAGCTGTACATATAAAGCCCACCAAATTCGTTTCCATATCCTTTGGTCCTTGACATTGAGGAACTGCAACTTAGAGCTGTGCACGTCAGCGTGTGATTCAGGGCTGGTGAACCAAGGAAGAAGACCTACATGACATGCATTCCTTTCTTTTGAGCAAGACTAATGGCGGCTCCGAGCCAGAATCGAACATCACGCTCCTCTGTGGGACCCCCACGCCAAAAGCTCAACAAGAACAATGATTGTAACTTGGTGACTGTGTCAGTTTCCAATCCTGAGTCATAAATATCCTTTGCACGCTCATAGATTGCCTCTTTGGCTTGATATCGATTGCCAAATCCAGTGGTGCTTAAGGCTGAATCCGAGCACAGGCTAACACCAATGAACAGCATCGACTGCAGGAGTAGAGGTGACAACGTGCCATCTTGGTAGGCACTTTGCAGACCTGCCCGATCAAGGATCGGAAAGCAAGGGTGGAGCCAATCAAAATAAGCTTGCAGTAGTGTGTCGCAGATGGCGGGCGAGGGGAATGCAAGGGCCCCTTCGCGGGTAAGGCGATCATGAATCAGCTTGCCACGGGGGCCTAACGAATCGTGACTGTCTTTGGTTCCGGCACTTATCTCAGAAATTGAGTAGTGCAATCGCCCTTTTTGGACACTACCTGCGTGACCCTTCTCCGGGGATCGTCGACTTTCATCGACAACGCAGGTCAGAGGACTAGACTCGCCGAGGAAGACAGTTTTATGGATCGCATCCTCTGACGTTGAAGGGCGAGCCTGTGTATACTGCAAGCACTGTCCAGATACTAGCAACTGGCCTTGTAAGACTCGGGACTTCGCTGCATTTGTTGTCTCATTGCTTGTGGGCGTTCGAGTCAATCCCTTTTTCTTTCTGCGGGGATATCTGCCGACTAGCATAAGCTTGCACTCCAATCAACCCCTCCATAGGATCCTTACTTTCCACGTCTCGAGATTCCTACTTCACATGCGAGATTCCATGCCACGCAGTTCTGACAGGGCTGCATTTCTAGCACGTTGCAGCGCACGCGACGTGAGTTACATGCCAAGCAGGCTTTTTTCGCCCTCGTGCGTGGCCGATCTGGGCTTTTGGACTCCATATCTTGCAAGTAACAGAGGAATCGGCTGTTTCGATGAAATGATATTCAAGAATGAAACCATTGGTGATCTTTTTCCCTGCGATGCGTCCCGGGCACCTCGATTGATTGAATAGGTGGGGGGCTCGGCTTCTTCGGTTATATGCCTCGGTCTTTCGCCACCTGACATCGCCGTGGTCTTGATCAGATTGTTTATCCGTGTACACAGTATATTCTCGTGATTCCATGAACGTAGATAGCCTTATAGGTAGTTCGGAGTTCCTCATAAGGAACCTCACTGCTGGATTGAGGAAATCCAAATCTACTTCATCGTTGGAATTTTGTTGTGTTGTGTTATGGCCTCAGGCAACCACATGTTGAACCCTCCTCGGATCATCAGTCATCACTCATCACGAATGTACGGCATGTGACCGGCACGGAAGAATGATTCTTCCGTGCACAGACCAAAACACCCTCTCCAGCCTCTGACCTACCTACTGCTTCTCGCTTTGTTGATCAATCCAATGCACCAGATATATATCCTAGGTGACTCCTCCACCTGTAGGCTGTAGCATCAACGCAATGGAGTCCGCCAACGCTTGTCTCTCAGGCCTCCAGTTTTTTGGCCTGGAATCATGGCGTTGGATCACCACAGGCACACGGTACTCGTCACTTATGAGTCTGACCGAGCGGGCCCTCTTGCAAAGACTATCACCTGGCAACCTTCATAAAAGCTCTATTATGGAACTTAGGAACTATTAGCCAGTTGACGACGGGAGTAATTGAGACCCGCGCTCGATATTGTCGCCGTATCATGTCAGGTGCGAGTGGGTGAATCGTGTTTCGCTTGGTGCGTGGATGGACGATACCCATGGAATGGATGTTTCACAGATATGTCTACCGGGCTAGCCACCTCATGAACACCAAATTCGTTTCAATGGTGACTTCACAATACAATACCGTGGCTCTCAAGAAGTTGAATTCTGCAGGTTTCTTGTTTGTATAAATGTGTATCAATCCATATAGACAGCCTAGGTATCCCTTGCTGGAACAATCACCTTAGCAACCCGCCCTGAGCAACATTCACGGGCTGAGCTGGAGATTGGTCTCACCGGGCTTGCGTCTCATAGGAACGTAACATAACTCACAAACTACACGAATAGATACGCCCCGCACCAATACCTAGGATGGTCATAGGGAATCCGCAAGAACCCAGATTGCCGCAACAATTAGGTACCTCCCGACCCTTTCAAGTCGGCGTTGCTTACCAGGCTACCTGCGAAGAGATGGGAGCCACGGAATATATGCACGACATTCAAAACATCCATCGCCGTTATTAAGATCGGAGGAGCATCACTCGGGCCGGGCGATGAAAGTGGCGTGGAGTCCACGGCTACTGTAAAATCCTCCGGTGGCTGTGTATTTACCCGGACAGGGTAACTACGCGATCGGAGGCCTTTATCATTTAGGAATGCTAACCCAATGGAGGCCACGTCAATTTGAGGAACTTTACAATTGGGTGGATGGACTCTGACAAAAACGCTGGACTCTTGAGATGACCACATGGGAGTCATGGAACATTCCATGGGACTGTGAGGACGTGAGAGTACGTGGACTTAGGTTGTCGCGTGGGAGGTACGGGGAAGGTATTGTGGGTACTAAAGTTTAAACATACTAAAGTTTAAACACAACCTTAATCAACTTTGTTTGTGCTACGACACTACCGTGTAACTAGTACCTCTGTGTACTAACATCCGCCCATTAGTGTCTCACACCACATAATGATTCTGAGTTGTCAGGGCTGCATGGAGGTACCCTTCTAAGGTTTCCAGTGCTGTCCCCAATCCCCGTAGACAAGGCACAAAACTTTCTATGAAACCCGTTTCTCCCAACGTCCGAACCAGCGGGTTGAGAACAGTGCTACCATTACTTGACAGCTCGAATGGCCCAATTGCGCGAAACGACTGGTCGAAGAGCCGCTTTCTCAGTTCGCCGAAGGCCCCGGATTGAAGCAAGACATGCTTCGACGTTTGAGAGCCTTCTCCATAGGAACACTTATCAGACATCAGTCCGTTGATTTTGAACAATGGATTCCCGAGTTCTGACACTCTATATGGGGCTTCTAATTAAGTAGCTAGAAAAAGCACACATGCATTTAGTTCTATCCACCATTTCTGACAAAAAGTGCAATCATAGGTGAGAAAATCTTCTTTCCCATATGGCAACCTCCCCAAAGAACCTTAACGATGCGACCATTTGGAACAAAGCAATATGTCAGCGGAGCGCGAGTAGTTGAAGATGACGTCCGAGATAAACATAAGAGGATACCCAGAAAAAGGAGGATGTACCTGCTATATAGGCGGAATGGTGATGTCAATAAAAAAGGTTAAGTCATCATGGCGTTCCAAACATCAGCAGCCTCCTGGCCCGAAAGGCGGTTGGCTGCATTCGCGGCCTCGGCGCAGCGGTCCAGGGTAGCCTGTGGTGCATTGCACGGGCTTCGGAGACGGTTGCAGACTAGACCGGTGACACTTCTAATGCTGGTATCGGATCCGAAAGGGAAGTCGATCTGATTGTTGGTCGTGAAGGAGTAGTGATTACGTCCGTCTAGGCCGTACGCCCACTTGATGCTCGGGTCTGAGCATCTACCGTAGTCGAGGCTGTTACTGCCACCAGTCTCGGAGCAGTCGCTGGCTGTCACGGTCGTGGTGACCTCCAAGGTTTGAGTCTCAGTGAGAGTCTCAGTTTCCGTGGCGACCTGGTAGCGGGTATACGTGGTGGTCTCAACACTAGTGATGGTGTCGGTCACAGTCTCGGTCTTGGTGGAGCCTGGCTCGGTGACGGTGGATGCGCCCTCAGTGATCGTATCAGTCACAGTAGGACCGGCTGTCGTCGTGGTCTCGGTGATTGTTGGGCCGTTGACTGTCACCGTCGTGAGGTCTGTTGTGGTGGCGGTGCAATCGCTGGTTGTCGAGATGAGAGTTTCTGTCATGGTGACGGTGGTGCTATCGATTATGATATCAGCTTTTGAAGCATCAAGCCCCGAAAATATAGACTGACCAGTCGCTGACAGTCCGAGTTGAAGAAGATCCAACATCGCAGTTGTCCCATGGCCTCCCCCCATTTCCTTTCTTCCCGCAGGCACCTCGACCGCCGTCGCCCCAGTGATTTTTACCACCACTTTCATGTTCATTGCTGTGGGCGTACCCATCGCCGTTGCCAATTTCAACGTTCCCCACATTCCCGTACCCTTCACCATTCGGATATTCCCACGGCTTGTCTAAGGCGGGATGGGCAACCGCGGCGCTAGTTGCTTGCAGAAGCAGGACGGAGAGAGCCAGGAACGATGAATAAGAAGGCATGTCGACAAATTAATGTTATGGGAGTAACAGATGTATGTCGAGAGAAGAAAACAACGCCTGAGGACTTGGCTGCTTTATGTATTGAAAAAGAATGGAGACCGACGTTGGCGACTAGGTACGTACACAACTGGGAGGAATATCAACAGGGTAGGTAAGGTGGAAAAGTTTTCCGTTTTTATACTCGATCTAAACCGGCTAGGTACAAAATACTCAAGCAAGGTCTTCATTACAACATCGAAAAACAACGCTCTAGTCTGGTATGTATGCTTTGGCCTCTGCACATCATGTCGGGAATGCTAGCTGTTCCACAACGGCATTTCGGTCAAATCCAAGTTTTGGCCATCTTCGACACGCTTGTTCATCGTGTTAAATGCCAAGGGGTGTGAAATTAGCCAAGGGGGGTGTGCCTGTGTCAATTCTCTACATTAATCAGTGGTTCTCGATGAAAGTAAGTCTCCTGGCTCTGATTGCTCTCGCTTGCTGTGCACGGGATACTATCCGTTTTGATTTGCCTAGTTCGCAGGCTTCACGGTTGAAATATCCATCGTCTTCTTGGTGCGCATCACGCCTTAAGATCTGCTTGCATGATATTCGAAGCATGACTGCCTGCATGGCCTAGTCGTCGGTGAGCGAATTCAGTCGAGATAATTGCTGCGCCGAGACGGTATGTAGGGGAAGCGAGGTGTGAGAAGGGGGCACGTTGGTAGTTTCTGGAATAGCCAATGAGCCTGTCATATGCGCCATGTAGAGCTCCAGCCCTGCTATTCCACCAGACTCCCGGCTGTTTAGATGCGGTCACGAGAGAAAAGAGATTGTACTGGTCGGCCTTTTTGATGACACAGTGAAAGCTTAGCTGGTAGCAAGCTGGTGCTGTTTTGATACCTGATTCCTGAGCTGTATGAATTTCAGTGTCACCAAGGTGTAAGGCCAAATTGAGAATGCCGTGAGCATCTGTCTTGCCTTTCTCACTGCCGGAGGTCCACCATCTGTATTCCTTCCCCTGGGGATAGGCTTGCATGGTAGAAAATGCAGTCTCATCACTGCAAATGTGCTCCGAGGCGCCAGTATCCAGAACCCATGGATAGTCTGGTGCCGCTGCAGAGAGCCGGATTGCAATCAGGCCTTGTTGAGCAGTTGATTCTGGCCTCTTCTTCTTCATCGAGATAGATATCCTCTGAAAAAGCAGAACCCTCACATTGAGCCATGGGAGACGTCTCCTTTGGAAGTTCCGCCCCTAGACAATGAGCTGCCGCTAGAACCCATGCCTGATGTGAGCAATGAACCTGCTACACACACCTCACCCGAAACCGCACTAAGTGAGACCGACCAAGCCGGCTCCATATTAGAGACAGCTGAAAGCCTCATCAAAGAGCCTTCTACACACACTTCGCCAAAAACTGCACAAAGTGAGATCAACCAAGCCGGCCTCATACCAGAGACAGTTGAAAGCCTCACCCCAGAGCTTGCTACACACAACTCGCCAGAAAATGCACGAAGGGAGATCAACCCAGCCGGCTCAATACCAGAGACAGCTGAAAGCCCCCTCCAAGCAACCAACAGAGTCATGGGCTCAGTACCCGATCAATTAGAGTCTCCTGCTGCCAATTCTGCCGATCGCATCCATAACCTCGCCCGGCTTCTCACTGGTCAGCTCCAGCAAAACTATGGCTGCTGTCATACAACAGAAGAAGATGAGGTAATTGCCAAGGTCACTTATCCTATCGATCGTCATTCACTCCCGGCGTCGTTCAGTCCTCCTTTAGGTTATCATCTTACACCTAAGCTAAAGAGTCTCCTAACACAGCTGAGACACATCATAGATGGGACGCTGGAAAGGGACCATCTTACAAAGCTCAGGCACACCTTGAATGAGAAGCTAGGGCGTATTTCCGGCCCTGCAGTCACTGCGAACATCGACTGCCCAAAGCTTCTCGCCAGGCTAGCTGACAGCTTTAAGTTCGTCAACAGTTACGAGTATCGTGCGGGAGTTGAGCGGATCCCCGATGACTCTGAGTTCAACATCGGCTGCCCATGCAATGGAAATGAGAATGGGTGCGATCCTTCTATTTGTGACTGTCTCAATATAGAAGAGGATTCAGATGATAGGATTGTGCCATATCAAATCAGCGAAAACAATGCTAAGCTCATTGTTGCGACCAAGGACTTCCTCAGACGCAAAGCCATCATCTACGAGTGCAATTCACGTTGCGGCTGCAGTGGTGATCGGTACTGGAATCACGTCGATAACAGGGAAGGTCTATCAAGTTGGAGATATTCAACACTGGCTCTCGGGGCTTGGGTATGTTCAAATTCACCTTGGCCCCTCGCTCTACTACTTAGGATTGTTCTCAGGTCTCCGATCTCCCGACTTCCTCCACCGAGGACAATACATTGACCTTTATCTCGGCGAGGTGATCACTAAAGCTGAAGCCGAGGAACGCGAGAACCTCACCGAAGGCTCACATACGCAATCCTATCTTTTCTCAGTGGACTGGAACATAAAGGACGACGAGGACGAAGACCGAAACATGAAAGTCGTCGACACCCGCAAGTTCGGCTCCGCAACCCGTTTCATCAATCACTCTTGCAACCCTAATTGCAAGATCGTCCCTGTGTCCACCACCAATCACGCCGATGAATACCTGTACAATCTTACATTTTTCGCAAACCGGGATATCGCACCCGGCACTGAGTTGACCTTCGACTACACCCAAGGAGAGGAACACACAACTGCCGCCGAAGTTGACCCTGACACGGTGCCTTGCCTATGTGGTGAAGCCAACTGCCGCGGACAGTTGTGGCCGAACAAGCGCAAAGGCCAGGGATCTAAGTCTTAGGGCATCCCTTTGCCACCTTGTTGAGCAAGTCGGGCAAAGAGCGGTTGCAAGATAGACAAAGGCATTGAAGGTTTTTTGCCGAGACGTAGGTGAATCAAATACGAGACGGGAGATAGAATCAGTTGCCTGTTGTGCAGTAACTGAATCTCGCAGAGATCCAACCCATGAAGTCCAGGATCTTTATCCCCCAGCGTTCACGCCGATTTGAACCCTTGAACGCAGTGTCTCGTCTGTGAGAGAGGTGGAGTAAGACCACCGGTAGCCTGTGAACTTGCTGTCGCCTATTCCGCCCACTTGGTGACGAAGCCTTGTGGCACCGGACATGATGAAAAGCTTGAAAAATGGAAATATTGGCAATACTGAGAATACTGTGTTCTGACATCAGATTGTTGTAGTCCCCAGTCTCAAGTGGCGGTAAGAGTAACAGACTAGGGTCGCCAGCGGAACCCGGGGTTGCGCCAGTCCAGATCCTGAATCTGCTGCAGGGAAAGTCCCACCAAGGCACCGTGGATATCGAGACGTGCTCGACGCCGGTTATCCCACGCCATATAAGCCCACAGGCCGGCTCCGAGAATGAGCGTTGTGGTCGAAGTTGCCAAGTTGAGCCCATTCCCAATGTGGTAATTGGGCCCATCAGACGGCAAGAACGACCAAGTGCTGATGAGCCCTCCAACGTTACCAAACATGACCGTCGTTCCAATAGCCGACGATCGTGCGGTGTCGGAGATCACATTTGCTGACGAGTGTGCCGTGCACAAGGAACCGAAGGCAAAGGCTCCGCTAGCGATAATAAAGGTGGCTCCGTACCGTACCATGCTGTCTTCGCTTGCTAGGAACATGATATAACCTACATAAACATCTCTGATTAACATAGGGTCCGGGTTATGTTTGCACAAGAATTAAACTTACCAACCATCATGAGCGGTGGGCTAATAATGAAGAAGATCAAGCGATTATCGAACCGCCAGCTAAGGAATGGGAACAGCACAGCGACAAAGGCGCCGACGACATACGGAGGCACCGTGTGCAACTGTTGAGAGACCACAGTGGCGTTGGGGTAGATGGTCTGGACAATGGTAGGTGCAAAGAAACCCAGACCCTGAACGGTGATGTTGTTCAACAAGAAGATAAATGCCGTCGTGATTGTCACAGGACTGAAAATGCCACGTAATGTTTTGGCTAAGTCGAGTTTGTCAAGCACCTCCGTTGCAGCAAGACGTTCGGATTTGACGCGGGCAACGGCTAGGTCCTTTTCTTCCTGGGTGAGCCACTTGGCTGTCTGCGGTCGGTCGGTAAGGGTGAAAAAGCCCATGACAGCAAGTCCAATCGTGACAATGCCTTCTATCGCGAAGATCATACGCCAGCTGCGGAGGGAACCGAAGTGATCGAGCTTGAGAATCCCCGAAGCTAGGAGGCCACCGAATGCTCCTGCGAGCGGAGCCATGACGAGGAATAACGACAGATGGAAGACAAGTTCACTCCGTCGGTACCAACGTGAGAGGTAGTAAGCGATTCCGGGTAGGAGTCCTGCCTCAAACACCCTAGATAAGAGCTGTCAGCAGTGTTTTAACCTTTCGAAACATCGGAAACGCACCCCAGAAGGAACCGGACACCAGCTACGCTGTTGAAATCTTGAACAAAGGCAGTGGCAACTGAACAGATACCGAATCCCAATGTAATCCCCGGAAGCCACCATCCTGGCCCAACCCATTTACACATGAGGTTGCTCGGGATCTCAAAAACAACGTATGCGATGAAGAAAATCGAAAGCACGGCATTGTAATCATAATTCACCAGTCCTAGGTCTTTATCGAAACCGGCCAGTTTCGCGTTACCTACCGCAGAGGAAAATGTTAGTCTTTTGGAATTAGGTAGGCGAAGAGCAGAGGAAAATTGGTATACACACCAATATTAGCTCGATCGATGAAACAAAACAGATACATCACCGCGACAGTGGGGAGGATGTAGAGGTCGATTTTTAGTCGTAGTCGCGATTCGGCCGCCTTGTCGAATTCCACCAAAGGCCGGCCATTTTCATCTGTCGCCAGTTGTCCCCTTTCTGCTGCATCGTGGGCGGTCCCCCCTGCACGTTCTTTGTGGAGTGAGTCCTCCTTATCCTCATCGATGGGAGTGGTGCCCTTCTCGGTGTCGGCCATGACCGACGATCGTATAACTGCACAGTTGACTGAGGTTGGGAGGAGGGGTCAGGTCTGAAATTATGAGACCTTGTTGATTACAGGTTCTACGAAGAGAGCCAATCGGGTTCGCCTTTTTATCATATAGCCAGTGGGATCAATAACGTCCTCGGAAGAGCTAAGGACAGGGTCCAGGGTTGGGGGGCGCAATCCAGGCCGATCGTCACGGCTGTTTCTGTATCAGTTGCTGGCCAGTATTTGCCGTTGCCAAGAGAAGACATTTAGCCTGATAATGGCGATGGCCAAACACTTGACGGTCGGGAGTAGACAGTGTCGCTTATCAAAATGATTACGGTTCTTAGAAGGCCAGAGGGGGTCAAGCTTCGTGAGTTCCATTGTGCATTACCCTTGGATCTGTTTCTTCCAGTCGATTCAGCGCCAAGTCTCTGCGACGGACTAGTAGACAATAGATCATATACTGACTGGAAGCAGAACACATTAGCCAGAAAAGAAAGGGCGCAAAGTGTATTTCTTGCCAAGTGTAGAGGACTGGAGATCTGAGGAGAAGTTAGGCCAATGACGAGCACATGGGCTTCGGAAGTTCCCCCACACAGCCCGTCTGGGTATTTCCCCGGATTTGAAGATCTTTGGATCTCGGATTAGCCATTAGGAAGTGCCGAATTTATCATCCGGCCTTCGTCTGGCCGCTTCGTGTAGATGGAAATTCACCAGTTGACTCGGAAACGGCGATTTCCCCGCACTTTAAAGCACAATCAGTAGCTTATCTCCGTCGGCAAGGTCCGAACGTTCCACTCCGTCGCTTCTGCTTCTTCTTCTATGACTTGAACAAAATGAATCGCGTCTGTGCTCATTGCTCTCGCATAGTTAGTGCACTTTCCTTCCGAAATGGCTTGTGCTAATGACACCAGAAGCAAAGATGCGACGGGGAAATTCCTTGCTCGCGATGCACGCGTATGTAGTCCCGCCTGTGAGATGGTCCTTACTGACATCCCGAATATAGGTCTTGGCCATGTTTGCAAACCGCGTAGTCCGGAGAAAGATGCAAACGTATCGCGCGGACCGAGTGCGCCGCGACGGCCACGTGCATCGCGCTCCCGGGGCGGCTGTTTGCCATGCAAGGGAAGGTACTGTAGAGGGGTCCATGGGTCCTTGCGTCGGAAGCTGATACTAGTGTTTTAGGAAGAAAAAATGTGACGAATGCCGTCCTCGCTGCAGTGATTGCCGCCGTTTGAATCTCAGTTGTCATTGGTTAGTGGGTGCCACCACTGTCGAAGCAGACAGACCCGAAACCAGTGATGCGTGCTCTCCTTCCTGTCTTCCGACGCTTTCTGCTGAGATCGTTCCGAACAATGATCCCGAACCCGAAGGGGATTTGTCTACGCCGAGGCCCATAACACCCTTCGACGCTGAAGACTTCATTGCCACGCTCTTTCCTCACCCCTTGCCCAGGACGAGTGCTGTCACACCACCTCTCAGCCAATTATCTATCTCCATAAACCCCTATTTACGCACAGACGAAGAACGATCGCTCTTCAATCACTACATCCACGTCGTTTCAAGGGCGCTTTGCCGCTCGGGTGATAAAGAGAATAACCCTTTTCTGGTCACACTTTTACCATTGGCAGCAGTTTCGGATACCGTAACTAGTGTGATATTGAGTTTGAGTGGTTGCCATTGGAAGAGAGTTTACCCAACCATTTGGGGGACTGCATTGACTCGACAGGGACAAGGTAGGCTATTTACCCGGGAAATGCCTTGTACGATAGGCTGACAATTTCATAGCATTGGCCCAAGTAAACGATCTGCTCGGTTGCTCGGATAAGCAATCTATATTTGCATCATGCGCCACGGTGCTCTTGTTATGCCTCACCGAATTGTTCGACGGCACATCCCGGGTTTGGAAGTGGCATCTGAAAGCCGCCAGCGCAATTTTGAAGTCAGCAGCATTCCAATCGCTTATCTCGACGGATGAGTGGAAATTCTGCATCAGTCTGTTTCATTATCTAGATTCCATGTCGACCATTTCTCGCTGCAAAGCACCGCTATTGCAAAGCGATGACAGCGTGATAGAATTGTGCAGATCGGTTCGTCAGAGCAGTGTGCCAGAGCTATGCCACAGCGATTCAGCAGATGCTATTTACGGCATATCCCCTGCCCTTTTTGACTTGTTGGGCATGGTGAATTTGCTAGCCAACCAACGCATCAGGCGTGTCGATGAGTTATCCGAGATTGGCTTCCGAGCAGCAGCAACGCATATTGAAGATAGGATCGACGAATGGCGCACCGGACACGATCGTGGAGTTTCAGGTGCTTCACCTCGTGAAAACAAATCAGATACGGACCGTGCTACGACTGCTTTTGAATGGGCGATTCGACTTCGGCTCCATCAGATTGTCGAAGGTTATGACGCCCTTCATGGGTTTGTGGAACGCGCAGTCACCATGATCCTCGACTCTGTTCAGGCGATTCCATATGCTAGCAGGATCGAGGGGTGTCTTCTTTTCCCTCTTGTTATCGCTGGGTCAAGCAGTATCAGCGTTGAACGACGGATGATGGTTAAAGAACGGCTTATGGTGATGGAAAGCACTCTTGGATTTAGCCATATCCATCACGCACGCCAATTATTGGAGACATTGTGGAAGGGAGCTAACAGTGCTTCGGATTTGAACTGGGCTGCCGTCAGATATAGCCAGTTTCCAGGCGTAGTGTTTATTTAAGGACAGGATTTTCTATTGTATTTTGTGATGGTTCTCTGAGACGGGATCACCTTGAATTTCTGTTACTAGGTAGTAGGTATACCAAGATGTTCATCAAGCGGGATGGGTATTTGATGACAGTGACCTACATACTACGCCCCCATCTCCGAAGAGTCCCATTCATCGACACTTTCCCGATCGAGGCTCGTTAAGATAACACAGTTGCCAGTGACAGTAAAAAGGGCGATTTTTGTGAACGACATGTAACCGCCATATAACTACCGTTGGACTCTAGCCCCCATTTCACCAAAGGCAATGTTCAATACACGTAGCGGAAATTCTCATCAGGATAAACATCTTGAACACCTCTCTTCCCAGCCAGTCGTGTTTCAACAAGACTACGCGCTGGAGTGCCCAATCGATCTGCAGCGGTGTTGCGTCTTCCATACATGATGCGCAGGGCAGTTGACACTACAATTGCCGCAGCATTAATGGCAACGATTGTTATCTTTGCCGGTATATACCTGTGACAGTCAGTCAAGAGTAGATTCCAAGTATGCAATGTAGTAGCCTACTGCGGAGCATCCTTGGCTTGAAAAGTTTGCGGCCCAATAATGTTCGCAATACTAAAGCCAGCAGACACAATTGCGGCACCAGAAACCTAGGACATTTTGTCAAATGCTGATGGGCTGAAAGGGATATATACAATGTACCTTCATAGTGTAGCCCTTGTAATTGGCCCCAGTCCATGCATAAATCAATGCCAAGGGAGCGACCGTCTAATAAAGTCAGGAATGATCCCATGTCAAATGCTTAGAGTACATACCGTGTTCACCAGATAGATTCCCACTAGACAGCCAGTTTGATTGTCGGGCGGAAGAAATGACATCAAGCAAGATCCTAGTAATGTCGGAATCAATAGCAAGTCAATGGCTAGCCAGCGCGAAAACCCCCTTGAAATCGCGAACGTAGAAACCATAGTTGCCACAATACTCACGATTCCAGAGGGCATATTGAGAAGTGCACTTTCCTTTGAGCTGTATCCGAATCCTTTGATCAAGATTGCGGAGAATGTTGTGATCACGCCGCTTGGAATTGTTATAAGAATAGTGAGCAAGACAAGAAGCCAAGTCTGGAGATCCCCGAACGCCTCGAGAACCGACCGCCATCTGAAAACTTTGGACCCAACCCCAGACTGGTCATCTGTTAGTCGTTGGCCAATTCGTTGTTTCTCTGTCTCTGTAAGGAACTTGGCCTTTTCCGGATTGTCGGGTAGAACAAAAATCACAAGTAGAGAAACCAAGATGTTGACTACACCAATTACCACAAACATGATGCGCCAGCCGCCAAATGACATACTGGTAGGGGCATGTTGGGCACCGAAGGAGATGAGAGCTCCAACAATCTGTCCGACGCCCAACCCGCAGTACCAGAGTCCGTATCGTGGTGTTGATTCTGCACGCGTGTACCACATGCTTGTGTACATTGTGAGAGAGGGTGCTGCGATGAGGTTACTTTAGTACCCTGTTTCCTCTTGTGGATTGGAAACTCTCCTACCTATCACAGCTTCCATCAAGCCTAGCAGAATTCGCAAGGCGAGCATGTGAGAGAAATTCTTGGCGGCGGAAGAGCAACACAGAATGATTCCCCAGCAGAACACATTTGCTCCAAGCACTTTCGTTACAGAGAATCGCTGGAGGAGAGCGCCCTGGGGTATCTCTGCCACGGCATATGCAATAAAAAAGGCCGTTGCGAGCCAGGGGAAATCATTCCCGGTCATATGCAGATCGTCCTGGAGACCCATAACATTTGCATACTTGCATTTGTTAGCTGGAAGAATGAGTTAAACTGAGGTGAACAAACATTGATGGAAATCTTGTCAATCATCTGTAAAAAGTAGGTCAGGAACATAATGGGCAGGAGGTGCCAGTCAACCTTGCGTAGCAAGGTCTTGTCGTCCATCTCAACAATACCCAAGCCACAGTCTTCGGTATCGCATTTGTCGGTGAAATCAATCTTATCATCCATAGTTCAGGTCTTTTTCAGAGGATTAAAGCACAATGGCAATTGAGCAAATTTGCAGGCCGGTCAGCTTTATGAACGACATTGGACCAGATATGATATAGTGCTGAGATTGCAGCTCAGCAACGTACCCGAACTTTGCTTCCCCAGACAATGATAGGCGTTGATCTCCTGGCTTAAAACGGGAAGGATCGACTGCGGAGAAGCCAAGAAATATGCAGCCGTCGGATAGATAGCCAGCCGCCTCAGATTTCTTTGGCTTCGCAAGGTCCCTGGCCGTCGCTTATCGTTACGAAAAGGAAGAAGCCGATGGAAGATAACCAAACCATGCGATCAGATGTGTATTGTGTTTTTAAAGTACTTTGCCCTGCTGTTGGCAGGTTATATAACTCCAATGGAACATTGTGGGTTTTCGGCTTTCGCAGATTCGAAACAAGAATTTGCCTTTGATTCAAGTTATTATGCCTTCTCGCACCGACGCGCCTCTTCAAGTCGCCATTGTCGGCGCAGGTCTTGGTGGTCTTGCGGCTGCTGTTGCTTTACGTCGACAGGGACATATTGTGACTGTATATGAGAGATATGATTTTGCCGGTGAAGTTGGTGCGTCTTTGAGTGCGGCTTCGAATGGATCACGCTTCTTGGAAGAATGGGGAGTCGATGTGAAGGGAGCCAAACCGGTTTGTTCTTCTGGGGAATTATGATCAAAGCATACAGCTTATAACTCCGTAACAGGTCATTCTCAAGCAACTCATCATGCACGAATGGTCCAATGGCGAAGTGCAGAGCACATACCCGCTTGGTGATTATAAGTCCAAATTTGGCACGGTAGATTCAAGCGTCTTCTTCTGTTGTTCATTTGTGCTGATCTATTCATAGGATTATAACAACTTTCACCGTATTGACATTCACCAACAATTACTGAAGTCTGCGTTTGAGCTACCCGGGGATGGCCCTAAGTGCGAGCTGAAAGTGAACTTCAAAGCAATCGATGTGAATTCAGAGAGCGGGGTCATTCAGTTCGAAAATGGTGTTGAGGCATCAGCCGATATTATTGTGGCGGCGGATGGTATTCGGGTACTCAAATGCTATCACAAGTTCATTTGCTAGTTCCGCAACTGACCAGATTAATATAGTCTCTCACACGAAACATGATTGGAATTACACCGGATTTTGAAATGTCCACATCATGCTGCTATCGATGCATCATAGGAGCCGATAAACTTCGCTCTCTCGGACTACAAGACTACATCTCCAATGAAGCGATCGAATATTGGGGCGGATTTGGGATCAACAAGATTGTGATGTCTCCCTGCAGTAACGGAGAGGTTGTCAGCTGTTACTGCTTTTATCCAGCAGCACATAACAATGTCCGTGACGACGGATGGAGCATCAGTGCCTCGCCGCAACAACTCGTGGATACCTTCCCAGATCTGGATCCTAGAATGAGAACTTTGATGATGAACGCCGAGGATATCAAAATGTGGCGACGTGAGAACTCTCGGACTTCATTCAATCTTATGTATACACGCTGATAAACTACAGTCTATAAGCATCAGCCATATCCTTATTGGGTAAAAGGCAAGGTTTGTCTCCTGGGAGATGCAGGTAAGTCGCTCACCCGCAGTTAACTCATTCCTGCACTTAAACAAGCTGACACAGTAATAGCGCATCCGATGATGCCCGACCAGTCGCAAGGCTCCTGTATGGCCTTTGAAGATGCTGGGGCTTTAGGTCTCGTGTTCCATAAGAATTTCCGCCAAGAATACAGCGCGGTTCAAGGACTGGCTCTCTACGAGAAACTACGCAAGGAAAGAGCCACTCGCATCCAGGAAGCTAGCTTTAAAGCCCGTGAAAACCTGAACGAGCGGATTGGTTGGAGCTCGTCTACGGATCGACCTGGAAAGTTGACTATCGAGGAGGTCTGCGGGTACGATATGCGGGAACATCTAGCTCAGCTTGTTTGTCAACAAAACACAACATGACCCAGTCGAGGTCGGGAACCATATTGGCTACTAGTTGAAATAAAAGATTTGCTCTTGATTCATGGTTTTATACCGAGTACTGGTGGGTCTGTTCCAGGTCGATTCCATCCTCAGATCCTATTCCAAGCGCAAGAAATGTGCTAGCAACGCGTTTTCCTTTCTTCAATCCCCTATATCGTCTGTTTATGTAGTGCTTCTCCAATTTGTGTGTGACGAATCTTGGGGTTGACGAGTGAAAGTCGAAGTATGATGGGGGTTTCCGATTCCCGGGACGCAGATGTTGCCATCCATTTGCGGTGTTCCAGTCTGTTGATAATACGCAATGGGTTGGAATTATCTATTGCAGACTCCGAAGTAAAGCCAATGATAGCATTTCAATCTAAGCAATCGGCCTACAATTTGAGTTTGATAATATAAACAAAGGATAAAATATTGAATACATGTGTATTCAATGCATTTCCATGTTGAATAGCTGCTCAGCTAATGGAAGAATGGACTCTTCGAGGCTGCGGAATTTCATTCCCAGCATCATTTGTGCCTTTGAGGAATCACACGAGTAGTGGGTATTCGCAATGCGTTTACCCGGCTCTCCAACCGGCACACGACGGCTGGCCACAGGGCTAGAACTAGCGATATCCGCAATCTCCTGTGTGTCATATGATCCCTGAGTCACCAAGAACCTCTCATGCCCAACCCCGGAGAATGTCAATGTCCGGACAGTCGTCTCAGCCAGATCTTCAACATCAATCCAAACTGTTTTATGGTTAGTTGACATCGCGTGGCGGCTGGCGAGAACAGACACATACCAGGTGCTTTCGTGGGTGGAATTTGACCATCCTTCCCCGCACTCAGAACCTGCCACACAATCTGATTGCTGGCATTCAGCTGAGAGAGAGATGAAATAGGATGAATCATTCGCCCGAATACCATTCCCGGGCATAGAGTTATCAATTGAAACTGCACCCTATGGTCGCGGACGTACTCCCAAGCCGCCCGCTCCGCGACTACCTTTGAGGCACGATATGCGGTAGGCTGGCTCTTGTTAGATTTGAAGTGGCAAGGTAGAAACACGATTCTTACCACAGCTGCGGCATTCACACCATTTTCGTAAGTCAGTGGACACCAATCTTTCTCGGTGTACACGGTTCCGGGCTGCAGGCCCAGATCGGCATTGTAGACACTGGCAAAGCTAGACATCACCACGACCCGACGAACTGTAGGGTGGAGCTTAGCAGCTTCACAAACGATCTGAGTACCTTTTACCGCAGGTATCATTAACCTCTCTTCAAATTCACCCGGAAGAGCATCATAAGTGAAAGCCGATGCCAAGTGCACCACAGCCTGACAGCCTGACAGTGTCACGGACAAAGCGCCCAAATTCGTGGGATCCGAGACCACCACTATTTCAAGCTGTGACAGGTTCTCAACTTTGGCGGAAGATAGTGCCTGGAGTGTCAAAGCTTTCTTCTCGGCTGAGCGAACGGTAGCGCGAACACGGTAATTGCATCGCAGGAGTGTCGCTATGCAATGGGCGGCGATGAAGCCGTTCCCACCCGTCACTAGCACCAATGATCCGGTATCGACAGGAGGCATTTTCGATTAGCTTAATTGATGCTTAACATAAAAACGAATAACGATGATTCGAGACCCAGAGTTTCCGGTTATATAGAAAAATTGGATGAATCCGAGCCATCGGATCTGCTTGCGCCGCCGTCAGCCGTCGGGTAGATAGCGCATCATTCACACGCTCATAGCGCGTTTTCATTGTTGCGTAAACTTCCCCACCACGAATAAGTCGATCTTCTCCATTCTCAGGTGTCATACCTTTCGGGAAAAAGCTATGGCCCCTGGTAAGGGATTTTCGTGGGTGATCAAGGAGGGCCCAGTCTTCACAACTCAAAAAGGGACGATGTTGAAAAGAGGACCTAGTTGATTAAGAGGTGTTGCGTGCAGAAGGAAACCGTAATAAACTACTACTATGTTCAATCCTTCTAGCTAAACCTTGGAACTGTGACGGCGAAAGATGTATGCCACGGAAGTGGAGGCAAAACCTTGAAACATGGGGAAAAGCACAACTTGAACGTGAAGATATCTAAACTGGAGGCAGACCGCGATAGTAGGTTGCATGAATGAATGACAGAGAAGAGACATTGACAGTACTTGCTTGTGGATGTGTCGTATGGACCTATTGCTATTTATTTCTGCCCAGATCAGAGTATATACTCTAGGTATCACTTTCCCAGCGTGAATTTGATATGCTCAGCAGTCAACTCAATAAATTCTTTGGCTTGCCATAAATCTGTAACTGGGGTTAGTTTATTCAATTCTCGAGGGTGACAAAAACAAACCGACAATACAGAGGGAGTCACTAACCTTTGTCCATATGCATGAACGGATGAGGCACTCCAGCAAACCTTTTTTGAATGACTTCGCTCCCGCCAGATATGAGTTTCTGGGCATAGGCTTCTCCTTCGTCCCGCAGAGGATCACAGGCAGCCGTATAAATGACAGTCTTCGACAGGTTGGTAAAGTCTGGCGCATCAAGTATGTTTGCATACCACTTGAGGGCGGCAAGTTGGGAGTCTCGTTCCGGGCCTGCCGGGGCAATGCTCTGCCACTTGAGGTTATCGAACCATTTTAATCGGGCCCAGTTCAAGGTAGGTGCATGCTCCATTTCGTGCATCGACTGCCATGGCGTTTCGGATGCTGTCTTGTATTTTGAGATGTCATCCACGGTGGGAGTGCCGACAGCTACTAGTCTAAGAGGGATCTTCGCGTCTCTAGCTAGGTGAGCACACACCAAAGCGATATTGCCACCTGCTGAGACGCCGCCAATTGAGATTCGATTGGAGTCAATATTGAACTTTTTCGCGCCTTCGGCGTGAATGTATTGCAATGCAGCAAACGAATCTTGAATTCCGATTGGAAAAGCAAATTCCGGAACGAGGCGGTAGTCAACGTCGATAACGCAGACGTTTGCTTTCATGCAGATGTGTTTGCAAATATGCGATTCCGTGTCAAGGTCACCCAGGCCCCATCCTATTCATTGAATTAGTTGGTGAGATCGAAATACTCCTTCTTATCCCAATAGCACAAACTAACCTCCGCCGTGGAAATCAACGTGCACTGGCCATGGGCCCTCAGAGGCGGGCTCGTACACGCGAACAGGAACCGCATCTCCGTTGTGACCAAGAACTTCTGTGTCATAGACTCGTGCACAATCAGGTGCCGGACCTGTTCCGTATGAATACAGCACAGAATACTTTTTGCGCAAAACTGCAAGGTCAATGGGTCCTGCAGGGGTGCTTGCTGCATGTTCGTTATACAATTGAACGAACACAGGGTCCAGGTGAGGGAGGACCTGGGGGTGGATTGGGTTGAGAGCCTCGTGCGACATGTTTGAAGAAAATGATGATAATCAAAGACGGAGCTTCCAAAATGCCTTATATTTCAACACTCGGGCAATATTGAAGCTATCCAACCGTCGCGTCCAACTTTGCCGACGGTCGGATGCAGTTCAGGATAAACCCCGCACTTTATTTACTGTGTAGGCGACGGTCGGATGCAGTTCACGATAAACCCCGCACTTTAAGGTATCTATGCGACGGTCGGATACGAGTCGAATACTTCCAGCAGATTGGGGTTTTGTTATATTGACAGGAAAGAAGCGGCAGAGGTGGCATTATGCTCAATCAACCGACATCATGGATCCTGTTCTTATAGTGGGTGCTGGTATTGTTGGCTTGACGCTTGGTCAAGCCTTGAAGCAAAACAACATTCCTTTCGAAATTTATGAGCGCGATTCGACACCCGAAGCTCGTGGTCAGGGGTGGGCCATCACCTTACACTGGGCTCTGGAATATCTGTTCAAGATGTTGTCGGAGGAGACTTTGTCGCGCATTCAAGATGTCCAAGTTGATCCCGATGTGGCGAGTAACGACAATGGCAATTTTCTCTTTATAAACCTGGAGACTGGAGAACCGAGATTCAAAATCCCTCCTAATCTCCGATGGCGTGTGAATCGCGAAAAGATGCGACGCGCACTACTGCATGGCATTGAGGAACATGTTCATTGGGGACGACGAGTGGTAGGCCTCAACTTTCCCGAGGACGAGAATCAGGTTCAACTGGTATTTGATGATCAAGAAATCGTCACCGGTAGGCTTGCTGTTGGCGTTGAAGGTAGCCGCTCCATGGTGCGACAAGTGCTGCGTCCGGATGCCTTTGACAATACGCCTATTGGGATCAACTTCACCGGAGTAGCTGTGGATCTCACCCCGGAGGAGATCCAACCGTTACGTGACATGGATCCCTTGCTATTCCAAGGATGTCATCCAACCACGGGGGATTTCTTCTGGTTCTCCATGCTTGAAACGCCGCTCATTAACGGCACGGCAAACACCACAGCCGAGAGATACCGAGCACAGATCTGCATGTCTTGGCCGGAGAAGAGCCCCGAAGATCAGGTAGCGACTACCAATGATGGTCGTTTGGCAAACATGAAACGGCGTGCACAAGGATTTGTGCCTTTCTTGCGACAGGCGGTGGATCGAATCCCAAGTGGAACACCTGTGACTGAGATCAAGCTTGCGGATTGGGAATGTCTTGATTGGAACAACCATAGTGGAAGAGTCACTTTAGCAGGAGATGCAGCACATGCAATGACCATGTGTAAGTGGTTTCATCGTTGTCAAATGAGATAGACACTGACCGTCTTAGATCGCGGAGAGGCGGCGAATCATGGGCTCTTGGATGCTTATCGTCTCATGGAAGCTATCAATCACATCTATAGCGGTTCACTCACAGCCTCCATCGCGCTTGATACATATGAGGAAGAGATGAGGGTGCGCACCCGACGTGCCGTTCAACTCAGCCGCCAGGCTTGCCGAGATGCACATGATTGGGGACGACTAGATGAAACATCGGCCATTTTGACCAAGAGGGCTATAGTGGCAAACTGATATAGTTTCATCTCAAACCAATGCAGCGTTATTTGTGCATCGAATCTGCTCAAGTTGAAAGTGGTAGGAAAGCATCGATGGTGGGGAGTAACTGGTATACAAATCAAATTTAGTCTTGACAACTCTGCCTGATCATATACATGTATAAATCGTCAACCAGTCTGTTAACCCAGAGAGACTCCAAGTTGTCGGAAATGTACTCTCACTTTTGACCAGTTGGCTTGCCGTTTGTATGAATGAATATCCCCGATCACAGACTGGAGATAATTGATCGACTGACAAATATTCTTAGTTCTTTACTTCAACGTTGGCATGAAGACTGTCTACCTTGAGATCGGCCACGAAATCTGCAGCCTCCCACCTATCACAACAAAGAAGGGCAAATATCTTTCGTGGGGTCTCGGTCCCGTGTATTGGGTCATTGCTTTTGTGATCTCCATGTCTAGGTATTCCGCAATTCAGTGCCTTCACCAATTTTGTAGGGGGATTGTTCAGTCTGAACTTCACCTACTCGCTGTTACCAGCCAAATCCTTTAGATAAAAGAGTGCATTCAGACGAAACAACAACTATGAGAAAGGAAAAGAAAGAGAACAAGAAAGAATCCACAGAAGAGTTTTTATCTCTTCTCCCAGTTGTGACACTGCAGGTGGGTTCTGCCAGGCCTGTCCAGGCGGTGAGTCGATTCAGGTCATGTGACAGGAGGAGGAGAGACGAGGGACTTGTTTTGTTGCGCGCCTCTTTCGTTTTCTTTCTTTTCTTTCTCTCTTCTTCCTTTCCTTAGACTAGTTATCTTGTCGAATTGGACTCTTTTGCAAGAATAGCCTACTGCCACATAATAACTAGTCTCTCTCATTACTTTCATTTCTGGACCGCCGGCCGCACAGACGCGCGTTCCTGTGACGCGTATCTTGGCACCGGTCCACCCCACCGAATCCCGACTCGATCCCGATCCCGATCCCGATCCCGATTCAGATCCCGAACCGAACCACGGTTGCCGACCGTGCCGAGAAGCTAGAATGGCTTCTCTGAACCCAGATCCCGCGCCCAGCACTGCCGCTGGCAATGACTATACCACACCGAGACACGCATCTCGTCTGATCTCCTTCCGACTCGACTCGTCGTCGGTCGCGAGGCGACTCGAAAATACCGAAGAGAAAGATCGGTACGCTAAGCTCTCGACGCTGTACCAAGCCCTCGAACAGAAGTTTCACGAACTCGAGGCCCGGAATATCGAGCTCCAGAACGACAACGATGAGGCCCTAGCCCAATACCAGAGAGCAATCGAGCAGCAGAACAGCGCTCAAACCACACTCGAAGCCGCTCTAGTAGCAGAGAAAGCAGCCGTGGCGAAACAGAACGAGATGGCTATGAAGTTTTTCGATCTACAGAACCGGAGCACACCGAGTATGGAAGCTGCGGTCCCGAGGAAATCTGCTCGTATGCCTGACGCACCAATGTTCAGCGATGGGAAGGAAGTCCGATACGAAGCTTGGGCCACAACGATCCGCCAGAAGCTACTCGCAAATGCGGACCATTATCCTGAACCAGTACATCGTAAGCTCTATGTACAGAGTCGCTGCGAGGGCAAAGCCCAGCTCCATATTGCCCCCCGCATGGATGAAGCCTCCACCAGGCCATACGAGGATGCGGAAGATATCCTTAGTCACCTGCGAAGTGTGTTCGCTAACCCGAATCGGAAGGCGGAAGCATACTCCGCCTACCATCAGCTAACGATGAAGCCCCGTGATGGTTTCACGGATTTCTTAGCTGAGTTCCTCCAGCTCGCTGAGGAAGCATGCGTGGTCCGAGAGAACTTGAAACGCGACCTCTACTTGAAACTGCCGAACTTACTTCAAACCCAGATGATGCTGGCCGTTAACCAGTCCCATGTCACGTTCGACAATTTCACTGAACAGTGCCAGAGCATCTCCCACGAGATCATGCTCCAACAGCATCGATCCACCGACCGCAGGAATCACCGGGGTGGCACAGTAGGAGGAAGCGCAAGAACCACGACCGCACACACCGCCCCTAACACATCGGGCACCAGCCAGCCGACCACCGCTCGAGTCAAACGAGAGGGATTTACGCCGGCTAGAATGACTGATGCGGAACGGAACAAACTGGTCAGTGAAGGAAAGTGTTTCTATTGCAAAGAACCCGGACACATCAGCCTCCAGTGCCCAAAGAAGACTACTACTACCCCCGCGGCTGTTGCGACAGCCTCCACTAAACCCAAGGAAACAGTGGTGACCCCGGATCCCCGCATTGTGGAACTCGAAGGATCGGATGACGAGCAGGGAAAAGAGTACGCCTAGGGCAAGTCTCCCGCCTAGGCGTCTCACGGCAATCTACTAGCGGAATTGACATCACGAAGCTGCTCTCATCTAAGAGCTTCCTGACCAAGGCACAAATTCCAATCAATTCGTTATTTTTTCAAGTCAACGCGTTAGTAGATTCTGGAGCAGATATGTACATTATGATTCACACCCGGGTGGTGGAGAAGTTAGGCAGGTACGGTCTACGCACTGCGAGAGTGCAGGATATGGGTGCACATTCGATCAGAGCGTACGATGGGCGACAGTCGGCGCCTATCACCCATGTCGCCAGAGTACCCCTGATCGTGGATAACCATCGCCAGCCATTGGCAACTATGATGATAGCTGACATCGGCCACCACAACATGATCATCGGCAGGCTATGGCTAGCAGAACAGGACGTGCTGCTGGACAGTCGGAACTCTCGAATACTATGGCCAGCTCCGCGGACCACAGAGCAGAAGATTCAAGCCATAAAGGAAGAGGTGGCGTGCCAATTGACACGGCCAATCCCCATGCAAATCCTCAGAAGGCCATGCGTGGAGGAGGATCTAGAGCACCAGAGAGACTGCGAACGACGTGACCGGAAGTTTGAGAAGGGTCTCCTCTCGGAAAAGGAATCTAAACCCCAGAAACGGATCCCACGGTCATATAACCATTCCCATGGAGAGGATACCCTGAAGAAAATGCACCGGGCGCTGTGACACTTAGGGCTTAGGGCTT